AGCCATAGGCCTGAACTATAAATAACACGCATCTTACCCTCTTTCTAAGTGCTTTCCGCAATAATTGCCTGCGATTTCTCTGTATCAGCTGAGATATTCCCGTTACTGTTGATGTTGCTGCTACTCCTCCTCATGTCCTTAGTCATCTGCCGCGCAACAGATACAGGGTTTCCGCCTTGAGAGAAGATGAGATCGACGTCCTCGAGCTTGAAATTGCTCGTCTCTGGGTAGAAGAAATAGAATGCGGGAACGAAGAGTAGGTTTGTGACCATGAAAATGAGATACGCCTTCCACTGCAGGCGATTTATGATGACTGGCGTGATCATGACGACAGCGAAGTTCCACAGCCAGTTGGAGCTGATTCCTATCGCCGTTCCCCTGGTGCGGGACTCAAGGGGGAGGATCTCAGGAACATAAACCCAGGGAACGCAGTTGACGCTCATGCCAAAGATCAACATGTAGAGAAAAAAGAAAGCAACGGCCGCTGAAGCACAAGTATGGCCGTTGGAGTGGCCGACCCGAGACAGGAGTACGGCCACCATGAGCATGCATATACTCAAGCCCGTGCAGCCCCAAATCATAGTCTTGCGGCGACCCATTCGATCAAGGGCAAAGGAAGGCAGAATCGAGCCAAACATAAACATCATATTAATGCAACCACCGAGAACCTGTGACATGCGCGGCGAGAGCCCTACATTCTGAACCAGGACCGAAGGGATGTAGTAGACGACGAGATTGATTCCTCCAGCTTGGTTCATGAATTGTACACCCCAGGCAAGCAGGATACGGTATCTGGTCCTGATGGTGTCCTTCCTGAAGATACTCAAGAAGGAATCAGTCTTATTTGCTGCGAGTTCGAGCTCGATGGCCTTCTGAATGGCAGTAGATTCGGAGACGATATATGGGTCTGACGCATCTTTGTCGTGGACCTGGCACAGAACGTTAATGGCCTCTTGATCGCGGCCTTTTACGAACAGCCATCGCGGAGACTCTGGGAGGGCGAACACTAGAACCACAACGCCGAGGGCAAAGACCATTTGGAAGGCAATGGGCAGACGCCAGGCAATGGCACCTCCGACGTAGGACATGCCGAAATCGAACCAGTATGCGATTGTAATGCCGACTCCGACGAAGAGGACCTCGCTCGACACAAGGCGACCGCGTGATTCGGCTTCGCACAGCTCGGATTGATACCTGACGTTGGTGGACGTATATCAGCTAACGGGTTATTCTCCTTCAGAAGTGACCGAGGTAACTTACATGGGCACTGTTGAAGTCTTGATTCCCGTTCCAAAGCCAGTAACGACTCTTCCGATGACGAGATGAGGCACATTGTACGCAGTGGTTTGAAGCGTCGCTCCGACCAAAACCAAGACCATGGCAAGCCAGATGGTCCTGCGGCGGCCAAGCTTATCTCCGACGAAGAAGTTGACTGTCATGGGAAAACGAGTCAGTATATGGAATACCTTTGGAGGGCCCTCAGTTGGGACCTGCATCCACTTACTCACACAGCCTGCCAGGCAGCCCAAGTTATAGCAGGACACGATGATTCCAGTCTTGGCGTCGTTTGGGTGGTCGAACTGGTTCTGCCAATCTTCGTTCTGGAGAATCCCACCGAAAACTCCTTGATCATAGCCAAAGAGTACAAACGCGACGAGACAGCAGATAGTCACGCCGGCTTGAACGCCTGCGCCTCGCCTGAGACTGAACAAGGCCATGATTTGGGAAAGACGATAGAATGGAACTTGTGAGTTTGGTATAAAGTAGGACAAGATTTAGTTGCTTCTTTGAGTCTTGATATAATTGAGATACACGGGTCATGGAGCAAAGGGGCTTCTTAAATGTTTATTCAATCCGTATCCCAAATTGACCTTCCCCAGAAAACTATGGGTGAAAACCTGGGGTGATGGAGTGTGGGGTAGAATGCGAACCAAGTTTGCTCTCACTTGAGCTAGAGTTCTTTGTGGTTTCATGCACTGAATCGCAAGCTCTAACCACACCGCGCTAGAAAAGTACATGGCGCTTACGCTTACAGTTGCCAAGTTCACTATACGTAAAAATATGATTTTATTGCGGCGATAAATTTGGCAATTTAATGCTCTAGCGCCGGAAACAACTAAGCCAGTGGCTTGTAGGTCAAGGCCAGACCAAATCTTAGGTAGCCCGGTTTATTTGTCTGCCAGACGTAGTAACTATGGCAGGTAGTTGCGATGCCAAATTAACAACTGTCTGCACTCAAGCCTTCTTGAACGACTATCCTTACTGAGCTCTTAGCCCCCTTCTGAAGTTATTATTAAAAACTTTTTCCTCTTTAAGGGAACTTAATGTAATTTTAACTGTATTTATTTATACTATATATAACTTTATTAGTAGCTATATTTAGAAAACTGGCTTCTTATATTTTAGCAGCTATTAATAAGGTTATTAATTAAGTTATTATAAAAGTATATTATTTTAATTTTAATTAAAAGACTTATCTTTATAAAGGCTATATATATATTACCTTTAAAAGCTTAAAGTTAATTAGTATTTTTTAATATATTAGCTTAATATATTTTATTAAGATATTATAAGCTTTAATTATTAATTTATTATTAAAAACTTTACTTATTAATATTTAGTATAATAACTTTAGTATTAATACTATAATAAGCCTTAAAGAAGCTATTAGCATCCTTAGGTCTATTTTAAGTTAATAAGAAAATAGCAATAGCTTTCTAGTTAATAGAGATTTTATATTAAGATTTAGATATTATACCATCATTAAGGGCTATGTAGTTATTATAATACTGTAATAATTACAGTATATACTAACGGCTCTAGGCATGGGTATGGGTATGGTCACAAGCAATTGCAAAGCCGATAGCTTCAATCTGTAATTGAAGTTTTCTAGATAAGGTGTAATGCAGGAAAGTTAGTATTTGGGAAGCTATTAAGTCGGTATGTATCTGGGAAAAAGTAATAAATCTCAACAAAAAGTGTCAATAAGCTGCATCTCATTAAAAAAAAAAACCAATACTCTGAACTGTAGTAGATAAATGCTGTTTATAACTTATAGAACTATATACTGAGATTATATCATTATACTTTATCTAAACGATATCGTGGGAAAGACATTCTGCAAGTACTGCGAAATGAGCTCCGAATACTTGTCAGAATCTTTGAGTGACATTACAGCAAGGGAGCTCACGGCCAGACTCAGCAGTGCACCGGTTAAGACTCTGGAAATCGAGGACTTGGGACTCTCCACCCTGCGAACTTCAAAATCAGACCAGCATGGGAAAATGGTCCGCAGCCAGTAGAGAAACATGGGGTCGGGGTAGATAAAGGTATTCTTTTTGGTCTCAGGGTCCATCCACCAACTCTGACAACCACTGTTGAAGACGAGGTTCTTGAGCCTCTCATGCACCCAAGCCAGGTCGCGGCGTTGGGCCTCAGGCTTTACCATGATTGAGGCTGCAGGGGCACTGCCGGTGAGGACCTGTCGCAGCAGACGGCAGGTGTAGTTGATCTGGCACTCGGAGTGGAAGATGACCGAGTGCTGGCCCGTAGCAGCGTTGGGACCATACAAGATGAAGAAGTTGGGGAACCCCGTGACGACAGTGCCCTTGTAAGCTTCAGCGCCACCCGTGGAGTCCCAAACCTGATGCAGGTCCCGGCCGTTCTCGCCTTTGACCTGGATTGGGTGCAGCCACTTCTGGGTCATGAAGCCCGTGGCAAAAATGATAGCGTCTGCCGGATACGTCTCGCCGCTCGCCGTCTCGACGTGCCGCGGGCCTACCTTGACAGCATTATCCTTGGCCAAGTGCATGTTTGGCGAATGCAGTGCCGCGAGATATGTGGCTGTGTTGACTCGTCGCTTGCATCCGGGTTCGTAGTTTGGCTTGAGTATTTGGCGGTATTGGGGAGGCGCGTCATTCTCGATATACGAATTGGTAGTGTCGCGGATCTTTTGCCTCATACGCGCTCCGTCTTTGGTCATGAGGAAAGAATAAAACACCTTTTCGAGCTCCCAGGCGAGGAACACGCGATATATACGTGCGGCGAGCGGGATGTACTTCATTGTGAGCTTGAAGGTAGATGAATATGTTGGATTTCCCTAGAGAGGGGCAACGGTTAGATTGATCTTGATAGAAGAGGATCTGGAGAGAACCTTACCCTCTTGGTCCACCAGTGGGCGCTCCTCACGAGTTGAGTCACCTGGCCCGTGGGCCCAACTTTCCTCACGAGCTCAGGAACGAACTGTGTTGCGGAAGCACCGTTACCCAAGACGACGATGTTCTTGTTCCTGACCTCGAGCGAGTCGTCCCATCGAGCGCTGTGAAACATCTTTCCCTGGAAGGATTCCGCGCCCTCAAGCTGTGGAATGTAGGGTCTATCGAGGGTACCCACAGCGCTCACAACGACTGGCGCTTCACGGACGAACGTCTGTCCAGTTTCGGTGTTTTGCAAGGTACAGATCCAGATGGAGCGGGCCGAGTCCCAGCGCAGGTCGAGGCACATTGTGTTGAACTGGCAATGGGGCAGGATGTCGTATTTATCAGCTACGGACATGAAGTACCTGTGAAGCTCATCGCGCCCCGGATACATGCTTGTCCAGTCTGGGTTCAGTGCAAAGCTGTAGGAGTAGAAATGACTGGGGATGTCGCAGGCACAAGCGGGATAGCGGTTATGCCACCAGGTGCCGCCGATATTGTCGGACTTTTCGTAGATGGTGAAATTGTCATGTCCGAGAAGGCGCTTGAGCTGGATGGCCATACCAAGGCCTGAGATACCACCGCCAATGATAATGACCTCTTTCGAGCTAGCCATTTTGGATCGAGATTGACTTGGAATTGGAATACAAGAACACGAAAGGGGGACAGAACGATATGTTGAATAAAATAATTCTGCTTACAACGGCTGTCTATACGCTCCTTTTATGAATTTCGACATCTTTGACCTGTCAGTCAATTGAGTGCCTGTAGACAAGTCTGGGGAATCCTCTTGTCTAGAGAGAGATGGCAGCGCTTAGAGTTGGCTGCATTGCCCCAGAAGACGGATCCGCCCTTATTAGTGCGGGAACGAGAGCAGCAACTCTAACCCCCAGCTGCGAAAAAGAACCTTCCACTAATTTCACTAGTTTATACCCGCGTTACGCTATAGGAAGCACTAGCGCCATACTGAACTGGAACACGCCCCAGTCTAGGCTTTCAATGTCATTAAAATGTCAGGTCGACCCCCGCTGCAGGGAGACAAATCTCAAAAACAGTTTACTCCAGCCGCGCAGTCAACAGCAATGCCATCCCCGCAGTCCAGGGCATCACTCAACCCCAGGAAGAAGAAGAAACACAGTCGATCCCGGTCAGGATGGTAACGAATCCCTTTCCAGCAGAGATCCATTCTTCACTGACACAAATTGAACCGGAAAAGCCTCACCTGTCGACGGCGGAGACGAAAATGTGGGTTTTCTTTGCCTAGTCTTCTTTTCCTTCTCATCCTTCTCTATCCCGGTCTGACTGGTGGAATCTTAGGTGATGGCCATCGTCCCACTTGCCAAGAATGCCAGGCACGCGGGGGTGAGTGCGTCTGGGGATTGAAGGTTTCTTTTCATGCTTCCAGGTCGCTGCAGCTATCCTTGGAGCACGCTGTTGCCTTGTTTGACCTCGGTAAGCAGAGACAAGAAGCTCGATCCGATGGGTCTGGGTCTAGCCAGGAACCACTCGTTGTAAGTCTCATCCACCTCACTCTCTTGCTTCGACAATTATGACATGACACTAATGATGTATCTAGATCATTGACGATACTGAGGAGGTCATTCGCTCCTTTTGCAAAGAGGATGGTACATCGTCTGTTGCTGATGAGTCAGACGGCGATACTCCCCAACATTTTTTCCAGGAACACGATGAGGCTACGGCTACTGTCAATGAAAATGACACAAGTCCTCAAGAGACCTTCTTTGGGACTGAAGGTGAGGAGCCACGGAACGAGATTGTCACTCTTGGTAGTCTGAATAGCGATGCCGCTGGCCAGGACAGAGCGTTTCACCACCTCCATCTCATACCCCCCGGACCCATATTATCACCTCCAGACCTTGCCACCACCCCATTAATTCCTGCCCATTGGATGGTTGATCTTCCCTTCGCCCCCTTCTCCCTAGGACAGGCCATTTCTCGGGGCGTGACTCCCCAGCCAGAGCCAAGGTTCCCCGTCTCGCAAAGCATCAAAGTTCATCTCATGTCTGCTTACATTAGAGAAACAGCGACGTGGTGTGAAACCACAGACTCGGAGATGCATTTCTCCGCCAAGAGCATCCACCAGATGATGGACTCGAAGCCCTTTGTTGCAGCAGCCATGTCACTCGCCTCCCGCCAATTGGATGTCATTCAAGGTCGTACCCGGCAGATCACGCTTGAGCTTTATCAGTATGCTATTCGTCTCCTGCTGGGACATGATCCTGCAGAGGCGGACTCGTGCATCCTGGCGACGTGCACAATTCTTTGTGTCTATGAAATGATGGCTTCAAGCGTTTCTGAGTGGAGACGTCACCTCAAGGTGCGCCATAATATCCCCAACTATCCCCTATGTTAACAAATACGAGTGGGAGCTGACCTGTATGTGCACTAAAAGGGTTGCGCTGGATTACTAAGAATGTGCAAATGGAACGGTAACAGTAAGGGCATAGTAAAAACCTGCTTCTGGGCTTTTGCACGCATAGGTGCGACGAACCCCTTCCTAGCAGCGGGTCCTTTCTCGGCTGCTAACGTATGGCAGATGTATGGGCCGCGTTTCTGATGAACCAGACCACGTTGATCCCGACAGACTCATGGGTAGATCAGGACTCCCTGTTCTTTGTGTCCGAGAAAGGAGACCCCGATGACTACTGCAACTTGGCAATCTTGATATTTGCCAAGATCATCAATGTTCTCAATGGTGAGGATAGCGCTGGAGTTGCCTCTACAAATGGGCATAGAGCCAGAGTCCAGGCGTTATGGGAGGAGCTTCAGCGATGGAGATGTTGGCGCCCTCAGAGTGTAAAGCCATTATTGAGAGTAGGCAAATCAGACAAGGGCCCCTTTCCGACCATCGTGTTTGCTCTATGCGCATCGGTATGCGGAAATACGTTTTACCACGCCGGGTCGATCCTCTTACTTCAGAGCGAGCTAGTTACGCCTAGCCCTACCTTGGACATGGCAGACGTGGTGAGTTCCTAGGCCATACCCGGCAAATAAGAAACGGCGGTAGGACTGACATAAATCAGCTGAGTCCTGTTTGGCATGCTAAGGAGCTCGGTGGTATTTCTACCAGCAATCCTTCTCAGTAAGCTTACTGTCCCGCCCGCTCTATGTTATAGACACTAAATGTCTCCTAACTTTAACCTCCATTACAGTGCAAACTGGGTCAATCACCTTCAGCCGTTGTACATCGCCGGAAGGGCATTTGCTGGGTCACCCAAGCAGCCGCTCGAAAACCAGCCAGGTCGTGGAAGTTATAGGTCGAGACATCTGCGGCAGACCGACCATGGATCGACGCAGAGTGAGAGGTTTGAAGCTAGCACCTCTGATACGGCTGAGGGCTGGAATGATCCAGCAGAACCTGAAGATTTCGCCGCCGAAAAGATTGCTCTTTTGAAACATTTGGCCAAGATTGAACGCGAAACAGGCTGGAAAACCACGGAACGGGCAAAAGATTTAAGAATTCTCTGGGACTTGGAGAACTGAGAGGAACGCAATACCAACACATGTAACGGTATGCCTTTAAAAAGAAATTGGAGAGATATCGTGATTACTTGGCAAGAGCTTTGAGGTGAAAGGCCAGGCCACCTTATACCATGTTGGACTTAGACTATACATAAGCCTTCAATGTTTTTATCTACAAACCCTTGTATTGGCTAATAACGACTATAGCTTCCCTCCTGTAGCCTTGATTGACTTTTGTACAGACTTTGAAGTGAAGAATGTTCTCATATCCTGAACAAACACGTCTGGACACTCCAGAGATGAGAAATGGCCCCCGACTTCATACTCTTTCCAGTACTGGATATTGGCAGCCTGCTGAGCCCAGTCCTTAGGGCACTGATGGAAAAAAAAAACCTCTCGTCAGTTTTCTCTCGAAGCGTGGTAGCAAGGACTACTTACATGTAGCTGTTCTCTCGCATACATACTGACGCCAGTGGGGCAATCAACATAGGTCTCAAAAGTTCTCTCGGCCTCTCGGCGAGAACCAAAAGCTTCGCGGTAAAACCTCAGGCCGGGCGTCGCCCCTTGGATCCAATGCATGACGACTAGGGTTATAATTGTGTCAGGGTCAAAGGCTCCGTCGACATGACCCCAGTCGTGGAACTTTTCGACGAACCAGGCGAGCAGACCAATTGGGGAATCGCCCAGAGCGAATCCTAGAGTCTGAGGTCTGGTTTTCTGTTGTTCTAGATAGCCGCTCTGGTCGATCTCGAAATTCTTCCTCACGCGCACAGCCTCCCGCTCGAATTCGGAGTAGAAGAGGGAAGAAAGGCACCAGCGTAGGTAAGCGACAGGTGCTGAGCGCAGAGTGGGAGGTGGCACAGGGAACATGTTCAGGTGCTGAGCACGAACGATGCCCGGGAACTGGATGGCTATCGATCTGGTGATGAAGGATCCAAAGTCGCCGCCCTGGGTCACAAACCACTTGTAGTTGAGCACCTCGGTCATGAGGATCTTGTATGCCCGGGCCACGACCTCTGGACCTACTCCTGACTTTGTCGGCGCAGGAGAGAAGCCGAATCCCGGGATAGAGGGCGCCACGAGATGGAAGGACGGTTCGGTCGACTTTTCTGGTCTGCTTAGAGGAATGACTACTTTGGATGCTTCCACAAAAGAACCCGGCCAGCCATGCGAGAAGAGAAGGGGAACCGCGTGGGGGCTAGATGACTTCGCATGCGTGTAGTGCAAGACCAGCGGTCCGTAGCCTGGCACTTGAAGCTTCACTAGATAATGATTGAACGTGTCATTGAGGTATTTCTGTAAGTAGAATAACTTAATTAGATGTATTCTTCCGTGACTTGTGAGCAATCAGTGCCAACTCACCTCTTGCTTTTCCCAGTCGTACTTGTCGCGCCAGTAGTGGGCCAGCCGATTTACCTCGGCCACCTTTGCACCCTGCGCCCAATTTACAGGACCGAAGTCGCTCTGCTCGAACGGGAAGCGAGCAAGATGGAGCTTCTGTCGCGTGACCTGGACCAAGTCTTGGCTGAAGCGGACAGAGAAAGGGACAGGCTGATTAAGCTCGAGCTCCGATTCTGATGGAAGGCAAAGATCTGAGAAGCTCATGGTACAGATGACTTGGTAGAATGAGCCCAGAGTAGGTGATTGAAGATTGCGAGCGTAGTAGAGAAGCTGTGAACTTTTGAGAATAAACAACAGCACTGACGGAAACAAATGAGCGGGAGAAACAGGAAAAGCCTACTGCTGCGTTATAATTAGTAAAAGTTTCTGGGCGTTCTTAGGAGAGAATATTAACTGATCAATTAATAGAGAGCCGGCAACTGCATGCACCGTCCCTCTGCAGCTTTTAATACCATATAATGTTAGGGTATCCCAAACAGCGTTTACACATACCATTCTCTGCTCCAACGTGGGGCTCACCCCTCTGAAACTCTATGCCTTGCACTAGCGGCGCTTCTACATGCCTTGTCTTGGACCCATCGACGTTAGAGCCCCTCCAACGATAATTTCCATCTCCATCGCGCCCCATTCTTATTTTGGCACAAGGAATCACCTAACGTTATCGCTCATCCCGACATTCGTGGGCTACATACGACTTGGTGCCACCAGAGAAGCATGAGTGTTTTGCTATGGGTAGCACATGCACGTTTGCAGTATGACCGGGTAGATATGAGGGAATTTCGACACCTAATGGATCGTTGGCGAAACACCACAAGTTATTGTCTTTGCTAGTGATACGCATAGTTTGTTGCATGAAGACTGATAGTGGTTCATCCCAGGAATTAGGAGCCGGTGATTATAAATCAATGATGCCCACTTGGCAGTAACGCCATGAAGCATTGATGACAAAATGCGTCCTTGCCACCCGCTCGTTTTATAAGCAACTTTCTTCCCATGAACAATGTTTGAAACACCACACACCACCACCCAGCCAAACTATCTTCCAACTCTTTTGCAATGTCACTCCAACCATCTGCAGAGGCCCTGATTACCAGAATCGACAGTACTGGCACTCTAAGGCTTGTCAAGGAGAAAGTCCCAGTGCCCAAGCCTGGCGAGCACCAGCTTTTGGTCAAAGTGTCTTACGTAGCACAGAATCCAACAGATGGCAAGACTCCCTCGCTTCAGTCATGAACCAGATTGACTTCTCCCATTTATACACCGCTAACTATATCCAACACAGTCCAGTCATTTGACAGCAACGCCTTTGGTGATGGCGCCATCCTGGGCTGCGACTTTGTCGGCGTGGTAGAAGAAATCGGTCCGAATGTGACAAGAATTGCCAAGGGAAAGGCTATTGCCGGATTGATCTGGGGAGGTAGGTTCAACATTTTCCAGACTTACTGTTGTGTGCCACGACGAATGACTGACATAAGACTAGGAGAAATTAAGGGTCTTGGGGGATACAGCCAGTACACCATTGCTGATGAGCGAATTTGCTTTCTTGTCCCTCAGCAGCTGAGCCCAGAAGCAGCATCTACCGTTCCCCTCGCGTCATGCACAGCTCTACTTGGTCTCTTTTCAAAGGGTTGTCTAGCCATCGACACCAGTGGCGATGAGAAGCCTGCAGTTCTGATTTGGGGCGGTAGCTGTAGGTCCCTTTTGCAGGATGTGCTACTTATGCGCTTTTATGGCTGACCATAGTATAGCAAGTGTAGGACTCTACGCGATCCAAATTGCGAAATTGAATGGACTTCAGGTTGTCACGACCTGCAGTCCAAAGCATCACGATCTTGTCAAGCTTTATGGAGCTGCAGAAGCATTTGACTATCGAGACCTGCAGGTGGTTGAGAAGATTAGACAGGCAGCTCCGGGCCTTCGATACGTGTTTGATACTATCGGAAACACCACCTCCTCCAACACGGCCTCACTCGCAATCTCTCACCAAGACGGCGTCCTCTGCACTGTCCGTCCCGGCAAAGCTAACACTGAGGAGGTAGCTCCGGGCGTTAGGATTACTGACGTCCTCGTCTGGACAGCGTTCATGAAAGAGCATCGCTATGGGGAGTTCCACTGGCCGGTGAGCATGTGCATCAATGAGATGGGATGGTTCAGAAGCTTACGAGTCTAATAGGCTAGTCAAGAGGACCACAAACTTGCTTCGGATTTCTTTCAGAAATTACCAAGCCTTTTTACTTCGGGCCAGATTAAGCCAAACTCCTACAAGCTCTTTGAGAACGGTTTTGATGATGTATGCCAGGGATTTCAGGAGTACCGCGATGGTAGCATCTCAAACTATAAAATTGTTTACAAGGTTTAGGTCCGGGGGGGTAATAGTTAGGCTATTATATAGGCTAGCAAATGATAAATAACAATAAGAATTATCAACTATATGTGGCTTAGAAGTAAAGAGTTTGCGTTTGTTTGGGAGATAGATAAGGAGTACATTGTTAGCTACCTGCTCTTACTCATTGGTCCCCAGATTTATGTGGCCCGTGCATAGGTCCACCCCAGCCTTGTCCCGCTTCTTCGTCACCCATCCAACCCCCGAGTTATCCCTACATATAGCATAGGAATTCAAAAGCTAACCCAACAGCCACGACTTGCTTCCAGCCTTTGCCAAAGAATCAGAAAAAGTACCCATGGAAGGCTTTGAGCTCTTGACTGCCCCTTTAGGGTTTCAGGACGGCGCCGCCCGCCTTCTCACCGGAGACCTGGTCGTACGGGACATTGAGCGCTGGTGTCATCGAAAAGCTGACAAAGGTGGTATCGAACCTGTCATGGCTGTTGTCTTTTTCAACACGGGCCCTGATGCAGTAGACTATGTCAAGATCAAGGCTCATGTTGCTGCGCGGGTAAGTCAACAATTTCCCTATTCGCACCATGGACTGTAGCGAGGACAATAGCTGCGATGTGGCATCAAATACTGCCCGGCGCCCCCTTCTAGATACTAGCTGACACACTACGGAATAGGCTGGTGTCGATTATTGGGTATATGAGATGCCCGTCGACGCATCCACAATAGAGGTCATGAGCCAAGTCAAGGAGCTTAACATGGACCCCCAAATACACGGCATCCTTATACAGCGCCCGCTGCCCCAGCAGTTAAATGAAGCAAAGATCATGGGGTACATCGATCCTGTCAAGAACATTGAAGAATACGATAAAGGTCAGGCGGACAATATTGCTGCAGACGCCTTAGTCCGATTGTTGGCCAGGTATGGGCTGTTAGAGTCGGCACACCAGGCCAAAATCCAGATTGTCGGTTTTGGAAATATCATCACGAAAGAGTTCATCAAGCAGATGAAGCGCCAGTTCCCCTACGTGAGCGCTTCCAAAGACTTCGATCTATCTTACGATACCAGTCAGGATAAACGTAAAGCTCTAGATGAGGAAGTCCAGGCACCACGCGCTTCCATCATCGTCTCAGAACTGCATCGCGGACCTGGCTTCATAAAAGAATCGATGGTCAAGCCAGAAGTGAGCGTCTTGGTCGATCTTGGCTTCTACGTTACAGAAAAAGGCGTCATCGGCGATGTGAGCCACGCGCTCTTTGACCGGAGTGATCTAGCAATCGCTCCGACACCGGGAGGAGTTCTTCCCATCTTGTTGTGGATCATGATGGAGCGCACGATTAAGGCTAAGCAGATGATTGCGAAGGAAGACGTGCGAGGGTGTTGTTGTTCACCTATGTGAGACTAGCGGAGGAAGCTTCAAGGCTAACATAGACTTTTATCTACTGTAGTAGTTACATTGTGCCTTACCTATATGACTTGACAGCATTTTTGCACCCGGTCGGGCGCGACGACGTGGGCGTGAAGATCATCTCACCTTCAGCCTAATCAGGCAACGGCCGCAGCGAGCGAGTCAGCGGGGTCATGGCCTGGCCCGTTCATCTCACTCTATGTTCCTCCATTTCTTTCACTATAATGGTTCTGCATCCCGTTTTTAAATCCAACATGGACTGCGATAAGGAGAATAACTACATTAATACCTCCGATATTAATGAGGACAGTCTCAAATGTCCAAAGCCAGACACCAGTCGAGGAGCCGGAAGCCGTCGTACCCGGGCCGAGAGTAAGCCTGCACGTTGGTGGGAGGCTTTTTGCCCATTATCCTCGAAATCAATGCAATCTCTAGAGCCACCAAGTCCCGGAGAAAAGGACTGTCTATCCTTACCCAGCTATCCTGCAGAAGCGGAAGCGCGGACGCGTGCTATTGACCAATACCTCGCTGCCGAGTCCCAGCGGAGCAAACGGCAATTAAAAATCATCCTTTTCGGCGATGAGCATGAGAAAAGTCTTTTTCTGAAACAAACCCGCCTTCTTGAGGTTCCGCTTTCCAATGAAGAACGTGCAGATGTTCGGGCCGAAGCGAGGCGCTTTGTCGCATCTCTATGCCGGGAATGCTTGCATATTGTCGATGAACATGCCTGTAAGCCAGAATGGATCAATTCTCATCCAGTTCTGGGGCGTGTCAAGGAGATTGTGTCGAGCGAAGATACCGAAGATGAGGAGATGGTTGAAAGCATGGTGAACCTGTATTGCGACAACGAACTGCAGCTCGCGCTCAACCAGTTTGGCCATAACCTCGAAACCATTGAGCGACGATTCCTGAACAGCCGCTTTCCACACATTCTCACCTGCCCCTGCACTGCAAATGGCAATCTGAGCAAGCTGTTGAAGCGAATCTTTGCGCCAGAGTACATCCCTACAGAGCATGACTGGTTCCACTTTGACCAGCGCCGTTTGGGGCGAGTGGCCCAGGAGGCTCTCATCCATCGAGACAGCCACACGCTGCAGCTTTTACAAATCACAGATCGGTCAACGCAGAGACGAAAATGGATACACGTTTTGGTCGATGACGCGGCCTGCCTTCTTTTTATTTGTGACCTAGCCATCTACGACCAGACTCTGCTAGAGGACGAGACTGTAAACAGGCTCCACGAGGATCTTACTCTTTTTAGCTCTCTGGCCAACTCAAGATGGTTCGCCCAGACGCCATTCTTCGTCATTTTGTCCAACGTCTCGACTTTCAGAAACAAGATTCTTCAGTCGCCGCTGTCGAAATATTTCCCCAAATTTGAGGGAGGCAGTGACGGAGACGCAGCGCTCGCGTTTATTAAAGACCGGTTCCTGGAACTTGCGAAACCTGACCAGAATATAACCATACACGTTGCAGATATTTCCACTGCAGAAGATGTCATAGCTGTCATTGAGACTATGGAAAATACGTCACTTGATGGGATCTTGAAGGAGCTTGGTAGGAAACATGTCGAGCGTGACAGCTTGGATTCAGCCCTCGGCTAATTGATTGGTGGAAAGAAGTGACTGGGGGGTTGAAATAGAGTGATGAGGCTGGCTGAACCTTGAATTTTCGATATTTTATTGGAGTGTCAACAGCACGCGCGCGGCTAGCAGCCCCAACAAGTCTACGTTTTATGACCGAGAGTTAGTCCCAAGGGTCGTTTGCCGTGTCTTGGCGCTTATGGGCTGGGTGAATGTTACAATGTGGCTTGCATAAGGAAGGGCTCTATCCAAGTAATACAAGTCTCACAGTCCTATTACAGCCCTCATATCAGCAAGCCACCCCCCACAACGTATTTCGCATCGGTTTCACAGCATGCGCCAAGTTGCTATAATCTTTTCAGCTGCATCTGCCTACGTGTCCTTGATAAGGGTACAGGTAGCCAGGCCACCAGGGGATCAACTTTATACACAGGTACCTAGGCCTTCTAACTCAGTCTTTCACTACGGTCTTGAATCTTCAACACCTTCGGTTATTCACTTCCAGCAATGTCCAATAGTTGCCATTACGACTGCTCTTCGCATCCATCGGGGATCGAACCATACGGCGACGTTGCAGGCATTGGCGTACGCACCCGGTTCACCTCTATTTGCTTCAAGCCAACTGACAGTCCTGCAGGTTACGGTCGCCTTTATCTCGACGGCGTGGATAGTTGTCTTCTTGCTTATAATATATTATCTAGCTGTTTTCAATCCAGAATTAGACCCCTTCCGGAAGAAGAATGCAAATACACCTACTCAATACCCGAATCACATTGACTTTTCAGTCCTTCGACTGGTCCGCTTATTACCTAACCGACGTTTCAATCTGCACCACGCCTCTCGACTAGAACCCGCACTCAATAAAGTATGAGTCTCTATCTTCGTTGGTATATACCAATTTCGAATTAAGCTGACTATCTTCAGTGCGTTATTACCCTCTCGGATATCCAGATCTTCACAGGCATATCCGTCCTGGTCAGTGGCTGTATTGCTTTGCATTGTGGCATATCAGCCTATCATTGGCAATTAATTGTCTATCTGGCTTGGCTTGCCAATGTCACACACCTAGCAACCCTTTCCTTTCTACGCAACCACTTTGCAAACAGGCCCATGAAACTGGGATGGCGAGTAGGACTCATGTTCGCCGTACTGGGGATGCTTTGTTTTGCGGTTGGTTTGACAGCCTATTTTGAATGGGAAAATGGCCCACAGACCCCGGCTGATCACGCCGTTTGCTACCTCGGGAACCCACTAGACACCAAGACAATCACATTCGAATCTATGGTGAAAATGATATTTCTACTGGCCTATGGATTCTCTATCCGTGTCGCTAAGATGTTCAGAGGCTTCGAGACATCACTGCGGCAGATTAGTGCAATAATGAGGGCAACATCTACTAAAAGGCAGCGCGGGGGCAGTCAGAGTATTTCTGAGCTAGACCCCAGAGGGAGGGAGAGATGGCCACGACTGATTAGTACAGTAATGAAAATAGTATCACCTCCATGTTTGCACAGAGGAAGTCGGAGAATTCCTGAATGGGATCCCAGAGCTGGGGAGGGATGGCGGGAGCGTATGGCGATCCTAATATATGACCCCTTTGTCATTGCGGGCTTTAGCTTGATCAACATCCACCTTGATCTGTTTACGTCGTTCCTAGCAGAGGTACACCCTCTTCGCTTATAACTTGTTCCTTGTTTCTAATGCTTTCCAGGTGTATTGGGTGATTTTTGCGCTTATCTGGGGAACTAAACGACTATTCTATACACGAAACCTGGGACCTAGTGAAGAGAACGAGTGGTCTTTCGGTCAAACCCTACCTTTAGTTCTTCTACTGGCACCCGTGGCGGCTATTTTTGAGAATTTTCCTTGGCGATCAAAACCCAGTGGAAGAGAAGTGATAAGCCAGAGCGGCATAAATGATGGCAGTCCCGACCATCTAGAGCTTGAAGACAATCGAGTCACTGATATGAACAATATTGATCGCGAGTATGTGGATTCTATCTCTTACCTTGGTGCATTTTGTCTGGCAGCATTTAGTTACATACAAGCCGGCATCTTTTTTGTTGTTGACGACCTTCGTGGTATTTCTCAGCCTTTCAGGTCTTTTGCGTTTTCATTCTTTGTCTTCAACCCCATCTTACAGCTTTGTTGGATACTATGCTCGTTATGGTTCTCCAGAATGCATTGGATCATACCTTTAAAGCGATCAGCAAATGCTGTTGCTCTGCTTTCCCTTGCTATAATCTCAATGACAGAGTTCTGGGGATCTCCTGATGACGATCCTGAGATCGACATCGCTGGGAGGGCATTAACAAATCTGTTGGTCACATATACAGCCATGATTATAATCTTTGCGGCTAACCACTGGATTGGAGAGTCATTTTGGAAGATTCCAAAACTGGTACTTGCATTCCTCCCATTGGTGCTTTTACCTCTTGCTGTTATCGACGTGGCAAGAGACGAGGCTTGGAAATTTGCTTGGCCGTGTCTTCTGGCCTTTTCATTATCGATTTTTTGGTTTGTGGTTGAATGCTGTATGAATGAGATAAGACTGGCAGGAGCCATGCTTATAAGGTCTTTAATGTCCTGTGCTGTCTTAGTCTCTATACTCTTAATGTTCTATATAAGCAGCCTCAGGGTAGGCAACCTATTGCCAAGTGTATGGGAATTTTCAAGTTGGATAATTATTATGTGGAGCGGCTTGGTGTCCTTAGCTTTGTTGCTTTCTGTATTCGAAGATGGGGATAATGGTGAACTTGCCAGGATGTGGTTGTTGACCTTGTTTTGCCGTGGTCGGATATCTTAACAAATAACTCAGGTTTTTATCCTTTAAGTTTTCTATCTATTACATTAACTAGTCTTGCTTGTATACTGCATTGAATAGCTAAATAAACCTAACTCTAAATAGTAACTATCAAGCCTAGAGATATATAATAGGAAGCATATAGAAGAATGCTACATGTTGACGCCTCAAGAGAGGTTATGAGCTAAGCATAATTTAACATAATTAAAGTGATCACGACTTGATAATACTCAGTGCTCAAGAGAGCCCCATTTGATCCTTTACCCTCGCAATCATCGGTCGAAGATACAGATCCTTCAGCCTATCTCTTAAATAATGGTTGAAACCATACGTCAAAGCATTCGCCAGCCCAATAAACTGTGTTGGAGCTTGAAGCGCCACGTTGATTGTTTTCGAGTTCGGATTCCCAGACGCTTCCATAAGTCGGTTAATGAGTCCAGGCATCCAGAGAAGAACATACATAAAGGGGTATGCGTTAAGTAGCAGCATTCTCTTGATCTCAAGTTCGACTTGATCAGCATCTGGGCGCATATGGAATTCACTCCCGTTGGTTTGCAATACGCTCAACTGACTTTGCTGAGACTGCCTTGCCTGAGATGGCTTGGAATATAGACTGCTGGAATCTTCTAGTGTTGTCGGATCCGCTCCAGATTTCGATGCTGTAGGTCGATGCCGCACGACGCCTCCTTTTGTCTCACTAGAAGCGGCTGGGGATCTTTCTCCCAATTCAATATTGATCTCCTTGAATCTGGTATCTTGAGGGGAAAGAGGCGCTTGACATTCCTCACAGAACGTCTCCGGGTTAGTCGCTGCTATGCTTGGTTGTCCTCGCTCAAATAGATCAAGTTCGGCTTCTTCCTCGCCCATGACCTGGAATCCGCTTCTTTTCGGGCTCTTGAATGGAAGGGATGCAATTTGATTGCTAGATGGTGCATCACATCGCAATTGACGTGTATCGCGGGGCTTAGACCCGAGTCGTCTTCTCAAGTACACCCAGATGTAGATATAAATGGCAATTGTGCTGAAGATGCCGAAGATACGCCAGCCATGTGCCATTGTGTATCGTAGATCAGGGCGATTTATTGCTATCCAGCACCAGTTGCCACCGACTGGTTGCATCTCCCCCATGGAGGTTAGTATGATGCTTGTGATGAGAGGAAGGATGGAAATGGAAAGGCAAATGCATATTCTGTTGGTCATGGACACCGACGGCATATAGATTCGTCGTGTGACTGTAAAGAGAGTAACAACAGCGATGGCCAGTATCGAAAGGTCTACTCCTTGAGCTGAAAGCTGGCCGATGAAGCCATTAACAGTACAAAGTCTCCCAACACTGAGTTCTCCGTTCTTAAGATGCCAAATACCAGATACGGAATTATTCAGGTTATTTGCAAATTCTAGAGCTATTAGAAACATAAAGATGGCAAGAAGAGACACATTGCATACCGAAAAACATTAACTCTAGAATCAGCATTTGCCTGAAAGTTCGGATATGGTGATAATAAATGGCAAACGAAATGAGTACACAAGTGGTTGCGAAGAATGACATGACACTTCCTGCCAAAGTGACTGATGAGATCGCCACATGAATGTCGAACGCCATTCTAGATACTCTAAAAGCAATACAGGGTGACAGAAATAAGGACTATGGTTAAAAAAGGAGATTCAAATAGTGCGCTAATTTGCTCGGAAATAATCACTGTATTACGGTCTTTCTCGAACCGTTTAAATATTCTGTTATCATGATCAAAGCTTCTACTTTTTGCACGCTTTTGTCGGCCCGACATTTGTTTCACCGGGGAAGGGGCCGAGAATCCCCTCCCGCTCCCCTGTATAACAGGGGCTTCGAGTGGGCTATGGCATCAGGCGCGTCAAACGCAGCTACCAGTGGCATGCTCTTGATATTCTCCATGGCAGTAGAATCCTTGAGCCGTTTGATAAGTGAGTTGACTTCTTGACGTCACTTAGTAAGATCTTAAGGAGCTTGGCAAATCCTACTGAGTGTCAAAACTAGTAAAGAACCTTTAAACATAAGTAGCGCGACGGAAGTTTTGAAGTTACAACACTGACGGTCTGCTTTAGATCTTTATTTCGCAAGGTACTAATGATATCCTTAAGTATCTATATCTTGTTTTAGTTCTGCTACTCAATGTTAATAACAACTTTGCTAAAATGCTTCTGGTCCACCAGATACTGGTAAGCACTTGAATTAGTTAGCGTGGCTTCCAAATCGTGATGGCACATGTTTGACTTACTCTTTGAGCTCCTCGAGCTTGAAGACATGCTGGTCGAGAACGGGTTTGATATCGGAAGCTTCAATTGCGCGAACCTGTAGAAGTTAATAACTCGACCATGAAAAGGGGCGAAAGGGGCAGCGAGAAAAACCATGACTCAAGAACGTACCATTGCTTCGAATTGATCTCGGCTCCCAACAACGATTCCCCTGACGACAGCCATGCTGGACAGGATCTGAGGGAAGCTCGGTCCAGTCTCACCCGGCCCAGCAATCCAACCAATGATGGTAACAACCCCGCCGAGATTCACAGCTTTGAGGCTTTCCGTGATAGTGTGCGCGCCCCCAACTTCGAGGACATGGTCAACACCACCTCCAGTGAGCCTCTTGGCCTCCTCCCCCCATTTCGGAATCTCCTTGTAGTTGATGACATGATCAGCTCCCAGCTCCTTCAGCTTCTGAGCCTTGGCTGCCGAGGACGTCGTGGCCACAACTCGAGCACCCGCAGCCTTTGCGAACTGCAGAGCAGAAATGCTGACACCACCAGTACCCTGTGTCAAGACCCAGTCGCCGGGAAGAACTGCCTTCAACCCGTAGAGACCATTCCACGCCGTGAGGGCGCTACAGGGAAGGGTTGCAGCCTCAAGATAGCTGAGGTTCTTGGGCATATCCACAAGTCCATTTTCGTTAAAGACACCGTACTCCCGCAGAGTGCCATCAACAGAGCCGCCTACAGCAGATCCCAAGGCCATTGGGGTCAGCGGTCCACCAAAATACGTTTGCATAAACAAAGTTATGACTTTGGAACCTTCCTGAAAGCGGGTGACCTTCTTTCCAACAGCCACGACTTCTCCAGCGCCATCAGAGCCTGGAATGATGTTTGCCTTGACATCGAAAGGATAAGTGCCCTGAACGAGTTAGTCAAACTGGTCGTGGTAGAGAGGGATTATTTACCTGGGCAATCATGATATCGCGGAAGTTGAGAGAGGCTGCATGGAACTTGACCAGCACTTCGTTGTCGGAAAGCTCAGGGAGAGGCTGTTGGGTGTCGAACTTGAGGTTGTCAAAGCTGCCCTGGCCGACGACAGCCCAGCCCTTTGTAGTTGTTGGCAAAGACATGATGAATAGAGTAAAGTGGTTTGGAATGTAGTAGATATGTGAAGAAACTTGGTTCAGCTATTGCTGGATGGGTCAGTTAATACGTGGGTTGATTGCATGGTTTTATACTTTAAGAAATAGACTTCTGCCACCCTTGCGTCTATAATAGAGATGTCAATTTCTCCACATGGACTATGCTGCTGACCAATTTACATCTGATTGCCAGAATTCCAACCATTTCCATGATGCCTTTCTCGGGAAAAATACAACTCGAGTTGAATACTGGTACTGAGAGACTGAGAAAACCTACGTTTGTGGTTGGCTGCAGATAGTGGATCACTGTCCGTATTAATACGGTAGCGCGGTCAAGCTAGACATGGGCTTCCGTTAGGTCAGATCAACGAGTATGTGGGGGGCAACCCATGGGGCAGCGGCGCTGATGACACTCTAGTCTCTGCACGACATTAGGTGCTGGACTAAACTCGCTGCAGTGTTGAATTGGGCTGGATTAACTGAATCTAGCCACCTCACTCTATCAAAGGAAACAATGTTCTCATGCAGTAAGACGATTAATAGCAAGATTTCCACCAAAGACAACAGATCCCGGCCATTTCATGATATGTTCCCACTCACTCCCAAGAACCCCATTAATATAGCTCAGCAAACCAGCTGGCCATGGACTCAGACACCAATGCTCGTTGTAACTCATCAAAACAGCAAAGTGACCTAGAACTACAAGTGCTGCGGGGTAACGAACTGAGCACAGATCTAGGAAAATCTGGCTTACCTCAAGTCCCCAACCCCAAACTATCTTTGCAGGCTCAGGGTCGCCAACATTATCCGAAAGCGTTGCAATACAGCGGAATAGTGCTCTCACGGCCTGGAGGCATGCTCTCATATGAGCCCCTTGAACGTGACTAGTTATGTATCTCTGTAGAACTGCAAGCTGTGGATATCTTGTCTCAAGATCATTCTCAGTGTCTTGGTGATTGGTGGAGAACTTGGTGAGAAGCCATGATCCTGAGATGACAGCCGGGGGGAAGCTCTGCTGCACAAACATAATTGTAGACCTACTGAAGCGAAGTGCTTTCAGCAGCTCCTCAACCGGATCGAACGGCGATTCGGAGCGGATGCCACTTGGGCGATAGATTGGTTCTGCTACAGCATACATTGACGTGAATGCAGAAAACCCCAGCAGAGCTTGTCCATGCGCCTCAGTCAAGGATTCAAAATGCGGCCTAGCTCGGGTAATTGCAGCTTGTTGATGCGCGACAGCTCTGGCGTACCATTTGGACTGAGAGCGATCTTCGCTGTAGAGTTGGAGAGCGGTGAGGCCCAGGATACTATTCAGCAAGTAGTGGTGAGAGAAGCCCAAGCGAACAAGGTCGTGTTGCAGCTGTCTCGTAGTCTCCGTCATGTCGCCTGTCACAGGATATCGGTGCCAGTGCTCCAGCAACTCCAGATCAGCTAAGCTGTCTTCGTTCAGTGGTGGCTTGGTCAGCGTCGGGGACGAGAAACTGCACATGAGGTTGGCCCGCTCGCACTGCAGACATCGCGGATGCACCTCGTTGCACTAGAAAGTTTAGCTGCGGGTTCTCTGCTTTCGGCACTGGGAAGATATTCACCTTGGCGTGCTTCTCCTTGCATTGAACACAACCCTCTCGGGACTTTCTGTGACCTCTCCGCTTTCTAATCATATTTACCATGCCTCCGTGTTGGGTTGCAAGATACGCTAGCGTTACAAAGGGCCCCGGCGCCGTATAAATACGGCGATTAGAGTTTATATGCGGAATTAGTTAATCTTATCAGTAGAGGGCTGACAAATTGACTACTGTAGAGCCCAGCGCAAGTTAGCCTATAGCAGTCGACATAAGCTTGTAATGGGTGCATTTCATTGGTCGCTCATCACAGTTACTTAACCTACCCGGTACGACTCAACAATCGTCGGCATTGTCTTAATTATACATAATATTATGTCCTAGCTTTAATGAGCCAACTGGTACTGCATCTATCTCATCAACGTTTCGTTTCGGGACCCAGCAGTGCTATGATCTTCATTACACATAGGCCCTAGTCTCACCTCTATGGGCTTCTTGTAGCATATATCATCTAGCTGTATACCTCCACTCTCGCTCAGACACTTCCACGTCTCACTCATGAAAGTGATATCGGCTCGACATCCCTCACATCAGAATTTCACCGTCTCACATTACTACCAATATATGTCCGAGGTTGTACAGTAAGTAGAGGTCATTGTCAATGCATTCGTTAGAGAGCATCTCCAGTACTTTCGTTACATACAGTTGCAGTATCTGCTTTTTCCTGTCGGGGTTACCGCGGTATCTGAAGTACTGCGTAAAAGTTACTGCAGCCTGGATATCATGTGACTCAAGAGCGTCAAACTCCACAGATACTGCTTCGATCTTGTCAAAGAAGCCTGAAGACCTTGCTGAACCGGCATCCTTGGCAGTAGCAAGCTCTAGACATGCGGGCACCATATAGGTATAGACAAGGTTAACAGCCAGCTCGTGAAGCTCAGTTATAGCCTCGTTCTCATAGAGCTCTGATCGCAATACTAGCTTCATCATGGTCTTTGATACTGAAGAGAGTCTTGCCGTAGTACTATCTGATTGTGAAGAGATCGTCTTATTCACCGTACAAAAAAGCCTTTGAAATAGCCCGGACAAATGTGTTTCTGGAAGATGGTATCTTGCTGAGGTTTCCTTTACAAGCAGCGAAACAAAGTCTCCCCTAGGTTCCCAGCAGCATGCCATCAAGTACTTTTACAGAGCTCCTATTTTGACTTGGTAGAAGTAGATATCGATGATAGGCAATATCCTATCCAATAGTGACTGACTGTTCTCCATTCCTGTGTGGGATGAACTCATCAATGCAAACACCAACAACCTTATAAGGATCCAAGCAATGTTTTCTGGACAAGAGCAAATTTCCAGATTCCCCAGTATGCACATACCCATACTCCTTCATTATATCCATAGCCGCATGAGTAAAGTCCTCCGGCACAAGCGCCCTGCCACTAGGGAGAGGCAATTCGTGAATAATTTTCACGTTCTCCTTGTTCTTCCTGCAAGCGGCAGCATACAACTTGTGGGCCTGTATATCACCCGAGAAAGCTACTACGTCGAAGGCTTTGCCAACGTCACCAACTTGCACAAGTCCCAGTCCGTCTTGCAGGACTATCCTGTCATCACTGTCTGCTTCTGCAGCCGTGTCACCGAGGGAGCTTCCTTGGAACGCAGTCATGGCCTCGAAGATGAGTGCACACGGGGTGAGGATAGTACATCCGCAGTTGATACTGACGTGGCATTTGATGCTTGCCGTACTCCAGTTTGCAAGGCGCGAACAACACCCATTCATCGAGACCATGCGGTAGTTCATGGAATAATTATGCACCCTGAAACCTATGACGTCTGAATGTTCCTAGGCTGTGCCGCTCACCGACCGGTCCTCCCATCCCACGGGTTTTGCACTGGGATCTGTAGTCTCCCACATTGGCTGCAGCGTTTCGAGTAATTTCATCCGATATTGAACCAGCTCATCGCATCCCGGGTCCATGATGGCTCCCAAGATGGTAGCGCATTGGCTCAGAGTCCTACCCGTCTCGTCTTTAACCACGTCTCTGGGCTGGTCATACGTGGGAATGAGCTTCCTACTGATGAGGCCAGTCTTGATCTTCTTGCCACAATTTCAGCCTTTGAAGATGAACTGAAAATCACCATTTCCTTGGCTGAGTCGGATCTTCATGAACTTGCGTGGCGTTCCGATGAGACCTGTCATGGCTAATGCTTTCGCCCGCCCTTCCTTCTTCAGCCTCTCGAGGTTGAGTACCCCGCGAAGCAATCGGTAGACGGGACCTGATTGTCGCTTTCTACCAGCGGAACTCAGTTCCATCCAGTTTCCCTTGCCTTACTGGTAACTCCAAGCTTGGTCCATGCTAACCCTGTTTCAGCAGACAGTTTCTTGAAGAAATTGAATGAAATGGATGTAATGTCCCTTCTCGACAGCTCCGTCTTCACCTCATCCTCGGTGAAAAGGTCCGCTAAAGATGCCCAAAAGGCCCCTGAAGATGTCCGCCATGTCTCTGCACTTGCGTGGCCGGAGAGAGATGGCAGAAAATATGTTGCTTATCCCTCTACAGTTCTCCCGCCACCAGTAGGAGCCACCGTTCATGATGTCAGTCCTCGCACTATTGATTCCTTTCACCTGAGTCCGCAGGCTAACGAGGGATAAGATATCCTCTCCAATGACCCTCAGTATAGCGTTGACTGCTGCTGTCTTAAATAACCGGCCATTCTCAATCCAATCGTGCAGTTTGACCGCTTTGTCAGCGCACTCAATTGCCAAATCCATTCAGGTATGGAGTTGGCCGATGTAAAAGATGCTTTCGGGGTTTGCCCCCCCCAATTGTGATATTTTTGCCGAGGGTCATCTCTTGGAACGTCCAGAGACGAGTGAAATAGTCATTGTTGAAGAGTGATGCTAGGAGTGACATTCTATTAGACTCAAATAACCTAAGCCCCCTCTATATCCAAGACTCCCACAAAATCCACTTCCCCCCAATCCTTGTTATCAGTGAGCAGGCAGCAATATGGTCAGAGATACCCTCGAATTTATGCTCTCTTATCTAAAAAGGTGTCTCACTATCCAAAAACAGTGCTGTTTCTCTTTTCCATCTGTCGATCAGTCAGGTCAAGCCATTGTTATGGTGACAATCGTATCTTGATCCCTTTCTTGGGTCCATATCCTTCTGCCCCACGGGGCGCAATGACGTCGCATTAAATCCTTCTGATCCTTCGACAAGCTAGCCCAGAACTAAAACAAACCACCCTTCCTCAAACTGGGGATAATCGACAAAAGTATGGGGAATAAGCTTATGGGATATAAGTTTTTCCAGATTAACTAGGCCATGCATTGACTAAATTGGAGGACCGAACGAGGTCATAGCCTCACTGATCCACTAAGGCTGTGCGACAACACCAGCCAAGAGCCACGACACGTCATTCTATGCCTCTACAATGATGATCATTTCAGGCAACATTTTTTAATCCTGTTAGACAACAGAGAGATCGTCAGAATGTTTCATTTATATGCCGCCAGGTCAAGTCTTGGCAAACTCACAGCAGTTATATAAGGGCATTGATGTCAGCTCGACTTCCTCCACCATCAGCAGCTCACAAGCCTCAACTTACTACACCACTATACTTATTACCCTTACCCAACTACTTCTTCCTCACAATGCATTCTACTTTTCGCATCGCTACCTTGATGGCCTTGATTGGTTACGCTCAAGCAGATTTCGCAGTCGGCACTTCTGCATCTCAAAGTATGCAGTTATCTCCTCCTTTGCTCCCCTTTTTGTTTCTAACCTCAACTTAGTGGGAATCGGAGAGATTGTTCCTGATACTGGAGGTGATATCTACAACACTGACGCAGTGGCTGTATCATACCCGGGCGGCTGTCTCGATAACGTCCAGCAATTCGAGGTATATTCAGACCCCAAAATACTCAAAATCCTATATTAATGCTTCCCCAGTGTGTTTCCGAGAGGTGCCTTATCGAAGGATTCTTTGAGATTCGAGGGCTGAAGACAGAGGATCAGTACGGCTTTAACTGGAATGGCGAAGGATGGGAATTCTCTCAGAACAGCGAAATCTTGGGCTTTTGCACCAAGAACGACGATGAAGGGTGCACTAAGACGGGAGTGAACTACTCGCTTGGATTCTTCTCACACATGCTTTGCACTGGTTCTATCAACTCTGGGTTCTAGAATGTACAATAGTTTATCTAGGTTTATCTCTTATCAGCTTTATGCTATAGCAATTGGTCATACATCTTGGTGTAATGTCTAACTTGGCAGAGAGAACTCAATACAATGATTTAATTGCTTCAGATTTACTGGACCTAAGAGCCTCTGTAAATTGTGTCGTGTCCCACCTCTCGTAACAACCATTGAACATGCGGGTTGTGGAGCAGGTTGCGGCGTGGCTGCTGGACCCGATGATAAGGCCAATCAATGCCGGCCCTCGCACCCAACACCAATCGGAGTTTCGTCCTCGCGGAAGAGCCGGGTCATGGCCGTGGAGCTTGGAAGGCACTTATCTCTCCTGGGTTATAATCCAAAGCACATCACTTCCTATTATTAAAGTGCAATCTCCCTTGCAGATTCTTGAAACAATAGCTCTCCCCGTAAAAAGTTATCCGAGTACCCTTCCCTGGTTGAAAAACATCGGGTAACTGTCCCTAGACTCGGGAAAGCGGGCGGGTAACCTTGGTGGTCCGGGCGCTACTGTTAGTGCATATTAGCCATGACGTTTGATTCGTCAAGTAGCTAATCCTTGTTTCAGCTCATTTCTTGCGTGCTCTAGCTACCCTGACTAGGCAGGTCGTTTGGGGATTCAGAAGCATGGGAAAGGAGGCAGAATGATTTGAGCATTTGATATGAACCTCTCTTGGAATACATAATGACTATGAATAAAGTGAATCAATTCGAATTAGTTGTACAATGGCTGGAAATCTCGATCCCTGTAAGTAGTCCTGGCTCGCTTACGCCTTTGCTCTCCAGTCCACGTCCAGATACAGCTGGGGGGCGATAAGCCATGGACTTGAAGCAGACATCCACCAAGAAGAATCGCCGAAAAGGGTGCTGCATAGCACTCAGGCTGACAAGGAGGTAGGCATCCTGCGACGCCACTAGGCAAGGATGTAAACATGTCAACCAACAGATGTAACCTTGCGGTGCATATATTTGTGATACGAACCGAATAACGGATAGCTTAGTCTAGCGTTACTCTCTCTCTCTCTCTCTCTCTCTCTCTCTTGGAATCAACCCCTACAACACTCGCTATATTGAACATGTCTTGGAAACGTTCCTCTTTGGCTGAGATCGGTTTCTTCTACGATGAAGATCTCCTAAGTGAAGACCAAAAGGATAAAGGCAGAAAAGAGTTCCCGCCCCATGTTCGAAAGCTTGAGTTAGCGATGCTTGACTTTACGTGCCAGGAGCTAGACATGCCTACTAGGAAAGATCTCAAAATCCAACTTGAAGCTGAAAGACTTGCCAATGGTGGGTTTTCAGAAGATCGCTGGGTAGACTTCTTTCGAACATTCTTCTTCAATCCACTTCTGCAGCATGCTTCAGCATCCGGGGGTAAATCTCGAATGTCAGTATAGTCCTGTGGAGAGGGTTCCTACTAATACCTTTCTTCTCAGATCGTCAAGATGCCAGTACTACTATGATTCTATCGTGTTGTAAGTATCTCCAAACTCAAGCATTAGTTAGGAGTAGAAACTCACAACTATGATAGCGACACTGACTCTATATGGGGGGCATTCGACAAGAGGAACGAAATAGTAAAAGCGTTCAAGGCTCCCAAGCCCGACCTCGTCTTTTACCTTCCGATGTATCATCTGGAAACTTATATACCCACGATAACTGATTACGAGGCGCAACAATGGCACAAATCATCAACTCCTTCCCTTGTGGAATCGTTCTCATGGTCGAATTTGAAGAACCTACATAAGTTTGGCTTACAAGTCACCCCCTTCAACGTTTTGGAAAAGGAGAAACCCCAAGAACAAGACCTGAGCTGTTTTCCATGGCTTATCGTCGAATATAAGAAAGCCAAAAGTGCTCCTGGGGAGCTGGACCGATTGAAGGAAGTTGTTTACTGCCAAGCAGCCAATGCCAGTGGGTGTGCTGTCAATCTGAACGAGAATGCAGCCAGATATGCTGTTAAGTTGGTCAATGACGCCCAAGTCCCCCCTGTTGTAAGCGTGACCACTGTTGGGCCCCAGGTCAAAGTCTGGATAACTTTCTTTGCGAGAGACTTCATGGCATATTGTTGGGACTTCAACGGCGAAAAGTATGAGAAACAGGAAAAGGGTTACGTGAGTATAGAAATACAGTGAGAATTCTAATGACGGCGCTAATCACTGTAGCTAGATGATGCAATGTATCTGGACAGGTGACATGACTGCACCTCAAGATATCCTTCAATTCCGGCTCATACTCGAGAACACATATACTTGGGCAAAACGGGTGTTCAAGCCATTGATGGCCACATACATTGATCAGTGGAAGTTTGCTTGCATTGATGACATTCCTAGCGCTGCTTATACGGAATCGAAACGTCGGAGAGAGAGACTGGAGCTCTCTAGATGTGCGTTACGGCTTACTCTAGCTTCTCGAGATGCTCAGCCAGGTCTGCAGCCTGGCTCTGACTCATATCGTTCTGTTACAAACAATCTTGTCGACATCTGCGATCGATTCGTTCAAGACGTCGACCGATTGATCGCCGAGGAACTCAAGCGATCAAGTGAAGGTAACAAAAGGGCATCGTCCAGCAGCAGTACACGAAGAAGGGCACGGACGCCTAGCGAGCCGCCTCGAAAAGCTAGTCCCAAATCTGAAGATATGACTCCGATAAGTGTTCCGCGACGAAGTCCACGGTTGGAACCACGAAACAAACCACAGCCGTCTCATGATATCACTGCTAGAGTGGACACTGTCTCTTTAGGTCTCAGAGTAGCTATGGCAGCTGGGGCACCCAAGAGACGGCAAAGCCAGAGTAAACTCCTCGCGCCGCCAATCGAGATTGAACTTGTACCAGACTCTTCATCTGGGGAATCAGTGGCCTCTAGCATAGTGGCTGACGAGGATATTTCAATTGTGAACCTGTCAGAGGAGGATACTTAGAGTGACATTCAGGAGTAGCTGTTGAGGAAGGTATGTACTTATTGTATTGCTCTGGATGGAAGTATATTTATTGCTTGATTTTTATTTGTAGAGGAGGGCTCTATTATAATGTAATATTAGATGTAGTTCTAGTTATGTATGTTTAACTTTTGAGTCAGAACCATCAACGTTTTACCATTATTCCTTCCTGTTCTCTTGCCTACTGGATCAAAAGCTGTATGCCCCATTGTATTAACTGGCGATGTGCGGCAATTAAGCCGAATACACTTATATACTTCATCGCATTGTATTCTCATATTGGCCACTGCGTCAGCGGCAATCATGGTCTGACATTATTCGGAGGCACAAGTTCAACTATTAACTGGTCTCACTGCAACCGTACCTGCAAAGTGGAGAAGCAACGGTATAGCTACAGTCGCATGAAAAACCACCAACACATCAAACCACCTTTAGGACGAAGTTCCCCGCAATCGCGTTTGTTAGCTCTAAGCAGTTGTGAGCTAGAAGTGTTATTTGCCGCTGAGACCTGTGGCTGAGAGCTTAATCCGGCCGAGAGAAGATAGTTTGCTCTAAGCAACAGTTGATTTGCGAATGACAAATGTAAGATTCCCCAATCGCTTTTCCTTTGCTGCATTACGCTTATCTTTTAACCGATGTACTGGTACCTAACCTATACCAAACTGCCGAGGTGTCTCCAGTAACCCCTCCTCGGCTTTTTCATTCTGTCATTATCAACAGCTTTGAAACATTACCTATAACTTGACTCAAGCCATGGTACTAAATCAGTTGATACGCTTTCTATATAAGATTCAATTTTAACACAAAGACTTTACCTCAGGACCGCCCTCCCTTGCCGTCTCAGCGTTTGCTTGTCTTATCCATTCTGAAAGCCATGTCTCGCTTACTCATGTCTCTTGTTGAGTCAAGAAACGCAAGCTTTTACATATCCGTTGTGTTTGCCAGCGTGAGTGAGAGATTCTCAAACATCCATATTTCGCTTTGCACAAGTATCCCAATTAACGTGAGTTAATGGCCACTAGCTTGTACTATATCTCGTCGGGAAGATAATATACAATATCTTCTTCCATCCCCTTCGCAAATTCCCCGGCCCGATACTATGGGCCATGACACAGATACCTTTCTCTTTGGCCTGGACTTCTGGTGCCGGACACAAGAAGATTTATGACCTGCACCAAATCTACGGCGACATCGTTCGAGTCGCCCCCAACGAACTTAGTTTCGGGTACCCCGAAGCTTGGGAAGACGTCATGGGCCATCGTAAGCGTGGACAGGCCGAGAATGGCAAGGACCCTGACTTTTGGAGAGGCAACGACATTTACACTCTGGTGGGATCGGATCGTGAGAGGCACAGCAGGCTCCGAAAGATCCTGTCCCATGGATTTTCCGCGCAGGCAATGATGGAGCAACAGCCAGTCTTCCAACGCTACGTGAACACAATGATGAAGAAACTGAGGGAAGTTTCGTCGGGAGGTCAATCTGTCGAGATGACGCAGTGGCTCAACTGGGCTACTTTCGACATGGCGGGAGATCTTATCTTTGGCGAGTCCTTCGATTGTCTTGAAAAGGCGCAGTACCACCCATGGGTGAAACTCCTCTACAAACACATTGAAGGGTTCGCCGTTTCAACTGCTCTTATTCGATATCCCTTTGCCGACACTATCATCAAGCTCATGACACCCAAACATGTCGCGCAAGACATAAAGGCCCACAGTGACTTTACCAAGGCACAAGTTGGAAAGCGCATGGCGTATGAGAATCCTCGGCCAGACTTTATGGAGTCCATGATAAGAGCCTACGAGAAAGGTGTACGTTGATGCCTTTACCGGGAACACTGACAGGTACACTGACGCTCGTCTATAGCAGGTCAATCATGCAGAGCTCCTTGCTAATGCACACAACCTAATCACCGGCGGCTCGGAGACAACTGCGACCACTCTGGCCGGCACTATATACCTATTGGGGACACACAGACCGATTCTGACGAAGCTATATGTAGAAATAAAGGAACGGTTCCAGAGCGAGGAGGATATTGATCTTCTCAGCGTGCAGAAGCTCGAGTACATGTTTGCAGTCTTGCACGAGGGGCTTCGTGTCTACCCAGCAGTACCAGCCGCGATTCCTCGCAAGACAAGCGAAGCGGGCATGATTGGCAATCACTATGTCCCGGCCAATGTAAGTAAATTACTCTCAGTTTTATGTGGCATCTACAGTTGCTCACACACGAATCAGACCATAGTTTCCATTTGGCCGTGGCCTATGTTTCACAACCCGAAGTTCTTCAAAGATGCTGAGTCTTTTGTACCCGAGAGGTGGCTCGGGGATCCCAAATATGAGGACGATAAAAGAGTTGCTGTGCAGCCCTTTTCTGTTGGACCCCGTAACTGCATTGGTAAAAAGTGAGTCCCTCCACTTGGCTATCTGGACTGGATAGTGCTAATCTGCTTTAGTCTGGCCTATGCTGAGATGCGTTTGATTCTGGCTAAATTGATATGGAACTTTGACATCGATATTGATCCCCGGAGCGAGGAATGGCTGGAAAAGAACACTGCCTTCCTACTGTGGGAAAAACCAGATCTCTGGGTCCGCCTCACTCCACGGTCCGATCTCTAGGTAGATAGGTACGCCAAATACCGACCTTGGGACTGTGGTAGGGACTGGCATTAGACGAGGCCGAGGTATCAACTTTGCAGACGGGTTGACAGTGCCCGAGGGAGACCAACAGAATCTACCGTGTTCAGGTAGGTCCGAGGTTCTATTCGAATAGGATAGGCAATTTGCAAGGCATGTATGTTAATGGAGCCGTGAAATTGACATAGCTGACACCTGATTGTTGCACGCACGTAGTTTACCTCGGAGATATGAAGCCGGTTACTATCCTGTGAAAAATGACAAAATAAATTACTTTGAGATCAAGGCTGGCTCTCTTGAGTTTACATGTGACGGATGTGTCGCATTCTCAGCCCAGACTCGCGTCTCAAAGTCTGTCTTTTACACTGAACTTCGTTGCACTGGCATTGTACAAGACTTGCAATACCGGGCTACCACTTCAATGGAATACGAACTAGTCTCAAGCATATATAATTGGATGTGAATGCCATTACTGAATGATTCCCTTGCCTTGCGAATATGGACATGCACAGCAGTAGAACTTAAAGTGCGGGAGAAGAGAAATGCAAACTTATGGTTTAAGTCAAGTGAGTTCATTCGTGGGCTTGATGGGTACGATACCATATGGTTTAGTGCCGCCTTCTTGTCCTCCTGATCCCCATTACAACTTTGGCGCATTGAGTGTCTTCGTCTTTGACTGATACGCCTTAACGAGCTGACGAATAGCCAAATCAAACATGACATCCTCAGTACCCCCAGGGATCCTCGCAGCCGGCACCTCTCTATAGATCTTTTCCACCAGCTCTCCCTGGCCGGTCCGTGTGTATCCATTACCGCCAAAGAGCAGAACAGCACAGCGAGCGCATTCGTCAATGACGAGGCCGGCTTTGGCTTTGGCTAACGCCAGCAGACCTCCCAAGACCTGGCTCATATCTGGGCCCTCAAGATTAGACAGCTGATAGACGAGCTGCTCCGTCCAAGCTGAGATTGATTCGAGCTCTGCACCTGCCCTGGCTAGACGGTTACGAACGACTGGCTGGTCCATCAGAGGCTTTCCAAAGGCTTCGCGCTTGAGAACATATGCAAACGCTGCTGAGAGGGCTGCCCTAGCTGAGGAGACAACACCAATCGAGATTGCAAGTCTTTCGTGGTTGAAGTTCCGCGTAATCATCTTCATGCCTTGGCCTTCCTATACCGCGAACTTATTAGTGGTGGGTTTTCATGGAAGGTTGATGTAGACGCACCGGACCGATCAAATTCTTGACTGGCACTTTGACATCCTCCAGGTCAATGAAGGTTGTGCCGCTTGTCGTTCCTCCACTTGTTTTCATTCGCCGCATGGTGACGCCTGGATAGTCCAATAGTGGAACCACAAGAAGCGATAGACCTGAAGCACCAGAGCCTCCTGTACGAACGGCCATCGTAGCGTAATGCGACCAGATACCGTTGGTGATCCTATGTTGAGCAACCAATACGTTAGGGGAGCATAGGTCAACAAGAATTGAACAACTGACCACTTCTTCTCTCCGTTCACAACGTAGAACTTGCCGCAGGGACTCTTCTCAGCTGTCGTAGTAATGTTCGCCACGTCACTACCAGCGTCAGGCTCAGTGATGGCAATGCAGATCCTCTTCTTGCCCCTTATCAAATCCGGAAGTAGTTTGTTCTGCAACTCGGCGCTACCATATGTAATGATTGGGGGCATACCATAGGCCATGCCAGTCGACAGGGAAGAAGCTGGACCGCCAATACCAACTCTGCGCATTTCAGTGATGTAGATGGAAAAGTGCATGTAATCGAACTCTTCAATGCTGAGATCCCCTGCGAGCTTAGTGATTCCGAGCCTCTTTAGCATATCGATTGGCAGTGGAGCGGGCAAATTGGGGATGAGCATGTTGTGCTTGGAGAAGGTCTCAAAGACGTGATCAGGGACGCTTCCCTCGGTCTCCCATTGTAGCGCATACGGTGCCAAGTGCTCTGAGATAAATTCGCGGCATGCCTTCTGCCATTTCCTGTGGGACTCGTTATAATACGGTGATGGCAGACCCGTGAGCCATGGAGGTTCAGAGAAGGGCACTGTTGGTGCCGCGGAGCTCATGGTGGCGTAATGGGCTTGGTATGAAAGGAAGGATTTGGCACTGGCCCATACATGAGGAACGAGGAACCACTGGTACACAAAGTATTCGAGCCTAAGCTGTAAGCTTCTATACGTAAAAATGTAGCAGAACAACGGTAATTCCCACAGTAGATGAAGGCTATCGGGCTGCGTGATATCAGATTGGGCCGGTAACTGCCACTGCCTTAGTTACCGAGGCCCGACGACTAACCTCCGAGATGGAGGATGTAAGTAAACAATCCATATTGGTAGGAATAACTAGTAGAAGATCATATTACGACTTCAATTGCGTTGAGCGCCGGTCTTTCATTGTCATCTCTCCAACGATCCCTTTGCTTCTCTATCCAGACCACCATGCTACAAGTCTCCCGCAACGTTACAACCAGAAGAAGCATTGCATGGGGTTGTACAGCAGATAAACACCGATACAAACTTGACAGCACCAAAATGGCATCTAGTGGCATAAAGGCTGCACGATCCTTTAGTTCTACTGCTACATTACGAGCACGGCTTGGCATCAGCAGCAATGCCACCATGCAGGCCATAGTCATCGAGGGTGACCAAGCCCGACTCAATCGTACCCGGAAAATGCCAAAACAATTAGATGATATGCTTCTCGTCCGGCCAGTATCCGTCGCACTGAACCCCACAGACTGGAGACACATTCGGGGCCGTAGAGCAAAGGACGGCTGTATCGTGGGCTGCGACTACGCTGGCATTGTTGAGTCAGTCGGATCGACCGTCACTAAGAAATGGAAGCCCGGTGAAAGGATCTTTGGCGTCGCTCATGGAGCTAATCTTGTCAATCCTGATGACGGAGCCTTTGCCGAGGTGATCTCTGTTATTGGAGATCTGCAGATGAGAATGCCGAATTCACTGAGTTTTCAACAAGCTGCGACGTTGGGTCTGGGAACAGGAACTGTTGGCCAGGGCTTGTTTCAGAAAAGCCTCAAGCTGAGGCTACCCAGTGCATCAGTATCAGAGGTGACCAGGCATGATGAGCCTGTTCTGATCTATGGAGGTGGTTCTGCAACTGGAGCCTTGGGGATACAATTCGCGAAAGAGTGAGTCGTTAAACCATGCCAATATTCCACAAGAGAGCTATAATAACCAATCATTCAATATGATAGAGCTGGATATACAGTCATCACCGTATGCACACCCGATCACTTCGACTACGTCAAGAGTTTAGGAGCGCATTTCGTCGTCGACTACAAAGATCCCGATGCAGGTCACAAGATCCGAGAATATACAAAAAACAAGCTGCGGCTCGCATGGGACACTATCAGCATACCAGACTCGGCGCGCATATGTGCTGAAGCTCTCACTAGTTCCTCATCAGCAAACCCTGTATATGGCAGTCTTTTGCCGACCAAGAACCCACGCGCAGACGTGACCTCGATCGCGACGGTGTTTCATACAACGTTTGGTCGAACTTTTGATTTCGGAGGACAGCATATGCCAGCTAGCAAGGACGACTACGAGTTTGGAAAGTCGTTTTATGGTCTTGCGGAACAGTTGATAGCGCAGGTTCGTTGTGCTCCATTCTTTGAGGAATTGCTCTTGCTGACGAGGTCTCCCTCCTTAGGGTCGTATTCGACCGCATCCGGGCCGCGTTGGAGGGGGCGGTTTGAGAGGCGTGATAGACGGCTTGGCAGAGCTGGAGGCCGGAAAGGTACAGGGTGAGAAACTCGTTTACAATGTCGCGGATACACCTTGAAGAAGTTTACTTGTTAGAGATAGTCTTATAGACGACACAGACAGAATGAATACCGAGACCTTAATTTGGATAGGTGTTCACATCAGATATAGTGAGCCTCCATATCTGGTCCTTCACATGAAGATTGAGACCCCCAAGTTGGTATTTAGTGGACTCATCATTGTTTACTACTCCTAGCCTGTTCACGTTCGTCCCCAATGCAAAACCCCCAACTCAAAAGCTTGTGCATGCCGCAAGTCTGTTGGTGAAAGCCCTCTTCACCACAGAAGAAGTAGGTGCAAACCGCTGAAAGGCGTGCGGAACACCCTGATAGATGTGAAGCTCAGTAGGAATACCGGCCTCGATAAACCGCTGAGCATAAGCAACATCCTCTCGGAGAAACATGTCGAGTCCACCACAATCCAGGTACAGAGGAGCAAGGCCCTCGAAAACCTCCAGACGCGCTGGTGCAGCAACTGGCGGTACTTTGTCGGTTTTGTAAAGGTCTCCCAAATATGACATCCAGCCCGTCAAAACGTCTTGGTACCCGAAGATCGCAAGGCCGCCGGTCAGATCCCTGTCAGTACGATCATCAAGCATAGGATAGATAAGTATCTGCTTGGCTAGGGGGGGAGATAACTGTCTGTCCCTGGCGAGGATGGCGATGCCTGCAGCAAGGCCACCACCTGCGCTTTCACCCATGATAGCGATACGGTGCGGGTCAAGGCCGAGCGCAGCGGCATTTGTCTGGACGTGGAGTAAAGCAGACCAACAGTCCTCCAACGGTACGGGAAACGGGTGTTCAGGAGCGAGTCGGTATTCAACTGAAAGCATGGGGACTCCCGTAGCAGAGACGTAGGCTGCTAGTGTTGAGGAATAGTCACTTGCACTGGAGCCTGTATATCCTCCCCCATGAATGTGCACGATGCCAGGACCGGGCTGCTCACTGAGACTGCTCTTTTGTCGGAAGTGCAGGATTATCACTTTGAATCCATCTGAGGCCTCAGCCAAATGGGCCAGCATTTCGACGTTGTCTGGTAGTGGCTGTCGACCGTCTGGGCCACGGATGAAATCCTCGATTTGCTTTCTTCTACTTTCCACGTCACCCACCGGGAAGACGTGTCTCTGCGCTTCAATCTTGGTAGCACCTAGTTTATAAAACTCGGGGTCGTACTGAAGACGAGACATGATGAATCAAGTCTTTGTTGAATGATCCTTTGGCTCTCTCTCAGCTTCTCGCTGGCGACAAGTTAGATCGTATACTCTTTTGCAGAGCAGATACAGATTTCTACCAAATACTGGATTTGTTCCCTTTTGGTGAGCTGAGCGGGGCTTCTCCTCCCAGGGATCACTGTCGGCTACAAAGCTTCGCTAGCCATGCAGCAAGTGTGTTGATAGCCTCGGGTCCACTCAAAGGATGATGGGTCTGAGTACCCTCGGGCAAAGGCAAAGACTTGAATTCACTCTGCAGCTGGTCAATATTTTGACAATGGATGTTAGCTAGTCCCATAAACTGGATGAGAGATAATAACCAACTTTCTCTATTCTGAAGTCTCAAGGTCACCGTATGATCTCTCCAGCAAAACTTAATTCCAAAGATCTTTACCGTACTGCGCTGATTCCGAGTTTTGTGAATTATTCACTCTAGAAGATGAACCTACGATACGAGGGACAGGTAGTGGTCGTCACTGGGGCTGGCTCTGGGCTGGGTAAAGCCTATGCCAAGTTCTTTGCCAACAGGGGCGCCAGTGTCGTCGTGAACGACCTGGGAACATCTTTGAGAGGCGACGGACAGGGTTCCAAGGTAAGATTAACCTAGCCTCGCTATCTCAGTTTTATTGCTAATCTACGTATGAAACAGAGCGCAGATGCAGTCGTTGATGAGATTATCGCCGAAGGTGGCAAAGCGGTGGCGGATCATCACTCAGTCGAAGATGGAGCCACTATCATTGAAACAGCGATCTCATCTTTTGGTCGTATCGATATTCTCATCAACAACGCTGGAATTTTGCGGGACGTGAGTTTTAAAAACATGACAGATGCCGACTGGGACTCGGTCCAAAACATCCATGTGAGAGGTGTGTACAAGACGACACAGGCCGCATGGATTCACTTCCGCAGACAAAGATTTGGCAGAGTCATATTAACCTCATCTGCTGCTGGTCTGTATGGAAACTTCGGTCAGTGCAACTACGCTGCTGCCAAGTCCGGCTTGATCGGGCTCGGCGAGACTCTGGCCAAGGAGGGACAGAAATACAACATCTTGACAAATGTCGTTGCTCCGGTCGCCGCTAGTCGTATGACAGCCACGGTGATGCCGCCGGATCTACTTCAGCATCTGACACCAGAGTGGGTAGTGCCACTGGTCGCAATTCTAGCTCACCAAAGCAACATATCCGAGAATGGTTCCATTTTTGAGGTCGGTGCAGGACATGTTTCAAAAATCCGATGGGAGAGATCGAAAGGATCTATTCTTAAGTGTGACGAGACCTTGACTCCTGGCGCTGTTCTCGGGAAATGGGACCAGATCAACAACTTTGCAACTCCTGACTATCCTTCCACTACTGCCAACTTGGTTGAACTTCTCAAGCATTCACAGAAGCTTCCACCTAACATACAGCAGGAGGAGGTCCGATTTGATGGAAGAGTCGCTGTTGTCACTGGGGGAGGCGCTGGGTAAGCTTCGCTGTTTTATTATCCACGATAAGCAAATTCTTACTAAAAACCTGTTCTCTGGCAGACTCGGTAAAGCTTATTGCATCGGACTAGCCAAACTTGGGGCCTCTGTTGTCGTAAATGATTGGAAAGACCCTTACAGAGTTGTGAATGAAATCATGTCGTGTGGAGGAGTGGCTGTTCCAGACAATCACTCTGTGGAAGACGGTGACGCTGTAATCGATACAGCTATCCGCGCTTTTGGCAGAGTCGACATATTGATCAACAACGCGGGTATCCTGCGAGATAAAGCGTTCCAAAATATGACCGACAAGATGTGGGACGATGTGAACAATATCCATCTCCGCGCGACCTACAAGTGCGCTCGAGCAGCATACCCCTACATGGTTAAGCAGAAGTACGGCCGAATCGTGAACACAACGAGTACGAGTGGAACCTACGGGAATTATGGACAGGCAAACTATGCCGCAGCAGTATGTTGGTCTTTTCCTTTTCACATTTCGCAACTTTGTGCAGATACTTATCAAGGGCTAGAAAACAGCAATTGTAGGCTTCTCCAGAGCCCTGTCCATCGAAGGTCGAAAGAACAATATTGTCGTAAATTGTATATCACCATCAGCCGGTACCGACCTCACCAAGGGGGTTCTTCCAGAGGAGGTCGTAAGATCTCGCAAGCCAGAATATGTAGCGGCGATTGTGCTGCTCCTTTCATCTGACAAGGTCCCCAGCGACGCCAGCGGCAAGATATTCGAGGCTGGCTGTGGCTGGCACGCGGTGACGAGATATCAGCGATCAGATGGCTACGATTTCCCAATTGACACGCCTCTTACGCCGGAGCTTGTGCTTGAGAAATGGAGCGAAATTGTCTCATTCACTCCTGGTAAGGCATCGACACCTACTGATGCTGGGGATACTCGCCGGCGTATCTTGGCAAACGTTGCTAGATTGGGAAAGGCCTCACTGAACAACCAGAAGTGGCTCGATGCTATCCAAATGGCCAAGAACGCGAAGCTCCAGCCAACTGAGATGAGCTTTAATGACAGAGATATCATTCTGTACAACATTTCCATTGGCGCTAGCGTATCACAGCTTCCCTGGGTATTCGAAAAGCATCCTGGCTTTGAGGTTATCCCTTCTTTCGGTGTGATTCCAGGCACAACCGCAGTCAGACCATTCGATTTGAACGATCTCGTGCCCAATTTCTCATACAAGAAGCTGTTACATGGGGAGCACTATCTTGAAATCCACAAGTCTTCGATTCCTACCGCGGGGACCTTTGTATCGGAGAGCAGGCTCATTGACATTCTGGATAAGGGCAAAGCTGCGGTAGCAATTATCGGCACCACAACTCGCGACAAGGCTACAGGGGAAAAGATATTTTACAACGAGTTGACTCTCTTCCTACGTGGTGCCGGTGGTTTTGGTGGTGTGGCCACTAGAAGCGTGACAGGCAGGGGTGCAGGTGTACATGTCACTCCTGAGGGTGAGCCTGATCAGGTAGTAGAGGAGAAGACGTCACGCGATCAAGCAGCTTTGTACCGTCTGAACGGAGACAGGAACCCTCTGCACATCGACCCAGCTGCCAGTGCGGCAGGGGGTTTCAAAGTGCCCATCATTCACGGCCTCTGCTCATTTGGAATCGCTACTAAGCATCTGGTCTCAACCTACGGGCCAATCTTCAGTGTCAAGGTTCGGTTCGTGGGGACTGTAGACCCTGGGCAGACGCTGCGGACTAAAATGTGGCTGCAGGGCAAGCATGTTTTCTTTCAGACCGAGGTCAAGGAGACCGGGAAGGTATGTCTTGGCGGGGGAGTTGCGGTTCTTCGTGGCCCAACCAAGACTCACTTGTAGTCAGTCTTGATAGTGTTGTGGCTTGGTATGGTCTTTACTGTTATGACAAGATGTAGCTAGAACATATGAGCCTCGGTTGCCTTGCAGCGTTGCTTGAAGACAATAAACTGCAGATCATGCTTGTTCCCGCGCTTTATCTAACCTTGCAAAGTATTTTGATTATACACATAATTATGTAACCCCCCCTGCTAAATAAAGGTACCATCTTGACCAACTATCAATCTGGAAGCGTGATCCGTGATCTAGATTTGCACGATTTCTCATCCGCGTTTGAATGGCTGATGTCCCTACTTTGGCTGCAAATCCCTTTGAGATGATACAACTCGGAACAGCGAAATAGTGCACCAAAATTAAGATGTCCAAAGTTCAACTGAAACGTATCACGCTCAACACATTCTATTCTCTCTCAGGATAGATCACCAAGCTATTGATGCCCCCTTCAGTGACCAAGCCAAAATATCCACTATAGGTTAATCTAGCGGGTAAATGCTCGCTGTCATTAAAGAAGCATGGTTAGCACCGTGGAGACGCAAGCCGAGAATGCCGAGGCGAGGTTGGACCCCTCTGTCATCTACCCCTACTAACCTTTTGTCCAGCGAACCGTCGTGTAAAATCAGCTGACCAGTCCAACATCTCAGATTTATTGTTCCCTTGTTCTTAGCTGCTGTATCTCTCTAGGTGAATAGATAAACAAGTCTTTATCAGAGTTGAGAATCATCAAAATCTTAGAGATTGTCATATATTCTACAGTACTGGACTTTCTGCCGGCACCATGAACTTTGAACTACCTTCAGACATACAGAGGTTTTTGTCTCGTCTTGACTCATTTATTCATGAAACAATTCTACCCTCACAGAAAAAGGACGACAACGATCGATTCTTCGATTACCGTCGGGAGGCTTCACGAACTCAGTGGCATAACCAAGGCTTGCCAACGGAAGAATGGGAGCGCTTGCTGCAACATACCAAGAAGCTTGCGGACAAGGCAGGCTTCTACCGCTTTGCATCTCCCCAGGAGTTTGGTGGCTCCGGGGAGCGATCGCTGAACCTGTATATGTGCGCTACTCGGTACCATCTCTCATCTAATCCCGTGTACGGCGGCGGTGTGAGTCTGGCAAACGACTTGCAGAGCGAGCACAGCGTTGTTGGAAATATGCCGTTTGTCATTTTGATTTATCACTACGGCACTGAGCAGCAGAAGAAAGATCTGATTCCTGCTAGCATCAACGGAGAGATGCGTGCTACTTTCGGGTTGACTGAGATAAACCATGGGTCAGATGCAACACATATGGAGACAACAGCTGAAGCCGTCATTCTTCCCTCGGGCCAATCAGGCTATAAAGTCAACGGAAACAAGAAGTGGCAGACGGGTATGCATCATGCTAACTACTGTGTCGTGTTCGCTAGAACGTCTGGCAAAGTGGGAGATGCCACCGGTATCACAGCATTCTTGGTACCTCGGAATTCACCCGGCGTCACAGTCGCATCGTATGAGTGGACTCTCAACATGCCGACCGACCACGCCACGGTTCTCTTCAAGGACGTCTTAGTCCCAGCGTCAGCCATCCTCGGCCCTCGCGATCACGGCCTAGCCATCGCTCAAACCTTCACGCACGAGAACAGAATCAGACAGGCTGCTTCAAGCTGCGGTGCCGCACGATACTGCATCCAAAAAAGCGTCGAATATGCCAACAACCGCAAGGTCTTTGGAAAGCCTCTCTCTATCAACCAAGCTATACAATGGCCCCTCGTCGAGCTCTCAACTCAAGAGGAGATGCTCAGACTGCTCATCTTGCGCACTGCAACAGAGATGGATCAAGTAACGACTGAAGCTAAGGCAGACGGCAAGGCTCCTTGGGTTGTCATTGAGAAGAAGCTAGGGCATAAGATAGGTATGTGTAATTACTACGCAAATCGATTGGCTTGTGAGGCAGCGGACCGCGCGATGCAGATACATGGTGGAGATGGGTACTCCAGGCATTATCCTTTTGAACACATCTGGCGTCACTTTAGACGATATCGTATTACAGAGGGGACTGAGGAGGTTCAGATGCGTAAGATTGCTGCTTATTTGTTTGGATATAAGAACACTGGTGAGCCCTTGGAAAAGACCGAGGGGCCAAAGCTGTGAAATGGCAAAAGGGAGTAAATATCAAAAGCTCTGAGTGTGGATCCACTGCGGAGGTTCCTGTCATAGTTAGTTAATACATTGTTCTATTCTATTTCCCAGAGTCCACTCTGCTGCAGGCAGCTGGATGCCTTGGTCTTCGTGTTGTTGTTATTAGTTGTGCTATATAGTCCCAACTGCATGAAGAACCTACCAAGGGGAAGCAAGGAAGACTAAGAACTTCGTGGCCAAGTCATAGAAACATCCAAATGATGTAGTATAAGTTTAGCGTGAAAGCCTTTTGTTGAGTCTAGTTTGACACCCATTATCAGGGTCCGATATTTTCTTACTCCCCGAGGCTTGCCTCGGCCTCTTGTCTGGGAACATAAGTCACCACAAGCTGCGAAATTGTTAGTGGGGGCCGAGTCAAGTCATAACACCCGAACAAGCTGCCACTCTTTAATTATCTGTCTTCCTCGAGTCAGCGATTGTTATCAGCCATATCTGTACACTAATGGTTGTCATTCCAAGCCAAACGCGCCGCCGCGTTTTGAATCTGTACGGGCTAGAGTAGCCAAACATAGCACCGCTATGGTTCCATCAGAACCATGCCACAACCCAATTTAAGACTGATTCCATACAACAACGGCCAGACGAAAGCCGTGATCCGCACCATATATCAGGCCCCCTTGCCTCAAATGACGAAACGCAATGTCAAAAGGCGTCGAGCCTCGATAGCGTGTCTTCCTTGCAGGAAGCGCAAAGTAAGGTGCGATGTAACTGAGAGCGGAGGCGCGTGCCGAAATTGCCGGTTAGACGGTCAGAAGTGCGTGGTTGAATCCAAGAGGTCTGGTGGGTAAGTGAAATCCTGTGAGATATTGGGAGGATCTTCTAATATCTGGATGAAGGCCGAAGAGGGCGATGCGCCTAGGGATGAGGGACGAAGACGAACATTCTGCTGAAACCTATCGACCCATTTCGCCGTCATATTGGTTGGACCCTGACCAACCTGACGATAAAGGCACTACGAGGTGTCCCGCCCTTTCGACAGTAGATGCATACGCTACGCCAGAGACAGAGATAGAACTCGGTGTTTCTCCCCGTGGCTGTAGCAGCATATCATCCTTTCTACAAAAGGATGACTCGTCCAATCCGCCGAAACGCATCCCGAGACTATCGACCGATGATGAACGAGAACTGTGGAGCGACAAGCATGTTACAATTCAATTCCGAACCAGGGCATGCAACGCAGAATGCAGCCTTCCCTGGACCACAGGAGGCTTTGTTCTCTTCCCATTCTATCACTTTATTCGCCCTTCGTCACTGAAAGAGACAGATACAGAAGTGGCCAAGCTGCTGGAACAGCGTGGATGCCTCCACGTGCCTGCCAAGCACATACTAGATGAGTTCATGGAGAAATACTTTTCGTATTTCCATCCGCTGGTTCCTATCCTAGACGAGCAAAGGTTCTGGGTGTCGTACGGTGAGCAAGGCGAGACCAACGGGGATCTGTCTCTGTTTGTGCTGCAGGCGATGCTCTTTGTGTCCAGCCCGGTATGGCTTCATGAAATGCTTGGATCCATCTTTAGCTTGCACTGACTGGTTGTCAAGTATGTTCCTCTGAAAACTCTCATCGGTCTTGGTTTCCGAACTGTCCAAGAAGCCCAGGACGAGTTCTATATACGGGCTACGGTACTCAGCCCCTGCCAACATCCTATCCTGTATAGTCTGGCTGACAATCTGGCTTACAGACGCTATTCGACCTTCAATCTACCCTGAGTGACCAAGATAGAGCTCAAGGAGCCATGATGTTGACATACCGGACGGTAAGCTTCATGGACAAGAAACCGTTATACTGGCTCAGTATCTCTATCCACTATGCCAAGAGTGCCGGTGCTCATCGACATCAGGAGAATCAGGATACGCGTGAGGGAACGCTGCTCAAACGTCTGTGGTGGTGCTGTATCCTTCGCGATCAAATCTTGGCTTTGGCGCTTCACCAGTCACCGCTCGTGAATCGGAGTGCACTCGAGACCAGCTGCCCTGCGCTGTCAGTTGCCGACTTTACTCACGAGATTAGGACATCTCGAGTGTATGAACACGTCGACAAACAAATTATAGTGCGGATTGCTATCGTTCTTTGCGAATTCAGCGATATACTCGGTGATATACTTCTGTTGTCTCCTTTGGTAAAAGAACGTGGGTTCTGCCGTGACGAAATTGGGGATCATATTTCGAGGCTTGATGTCTGGTATGATGAGACGTATGCCACCTTCCGGTTGCCAACACTCATGACTGGAGCTCACGAATCACTTACTCTGTTTTCAAACATTCTTTGCACTTACTACCAGTGGGTTATTCCCCGACGCTTCTGTGTAGCACTCAGTAGGCAGCTAACAAGCATTGTATTACAGCGCTGCGAAAGCGCTGATCTACAACCACACGATACTGAGTACAGGTCTGTTCGACGGGAACCTACCTAACGATCTCCCAGATGCAAGGGCTATAGCACACACGAATCTCGGCTGCTGCTTCCGGAGTATCACAGAGAACATAATAGAACTGAAGGATTTAGGATTAGTCCAATACCTTCCAATTACCTTGTGAGTAGCAACACGATACTTGATGAACGAGGTTCGGCACTGATCTCATTTGCACCGCAGTATAAACTTTTCGGCGGCTCCATTAATCTGGTACTTGCTACAATCGCATATACAAAATTCAGACGTCGAGACGCAGCGGGACCTGGATGCCCAATTTGATGTCATGACCCAATTCAGTTGTCTTTACCGGAACGCCGAAAGCACCATAAACTACATCAAGAGCATTGTGGAACATATCAAGATCAGTCTGCCGCCACCAACTAACGATTTCTATTCCAATCTTGTAGATGGAGATGGAGACCGGTATAGCACGTTATCTGATGAATCTTGGAGCAGCAGGACTTGGATAGACATGCTCCTCAAAGATCCTCGGAGGTACCTCCGTATTGCGTTGGCGGTAGAATTCTCGCTTGCTCGCGGCCGATGCCCAGCCGAAGACGACTTCCCGCTATGGCTCAGCGACCATCAACAACACAAAGATGAACTATGCTTGCATTCCTGTTCATCTCGAAAAGGCTCAGATTTAGACTCGGGCTTCTTCAGCGAAGCCGTTGGCGACTTTGTCTACGAGGACCAGGAGGCGTCGGTCTCGTGATGCACGATGGAACCCACGAAACGTCACTTCACCAATCGAGCTAGCTAAAGGGGATCGCTGCCGGCAGTTGCATCTTCAGTTAGAAGTCCGGGCGTTCCAATGACTTCACATGACCCCAGCTTCATTTTGTTTGTTTGTTCGGCCCTCGGCTACTAAAAGTCTCCCATGTCATTGGTCTCCGTCTGGAGTGAGGGGTTAGAATGATTTGACCTAACTAGGCCCTGTTCTAGACCAAGTGGTAAACAGAAGAGGCAAGATCAACAAGTAGTCCTTATGCCGTTCCGGGTGTAATTACAGTGGCTTTCTTAGTGGTCAATTTGGTAACAAGGATGTCTTTTGTTGTCTTCATAGTAAACACATTTTTGCATTTTATTGTGCTACATGCTGACCACTCGACTGTTCCAGGATGGATTGAAATCAACCTCGATTGAGACTCTGGCAACCGCTTACACCAAAGAACTACTGCTGGTTTGCCTGGCCGTTGCTGTCTATCGGGGGGGCAGAAAAGCTGTCTTGAACGCGGGGAAAATGGGCCATCGCCATTCCTCTTGAAGCTAGAAACGCGGGGCCCCGCGTATCAGAGGGTTTGTGCTAAATTAGGGCGATTAGCAGGCCAGCTCTAACTTCCAAGAACCAGGTCCAAGGATGGCGACCTGTTATCCAATCATGGCAGGGTTATCATAAGCTTATAGGTGCTCCCCTTCCAAATCAAGCCCCTGGAGTCCCCCCCGATTTCTGATGTCCACTTTGCTCCGAACTCATCATACGCAGCCGAGCTCTTTTGCAAGAACCTACCCAGAAATATCACCAGCATACCTTCTTGTCGCCGTCGCATAGATGCATTCCCAATCTCCCCCGTCTCATCCCAATGGTGACTCGTCCAACCGGGTAACAGCATCGTCAGCCAAACGAAGCGCCCTTGGCGACGGCCAGCGCCCATGGAAGCGACGCTCCTCCAAGGCCTGCCTATCATGCCGAAACCGCAAAGTCCGATGCGACGTCACCGATGGGGGCATTCCATGTACGAATTGCCGCCTTGACAGCATCAATTGTGTCCTCAAAGAGTCCAATCGGGGTCGGAGACCTGCTGCTGCCTCTTGTCAACGTCGCCGCAACTTCAATCCGCCCGCTGCTACAGACCGCTCCTCCGGCTCACCTCGACCGACATTTGCTACTTCGCGTTCAGCTGTGGCGGTTACTGAGTCCCTTGAGCCAGAAGAGTTTTCCGAGCCCGACGAACATGATGATCCCGAAGCTGAGCCAGCGAATGAGCAAGTGAATGAGGATATCCGGCCTCATCCCCAACAAGTCAATCCCGCCCAAATTTCTGAGCTGGGTATGTTTTCTTGTGTATATCTATCCATTCCTAGAACCAACCTAACTGATCATCCCAAGACCAGCAACAGCAGCAAACCGATGGAGAGCTCATGGATGAAATCCACGTTCAGATACAAGCCGACCAGCCGTTAAACAGCCGACCCCCAGCGCCTATGGAATCTGTCAACCTCGACGCTCCCTTCGAATATGTAGACGAAATTGGAACGTCTAGCGGACCTCTTCCGCCGATCCAGCCGGATAGAGTCACAACATCTTTACCAGCCTTTATCCGACCCCCTCCTCAGCACCTAGATAGTAGAGATATGTACTATTTATCACATAAACTGTGTTTGTCGATTCCAGATCCAGAATTCAGGGATGAACTCCTACGTGTTTACGCCACAGTGGTTCATTCCTTCTTACCCATTTTCGACATCGAAGAATATGCTGGCTCCATCCTTCACAACAACGGCCGTAACCCCATCAGCCTTCTGCTATTCCAAGCAGTTAATTTTGTCAGTGTCACTTTCGTGGATATCAAAATGTTAAATTCGAGAGGTTATGCTTCGCGGATAGCTGCTAGAAGAGACTTTTACGACCGCGTGAGGATTCTCTACAGTTTGAACTATGAGTCAGATCGGATGACCCTGATTCAGTCCCTTCTGCTGTTGAGCCATTGGTATGACGGACCAGACGACGACAAGGATACGTGGCACTGGATGGGTATCGCCTTGACAAACGCCCAGGTCGGGGGGCTCCATAGAGATCCTGAGCATCTGAAGATATCGCAGGAGGAGAAGAAGCTTCGTCGCAGGTTATGGTGGTGCTGTTTGATGAGGGATCGCTTACTGGCCCTCGGAATACGGAACCCGCCACGTCTAAGAGACGATGAGTACAATGTCAAGCCGCTCACCTTGGACGACTTTGACTTGAGCTCGCCGTCTACAAACCTGGATGCGCTCTTCCACCGGTCAAAGTCCCCATACCCGAACTCGGAAAAGCGACAAAGTCTTGCTTCGATGTGCATCGAGCTAAGTAATTTATGTGTTTACATTGGCCGCACTCTCAACACCCTGTACACAGTCATGGGTAATTACCTCGGAGGTGTTGAGTACAGTCAGCAATCGACAACTTGGCCTCATAGATCCGAAGAGCAGGCTAAGTCACTTGCTGAACGCAGCACCGAGCTCAAGACTTGGTTAGAGAATCAGAACATCCACTCTCGATACACAGCCAAGTCTGCATCTCAGCCATCTGAGACTAATACCGCCAATGGCTTACAAGTTGATGAGATACTGCGGCTTCACCAAGCCCAGCTTCGCTTGATTTACCTGACCGCACTGGGTGCTCTCCACCGGCCCCAGGTCTTCTGTTACGGCCCCAACAGTAACGGCAGTGCTGTATCTAGAGGAAATGTGACCGACACGGCAGTCGAGATGACCAAATTGGCCTTCAATCTACAGCGAGATAACCAACTACGCTTCCTACCGACCCTTTCAGTTCCAGCCTATCTTGCTGTCACCCTCGTGCATCTTTTTAACACCTGCTCCGACGAAGAAGAGGCGCGGAGTCTCAGTCTCGGACGCCTCTACCAGTGCGTAAGCGTCCTTCAACAGTTGCAAGAAATGTACACGTCTGCAGACTATGCGATGCAGTTTCTCAACTCGATACTAAAGAATACCGGTCTTCACGTCCCTTGGACTTTACCGACTGGCGGTAGTAGATTTGGAGAACGTGACAGCACGGCTTGTAAGCCTCGGCTCGATATGGGGCCTAGCGCCGTCGCGGCAAGCTGTATGTATCCAAGTCCGAGTACCTCGGGTAACTGGAACCAAGACTCTGCGTCGGATGAGCTAGCCGCAGGTGATGATAGCACCCAAGCGGCTGCTGTGGTCCAAGAGCCACGAGCGCCGTTCGCCTTTCCAAATCTGGTGATGGAAAGCTGGAATGCTACCGACATGAGCGACCTTTTGGCCGGGTCGCCGTTTCCAGGATCTTGGTGTGACGTTGAGACACTACTACCGACTCTGCTCAACACTGAAGTAGATGCAGAGGGTTTAATGACTGCGCACTTGTCTGCTTCAATGTAACATGCTGTTTCTCTATTAATACTATTGGACTATGTCTAAACGCTATGCTTGCGGGTCATTGAACTTGTAGACTGGCAAGAAACCATCTCATGGTAATGACTCTGAAAGTGAACCCAACTCAAAGCTTGGAACTCACTACACGGAAGAAGCATGTTTCTTGATCGACCGTATAGTCTCTTCCTTTCTCCCAGCCCATCCAGGCCTTCAATACCTCCTCTGCGCCGTGACCTGCACTTAAACGTTTCCCTGTCCACTGCGAGTCCACGGGTCTGGCTGGCGAAGCACTCAGATGCACTATTGGTCGCTGTTCGTATCCTGCCTGTTCCATCTCCTTGTGCTCCAGAACAGGAGCGACACAGGCATCCAAGCTGGCGAATGTCTGTTCCCATTCCTTGCGTGTTTTCTCCCTGAACCTGCTGGCAAATGACTCTCGCATGCGTGGCCATGAACGCTTGTCCTCGCGCCGTTGACCAGGACCGAGAATGTCGTCGTTTGTCAATCCCAGACCTTGGAGAAGATTTGAGAAGAATTGAGGTTCCAATGCGCCCACTGACATATACTTTGCTCGATCTTTACACTCGTAACATTGGTAGTAAGGGCAGCCGCCATCCAATAAATTAGTTCCCCTTTCCCCGCTCCAAGCAGGTTCTTTAGACCTCAGGCGAGGAATAGTCCCAATATATGAGGCGCCGTCAACCATACTCGCCTCCACTACCTGACCTTTTCCCGTAAAGACTCGGTGATAAAGGGCCATGAGAACGCCCGCAAAGGCCACAAGTCCTCCGCCTGAATAGTCTGCGAGTAGGTTTCCAGGCGGCGATGGTGGTAACTCACCGCTTCCGAGCATACTCAACAACCCTGCGACAGCCAGGTAGTTGATGTCATGCCCAGCCATGTCCTTATACGGGCCATCGCGACGGAAACCGGTGATGCGCACCACGATGAGACGGGGGTTGGAGACGAGAAGAACAGAACTGGGACATAAACCCAGTCTTTCGAGAACCCCAGGTCGAAACGGGTCAATCAAAATGTCGGCCTTATCGAGAAGGTCTTTGAGGAGGCGGATACAATCTTTGTTCTTGAGATCTAAGATAATAGAGGACTTATGGGATGTCAGAATATCCTGGTTTTCGGAGACACCTGCGCGATCGACTCGTAGAACCGAGGCTCCGTATAAAGAGAGAAGCTGCCCACAGAAGGGACCTAGGAGGAAACACGTATCCAGTCAGGATCAACTGCAGGTACGTTGATATTTGAGATGCGCGAAAACTCAACGGACATTACTTACCTGGAGCAAGGCCTGCAAGTTCCACAACTCGCAGGTCTCTCAGAGGCGGCGCGGATTCCATATGAAGGGCGTTGCGCTTGACTTCGTGCAAATAAACAAAGGTCTTGGTTATGTTGGGCTGTAATATTCATATGTCTATTTCTTTAACGTCACACTTCGTAGGTGCATCCGATTAGAAAGTTTAACTGCAAAAGTATGGCCATCGACGGTGAAGAACGAGCAGTGTTAACGGTAATACGTATCAACACTAGTTGACTGGCTCAGGATGCATAAACATTGGTGAGAGCCCGAGGGTACCAGCTTGAAACTATCGGCGAAATTGCCGAGGAACATGGTTATACAGCTAAAATTCATGAATAAAAGAACAAACGTGTCAAGCAAAATAGCTTCCAAGACAAGACCGTATTAGTGCATTTCATCTTCAAGAGACTAACCTCACTACTACAAGTCGAAATGGCACAAATTGGCCCACTACGACAAGACATCGTCGAATATATTCGACAAAGTTGCCAAGAAGAGGATCTCCATCCTCCAGTTCCAAGAGAATATGGAGATATCCCTGTCTCATATGAATCTATAACTAAACAATGGCTGACCGCGACTTTGGCCCGGGACGCTTTCGCATCAACTGTCAAGAGCTTCAGGCTAGGTCCAAAAGATAACGGGTCAGCAAATCGACGCCGCATCGAGATCGAATGGGATGGCCCTCGAGCACCAGAGCTCCCCACTTCGGTCTTCTGCAAGGCAGCTCACTCGGCGGAAAATCGTATTGTCCTAGCTGCAGGGGGCACTTACAGTGAGGTCTTCTTCTACAATCACATACGACCTCAGCTCAATATCGAAGCGCCATGGGCGTATTTTGCCGGTTACAACCCAAAGTCATGGGCTGCCATGGTGATCTTAAAAGACATGGGTGGTGAGACCACGTTCTGCAATTACAAGACCAGCTTGACCAAGTCTCAGTTCGCCGAGCAGGTTCAAATGTTGGCAAAGTTACATGGGCAGTACTATCAATCTCAGAATTCTGACTTTGAGCGGTTGCTCCACTATAAAGACCGGATCAGTAACCTCATAGCGGTTGGGCTTGAGAACATGTGCGTCAATGGATTCAGGGCTGCAGAGTCAGTAATTCCCTCGCGCCTATTTGCGAGACAAAATGAAATTTGGCCTTGCACGCTCAAGTCAGTTGAGCGCAATGCTGCGCTTCCGCCGACGGTGGTTCATGGGGATGTCCATCTTGGTATGTGTCTCCAATCCAGCCCTGCCAGCTGTTGCGATAGACTCTAACGTGATTTTCTTCCGTAAGGTAATTGGTATATAACACCCAATGGACAAATGGGCTTGACAGACTGGCAGACAGTAGCCAGAGGACACTGGTCCCGTGACCTCGCGTACGTCCTTAGTACAGCTGTAGGTGTCGAGAAGCGTCGCCAGTGGGAGCATGAAATGGTTAAGATGTATGTGTCAGAGCTCGGGAAGCATGGGGGTCCCAAGCTTAATGCCCAGGAAGTATGGCTTGAACTGCGAAGACAGTTATTCGGTGTACTAGCTTACTGGACGCTTACTCTTACGCCCGGTGAGAATCTGCCTGACATGCAGACGGAAGAGGCGTGCCTATGTTTTATTGGGCGCATATGTACAATGATGGACGATCACGATGTGCTTGACGCTTTTTGATATTGAATTTCAAGTTTTGGGCGAATTCGAAGATAGATGAAGACAAACTGATACAAGAATGAGTCATAATATCCCTATCCCAAGAACACAAGCCCACCACACGATCTGTACAGCTCATGCCGCCTGGCTAGGCCTCATTTTACTCTGCCTAGGATCAAAAACCACGACTTCAGCATTTTGCTGGTATCGCAGGTTCATATACCCAGTATAGCTCTATAGCGATTTTCGTTGGCCTTTTTTGCAGCGGTGATGTTAGGTGCGATCATCTCGAAGCCATGAGGTAAGCCTGGATACACATGTAGCTCCGTAGGGATGTTCTCGGCCAGTAGTTTTGTAGCGTATTTGATATTCTCTTGCAGGAAGATATCAAGGCCTCCAACATCGATGTATGTAGGTGGAAGACCAGCTAGACTTGGAGCCCGAGCAGGAGCTGAATAATAGGAGATGCAAGCTTCGGGTTTCCCGGCCTCGTCACCCAGAAGCGCACTCCAAGCCGTTGCGTTATCTGTAGTCTTCCAAAATGCAAGAGGTTCCATCGCTTCCTTGGCAACTATGTTGCGGTCATCGATCATTGGATAGACGAGGATCTGTTTCGCCAGACCCGGATTTAATCTTTTATCTCGAGCCATAAGCGCGACACCAGCAGCGATGCCACCGCCTGCGCTCTCGCCAAATACACCGATTCTGCTCGGGTTGATATTGAATTGCTTTGCTTTACTATGTAGCCAGAGGAGAGCTGCGTAGCCGTCCTGGACGGGAATGGTACCCTTGAACTCCGGGGCCAGCCGGTAGTTAACGCTGAACACAGGCACTGATGTCATGCTGACCAACTGTGCCAGTGGTTTTGCTTGAATCTCGGCTGATCCTAGGATCATTCCTCCTCCATGGAAGTGAAGTAGACATGGCCCTAGATCGGCTCGAGCAACGCTTGGCGTTAGAGCTAGAACGGATATAGTGTAACCATCAGGAGTTTCAACTTGATAAGACGTTTGATCCACGTCTGGAAAGGTATCTAACCTTTCGAAGAGTACCCTCATTCCAGCTTCTCGTGCCTCCCTTCCAGCCTTGATATTATCCAGGCAAAGAGGCTCTCGCTTGGACAGTGTGTGAACGAGTGGCTTCAAGACGGCCCAAAATTCGGGGTCATATTGAAGAGTCATTGAGTTCAAAAGTAATGGTAGATTTATCTTGAATTCTGAAGAGTTGCGATGCTTTTTGGACGAGATGCTTTTATCTGGCGAAAATATGCGACAAAGTTGTTGAGGCAATTCTACAGCTTTGTGGTGCGCTCTGTTCATCTGTGGTGATTAAAAGGTTCATGACAGGGGGAATATGGAAGCAAGACTGTAGTCCAGAATCCGTACTATGTTGTCGGCATGTTGGCGTGAGGTTGCCGAGGTGTTTCCCAGACTTAAGTCAGTTAACAGCAGATAGCCTTGCCATTACTTGTTTCAATCTATACCGGCTTCTGGAACTTGATCTTCGAGATATGTTAGATATTTAAAGGCTCCTTTGATGGAATCTTAGGCTTGGAAAGGGCTATGTAAATATCTAAAGCTTGGTTTGTCCTGTTTGCTGATCCTTCAACGACTTTATACGGCGCAGAGCTGCCTCAATAGCCTGCCTTGTCTTGGAGAAGTACAGGTGGCTAAAGCTACTACTTGACTGTCCACTAATAGCCCTGGCTTGAATTCCATGGGCGATAGTGGCTCCCCGAAGGTGGTGAAAGATTATCGCAGTATCCCAGTCTTTACCTCGGTTATCTTGCCGCATGTCGAAACCCACAATTTCTGTATAGCGGGCCAGAAGTTCATCTGGGTCAGGAATACCCGACTTTGCTCGATTCTCTGGCTTGTATGGCGAGTCCTGGAGAGAAAGAGATGATTTTCCACTCTTGGTGTAGTCTGGGAAGAATGGACTGATGCAGAAGACGAGGTCCATGAGAGGATGGCCAATGGTGGAAAGTTCCCAATCGAGGATCGCAATGACCCTTGGCTCATCCGGGTGAAGGATCTATAGGAGGGCGCCGTCAGCAGTCCGTCTGTTTAGCTTTTGTGCAAGTTGAGTCATACCAAGTTGTCAAATTTGAAGTCTCCGTGAACAATGGCGTGTCGATCTAGCGGTAGATTCTCCTTGACGTATCTCACCACTTCATCGTACCTCTCATGGGCTCGGCCCAAAGGCCTTCCGGTTTCCGCATCCTTGACGGCAGCTTGCTGCGACTCAATGCGGCTCCAAGTAGCGCAGTGCCTAGTATAGAATCCCGTTTTCTTACCGTAACTGTCGAGCCCAATCTTGTCGGGATCAAGTGAGTGTAACCAAGCCAGAGTCTGGATAGCGGAGAACCATCTGACATACCATTAGCTCAATTTCAAGTATTCGAATTCATTAGTGGCACTGTGACATACGCCTGCCGTCTTTCATCTGGAGGAAGCTCTTTCATGTCCGAATCTGTGATGATCCTTCCCTTGACAAATTCCATAACCTGAGCAACTGCGTCAGAGCACATAGTCATCAGTCGGGCTTAATAAACCTACGTAGAACGGGGTGCCAATGATAGAGCTGTCATTGCACAATGTGAAAACCTTTGGAACTGGAAACCCTTCAACGGATCCCAAAGCTTTTAATACTCGAAACTCGCGATCTACCTGGTGGGCAACCGGGCTGATAGACTTTCCTATGGGCTTCTTTCTCAAGATATAGCGTGTTCCACTATGGTCTATTTGTTAGGCGGCGATTAAGATATTTCACATAGAGGGTCATAAGCAAAGAACTCACGCCGCGTCATCCAGGTAGTAAGTTGGATTACTTTGACCATATCCAATCTTTGATGTCGTCACTGGCAGTTTTAGGGTCGGAATTTCTCGTGTTGAGAATAAATAGCTTCCCAGGGCTTCGTTGTTGAGATCATGACGGCTACCAGTCTTGGTATCTTGATGTGACCCCATGATGGCCTAGAGTCCAGTTCAAAGGACGGTTAGAACGAATTGTCGAGTCGACACAGATGTTCTATATCTGTTTATAAGGTGAGCAGATATGGGGTCTGGAGCATAAGTGTGAATTTTTAATATCCAAGTGAGATGCTGAATCTCTCCGAGGCTGGACATGGAGTAATTGATTATTGGCCCATTACGTATTTTGGTTCTACGAAATATAGAAGGGCACCTAACAAGGTAATTGGAAGGTTCGTACTCATTGGCCCGAGGCATTCAAATTCCAGAACGCCACGTCACCTCGGGCTAGAGGTATGGACAATTCTACTGAGCCTTGTGGAAGTTTCATCTATAGAGAAATATGAGATTTTTACTCAGCAACGACGACTGCTTTTGAATCTTATCCTTAAGTATATTTCTGAAGACACCGTTTTGTGCATCAAACAGACACAGCTTTCACATCACCTCGATTTCGCATCATCCTTGCCCAAGCTAACCCCGCGGACGTCAAAGCCATGACAAGTGAAACTCAATCCAGCAAGGCGTACGTCCTTGGCGTCGGCATGACAAAATTCATCAAGCCCCGTGGTCTACGCCAGTATCCAGACTTGGGCTACGAAGCTGGCATCAAAGCCATGCTAGACGCCCAGATCAACTATGACGACGTTGAGCATGGCGTGGCCTGTTTTGCCTACGGCGATTCAACCTCGGGTCAGCGCGTGTTCTACCAATTTGGCATGTCATCCATTCCCATCATCAACACCAGCAATGCATGCGCCACTGGGTCCGTTGGCTTGTATCTGGCCCGTAGCCTGGTTCAGAGCGGGAAGGCTGACTGTGTGCTCGTGGTGGGATTCGAGAAAATGAATCCTGGGAGCCTTAAGAGCGTTTGGAGTGATAGACCCAGTTCTAGTGGTCGCTTTGCCGCCAAGATGCAAGAGTTGGCTGAGCCTTCAAATTCTCCTTTGACGGTGCAGTATTTTGCCAACGCCGGGCGAGAATACATGGCAAAGTAAGTTGCGCCAACTCACAAAGACTGTTCTTTTTACATGAACCCGAACTAACAAATATTTCTACCAGGTATGGGGCAAAGGAAGAAGACTTTGCGGAAATTGCCCGTGTTTCACACGAACATTCGCAACGCAATCCCTATGCCCAATTCCAGCAAGAATACACCCTCAAGGAAATCCAGGACTCGCCTACCATCCACTCGCCTCTCACCAAGCTGCAATGCAGCCCAACCAGCGACGGGGCGGCAGCGGCAGTCATAGTGTCGGACAGGTTCCTCGCCGCCCGGTCACACCTTAAAGGACAGGCTATTCTCATGGCTGGGCAAGCATTCTGCACTGACTCCCCCAAGACCTTCAGCAACAGCGCAATGGAGCTAGTCGGGTTTGACATGTCACAACGGGCTACCAAAGCAGCTTTGGCCGAAGCGGGCGTCACAGCGGATGACATTCGGGTCTGCGAATTGCACGACTGCTTCTCAGCAAACGAGCTGCTACTGCTTGATGCCCTCGGGTTCAGCGAGCCAGGAAAGGCGCACGAGATGGTCCGAAGAGGAGATATCACATATGGAGGTAAGATGGTGATCAATCCGTCTGGTGGTCTCATCTCTAAAGGCCATCCTATTGGAGCTACGGGATTGGCTCAATGTGCTGAGATGACATGGCAGCTTCGCGGGTGGGCCAATACACGACTTGCTGGTGAAACACGCGTAGCGCTGCAGCATAATCTCGGCCTCGGAGGCGCGGTAGTTGTCAATGTCTATAAGCGTGCGGATGGAGGTGTGAGCACCAAGGTTAGCGATGGTGAGGTGGCTAAACATAGCTGGCTCGGCTATAACCCTGCGGTAGAAGCCCGAGGGATAACCTCTGATGACGCCGATAAGGTGAGGAGCAAGAAATACAGGAATGATTTCGCTCTTGGGGAAACCGTTGATCGAATCCAAGCTGCTGCGAAGCTATGAGAGAAGGAGACGTTGACTGTGAATAGAGGATTCAAGCCATGTATTCACGCAAGATTTATCATCAATAGAGATACAGATACAGAGAGGGGTCTTGACTTGTAGAGTACATACTCGTGGAATGAGAATGAACAAGCCTGCAACTTAAATTGGCACTTTTCTACTTTGGGCTATCAGCTTGGGGAAGATGTCCACTACTGCAGGGATCCTCCATGTACCCCGGATTCCTGGGTCAGGCACATATTCCTGTCTGTCGAGACTAAGCCACATTGGGACTTGTCTGTCACCGAGGAGAGACGGATGTCCCCTCGGGTATCAAGATACAGCATGAGAAATCATCGTGAAGCCTAATTGAGGTTGCGGGGTAAATCAGGTCTGGAATACCCCTGGTTGAACTATAAATCAGCGACCCATCTGTGATACCACTCGCTTGCTGCATTGACATCTTTGTCAACTTTGTCGCTCACCGACTGACTATTCTCCGTCCTCAGCATCTTTTTCTGTATGAACATCTACACCATGAAGACATTTTTCACTTCCATCCTGCCAGTCTTGCCCCTAGCCACGGCCATGGCTATCAACGCCGATTATGGACCTCAGATGTTGAAACGCGCCAACGGCATTGTTGAGTACGCCAGAGCACCACTCCTCTCAACACCCTGCGAGACAGAGTTCCACCCTGACCAGATGGATATCGCTTGGGTGGAGCTCATCGCGGGAAACGCGATTCTGAGAGTCAACGTCACAAGCGGAGAGAAGAAGAAGTTTCCCCTCAAGAACCCCGTCGGCCTCCCCAGTGGTATGGAGTTTATGCCAGACGGGTATCTCTGGTTCTCCGAGGTAGCTGGGAACAGTATGGTGCGCTTGGATCCCAAAGACGGGAGCATGACCGAGTACCCATTCCCTTGGACCAATATCGCCGCCGTGGATAATCTCCCGGTTGGTATTCGCGTCACGATCGATGTCTCGGGGAATCGTGATCGTGGGGCTTGGTTCACGGCTGCTGGTCTGAATGCCATTGGCCGCATCGACATCGACACGTTTGAGTTCAGCCTCTATTCACTACCAAATCCGCTCTCGGTCCCTCTCATCATCCAGCCTGGTCCGGGTTCCACCATGGTCTTCTCAGAGATCGTTGGCAATCGAGTTGGCACAATTGACGTTCACACCAAGGAGATCAAAGAATACGAAATCCCTACACCTCTTTCTCTGGTCCAGGGCGTCGCCACAGATGAAGATGGGCTGATATGGTGGACCGGTACCCTTGGCGGGAACTTTGGAACGGTCGATGTCAAGACAGGAAAGGTGACCGAGATATTCATCAATGACATTCGTGCAGCAGGGAACGCCACCGTTGTTGGTAATCCTTTGAGCATTGGCTCCTCTGCTGCACTATCTTTGCCTGGGCCAGTCAGAGTTGGCACTGATGGCAAGGTCTACTTTGTGGAGGGAAACCTGGTCTTTTTGGGCAATCGTGTTGGGCAATACGATCCCAAGACGAAGAAACTGGTTGAGTACTTGACTCCAACGAGCTTGAGCGGTCCGTGTGATCTGAATAACCAGCATGGAGATGCTATCTTTTTTGCCGAGTTTACAGGCAATGGCTTGGGCCGTCTCCAATATTAGTAGTTTCGCCAGATCGAGTTCCCCTTCACACTCGCTCCAGTTACTTGAGCAGTAAATCAATGAATAATACTTGTTTTTCTTCAATTCCACACTCACTATGACGTATAGATCATGATTATGGAATCGCTTATAATGATATCGCTTCCAACAATCGGTAGTAGAAGATCGAATGACCCCTGGCAGTGTGAGACTCCATTCCGGCTCACATCAGTGCAAACACGTCTTTATCATAAGTTGGTAGAGCTACATGCACTCGATTATCTGAGCCGAGCACCTACAATCTAGTTGAATGAGGAGGTCGCGCTAGCCTAACAAGGCCTTCCTGGAAGCACGTAGCAGCCAATGTTCCATCGTGGCTCCAGATACGTGAAACCACCAGTCCTCTTTCATCACCCGCCCAAGGGCTTTCCATCTCAACCAACATCCAGTCATCAGTCCGCAGTTGATGCAAGTTGTGGAAGTACACAGTATGATCCATCGAAGCCGCCATAGTCACATGTCCTCCATCTTTAGAAGCTCCCTCATTATCCTCTAGCTCTTCCGATTCCAAAGGGTGCAACGTTCTTCTAGCGCCGTCCAACTCATTCGCCTGATGCCCTATAGTAGATGAACCGAGGTGATTGGATGTCGGATTGGAGAACCGAGAGGCGTTATGAGCTCTAAAGCAGGTGGCGAGAAAATAGTTGTCTGACATGTAAAGCAATGCCGCTGCATGGGCTTGATGATTGCTATGATGCTGGTCATTCTTAACATCCGCCGTATCCTCTGAGCTTCGGCTATTGTATGAGCGCCCATCCTCATTTTCGGCTGCCTTCAGTGGAGACATGGCAATACGTCCTCTAGCTCTGACCCATTGATAATATCGTTTGTCACTCGGTGAAGCAGAGTGGTTAATCCTACTGGCCAACCTCACACAATCACAAGGCTGATCCGGGCCAGCTTGACCTGCAGCTGATTGAACCAGAGGACTCGACGGGGGCTTCTCACCCTGAGGGTAAGACGCGGAATGCCGAAGGACACATTTGTCCTGTTGCAACACATGGCTCTTTACAAAGCTCGCTGTCGAATAAAATACAAGAATATCCCCCTGCGTAGCACGAATCATTCGCGTAGCAAAGCTTCTAGTATCACGGACTCGCTCCACCCGGTAAATGACAGAACTGTCCGGTTGAGCCGCTTTCAAGAAATGGCCGTGGATGCTATGTACCGTGAACTCGGTTGTCACGGTCTCATACCCCGCCAATAATGCTTGGGCCATGATTTGACCTCCGTACACGCCACGAGCCCATGGTGGGCAGATGAAATTACTTCCGCTGGTGAAACAATCATGTTCCGTTGAGGGCTGTATCGAAATAACTTGCTCAATATGAGATTTGTGGCGTTGGGGCCTTCCACTTTCGCTGCGGTCGGAGCTTTTTCCAAACATTCTGATGGTAGGTATATTATATTTGGTAATCTGGTAGCAAGATAAGATATATGTGAATATATGGAAGCATGAAATAACTATGACAAGTACTCCTCATCTTTCACATCAACTTCATGCCGCCGTAAATTATACGATTAGCATAAAATACTTGGTGTCTTGATTACCGTAGATGTCGGTACTGCTTAAAACCCGAGGTAACGCTAACGAAGCTAAGAGAAGATGTGTATTAGCGAGAAGCATCGAGGGTTTCCAAGCAAAGCACCGAGGAAATGAACAAGGCATCGCTTTCCGACTTTTCCAGTTCAGAAACTTTTGATATCTTTATAAAGGCATATGGAGTTACGCAATTTCAGTTTAGTAAGTGTTTGACATCAGGCTACAGCACAAGTATCATCAGAATGAAGCCTGACTTGTATCACAGCAAGACAAAATGCAAGTAGTAAAACCAAAACCAAGACTTTCAGAAATTGAAATGAATATCTATGGCCATTGAGTACACAGTCTCTTGGAATGCTGGAAAGAAATAAGATCCACAGGCTGTCTGTCCCCAAGAACCCTCTGTCAGCATGCCCAGGCGACGCGCTTCAAAGCGGGACGCCCTCGGGGCGAGGCTGTTGTCCGGCAGCCGTGCTAGGAGGTCCAAGCGGCTTATTCCCATACGGAGTAACGTCGATCCCCAACTCCTCCGCCTTGATGCGAAGAGCAAGTCGTGCCGAGTGGAAGCGGCAAAAGGCAAATTGATGAAACATGGCATACAGGCCCTTCTGGGGCAGCGGGCAGTAGTTGATAATGGAGTCTCCTTCTGGTCCCAAGAAGAATGCATTTCCTTTTTCCCAGCGCTCGTGACATTTCTTAGCCATGTCATCACCTAGAAGGGCCTGAATCGCGCTCTTGGAGTTCATGTATCCTGTAGCAAAGACGACTATGTCAGCCTTTTGGGTTGAGCCGTCTTTGTACTTCACACCGTCCTTGGTGAAATGCTCGATTTCCGAGTGTACGAGCTTGATCTTTCCATCTGCGATCAGCTTGCAGCATCCTGTATCCCAGTAGAAGCCGCCTTGATCAAAAGGGAACATTGAGTATGCGCCTCCGCCATGATAACCGTCGTGGAGGCGGTAGCCAACATCTCTTAGCGACTGTAGTAGATCTGCGTCGATTTCCCGCGCTATCTCCTGCCCCCGCGGCATGACCTCATACTCTACCGGGTATGAGTGCTTCAGAAAGTTGGCCTGGTCGAGGATATCGATGTCTTGACCTTCTCGCCGGCCTGTCTTCTCGCGGCTCTTCCAGAGGTGTCGGACACTCTTCTCCACAGACATGACGTGTGTTGCGCTCCTCTGGATCATGGTGACATCGCAGCCATTCTCGGTCAGCTCGAACGAGATATCATGGCCGGATGTTGCGGCACCCACGACGATGGCTCGCTTTCCTTTCCACTGAGGGTCCGTCCGATGATTTGATGAATGGGTCACTATGCCGCCGTTCTGGCGAAAGTCGTTCATGCCGGGTACCTCGGGGATGTTTGGCAGGGTTCCAGAGATACCTGTGGCAATCATCAAATGCCGTGGGTGAAGAGTGTGCTTAGTCCCATCTTGCCGTGTAACGGTCAAAGTCCATTTACCCTCCTTCTCGTCGTACACGGCAGACTTTCCGTCAAGACTTGAATTCGCCCAGATATTCAGGTCCATGATATTGGCATAATTCTTCAGGAACTTGGCCAGCTGCTGTGCTGGTAGAAACACAGGGAACCAGTGCGGAAATGGCAAACATGGCAGATGGTTGGTGAATGTTGGGCCATGCAAGGATAACGACGCGTAACGACTTGCCCAGCTACACCCTGGGCCATCACCCTTTTCTATGATGAGATGCGGTATCCCCAAAACTTTACAACGAGCCGCCATAGACAATCCAGTGTGTCCAGCACCGATGATAACCACAGTCGGCTGGAAACCCTCTTTGCCGGCCGTCTCATCGTCTCTCATCTGTTGGTAGGTCCGGCCTTTCCCAGATGGGTCTTTATACTTGCCAGGCTGATACCTCTCCTTGTCTCCATACTCTGCATCCCAGCCATGAACTGTCTCCATGGCGGTGCCTACACTGTAAATCATCCATGATTTGACATCAGCCAGATCAGTAGCCGTGCCAGTATTGGCCTTGAACGGGCTAAGACGGGCTACGCCGATGCCGGTGCCGTGAGTAAAGTCGAATTCGAAATGAAGAAGGATAAATGAGAGATCTGGTCCGAGTGTCTCCACCTTTGCAGGAGCGTGAGGATTCAGTCGAATACGAGTGATACCAGTCTTGGATAACCGCTCTTTCAGCATGGTGCCGATTTTCTCATGTCCTTGTAGAGTTCTGATATCCCATGTGAGAAGTTCGACGTCTTTCCAGTAGCCATTTTCGTGGATAACTGAGAGTATGTCATCCACGTCTTGGGCTTCTATGGCCTTGGCAAAGCCATGAATGAACTGCTGTGCGATCTTGGCGGGATCAACAGATCCGTAGTCTGCAGTGAACCCAAGTTCTGAGTCCGTTGGAAGTACTGCGCGCTTTATGTGGCCGTAGTATCCACAGGTTTGGGACAAAGGCACCCCAGCCCAGCCAACTCTGGTATCAGCATCGGGCGGCCGTATAGCTTCATCGTTATAGTCTTTGGTGTTTGTTTGAGGCATAATTGCTGATATGGACATCTCTCTTCTGTAAGCTGCTCAGTGATAAAAGTTGCATTGACTCTGGGTTGTGTAATATATCAGTATTCATGAGTTTTGTATGTGATAGACGCGACTCTCAGACTCGTATCGTTGTATGGTTGTACAGGCATCGAGGCCGGTGCCTCGGGCCGAGTCGGTGGATTGAGTCCTGCTTTGAAGGGTATGTCAGACCAGCGGGGTTTCGCACTCAGAGCATATCGCGGTAACATGGCTGATTTGCTTCGCGGCTTCGTGAATTGAACGAGCATTTTCTCCGATGCAGGCCTTGTTCTGTGATAGGGTTGAGGGGTCAAAAAGAGGCTTCAGCCTCAAGGCCTCAAAGGTAAAGAACACCAAAAAAACATATATGGGCGCAGGCCTTGTTCATATGTCTGATTAGACAAATAGACTTGGAAAGGTCAATTAATCCTCTTAACAGAACATCAAGGAATATATTGGTCATATGTGTCAATTTGTGATCTTGACCTTGGTGTTGGCTGAAGCCCTTTTTAAAATCAAAACCTTATCACAGCTCTTGACAGCAATACTTTACCCAAAACGTGATTCACTCTATTTATCTGTGAGCAAAATCGGATAACTACAACTGAATCATCGACAGGATCTACAAATAAAATATAGCTATTTCAGCTGTTAAATTTAAATAATGCGTCTATTCTAGGACCTTGGCTCGTTTGTCTTGAGCTCTAGAGCCTTAAATGCATTATATGTCCTTTCCTCGACCATCTCGCAACTCACTTTGCACTTCTCGTTACTATACTCCGGCCGTTCCTTGATCTTGAACCCATCATCGCCAGGTAAAATCTCAATAGCTTCACCGGATGTTTTGCAGTCCCCTAGCAAGCTCTCGAACGTTTTCACTAGACTCTCAATGGTGATCAAAAGGCCCTTTGCGTCGGCCTTGTCGTAGAAGTCACCAGTTGAGATACCGGTTTTAACGATTGTAGGACAAATTGCATTGAGCGTAATAGCTTCCTCTGGTAAGAGCTTTCCATGTGTCCGTACGAATCCAACTACTGCACTGCTAGTGTTAATATTTTTTTCCCCTTGCGGGTCAATTTCAGTGGCCTTACTGCTTCGCCGCGGTATAAATTGGCAGACTGGGAATGCAGTAGAAACCACAAGCTGAGGATACAACAACAACTGCACATTGATGTGAGATTCCAATTCCGGGTCCCGGGATAGATAAAGCTTACTCTTTCCACGGAAACCATACTTGCCAGACACTTGGGTTCTGAACTGTTGAATCGCAAGAGAGCATGTATACAGCGCCCCAGTAGCATTAACATCCAGGATAGCCAAATTCGGCTTAACAAAGCCAGACCCACCGGGTTGCCTGGGGTTCCAGGGTCTTTCAGTTATGCCCGCAATGGGGAAGACGTAATCCACCCTGCCAAGCCTCTCCACGGCGATCTCAAAGGCTTGCTTCTGAGACTCCCAGTCACCAACATCGGCCTCAACTGCCCACGCTACTTGACCTTTTGTGTTGAACTCTTGGCAGGCTCCCTCGGCGCCTTTGAGGTTTCGATCAGCTATGACGACTTTCATGCTGCAGGAATCAACTTAGCAACGTGTTTGGCAGGGGTTGAAAAATTGGCTTGTAGATATTCACCCCTTGTCGACGAGTGTCGCAGCAAGAAACCTGGCGATTCCACTAGCACCGCCTGAGGATAAGATATTAGCGGCTGAGATGATCTCTCTTCGCGCGTTCCAGTTGTTAGCGGACGCGTACCCGTGATGTAAGCTGTCTCAGTGCTGTATGACATGGTGAACTTTGTATAAGGGTGATATAAAATAATGGCTTCTCTATCGCTAGATGATTTATTAAGAATTAAATTCCTGTAAAGATTCCTAGGTTCAGTTTACAGGTCAAGGGCATAAACTGATTATATATATCGGCGCTTTGGTCGGGATGGTTACCGAGGCTCATGAGAATAGGGTAGGCAGAATCGCCTTGAGTTCAACAGACTCATGCCTCGGCAATATAGTAATTGCTATTTCTATTGATGGAATATGCGAGTCACTATAGGGGTCTTACTTATCCCATGAGAATACATAGATTCATATCCTCAATAGCTTAATGCCGGATTCGCCATTTAAACAGGAGCATTGTTAAAGGCGTTGAACTGTGTTATGTTTGTTGCACCGAATGCAACTACAATGCCGCATTGACTGACGAAATTCGGTAGTGCCTGTGGATACGCGCTAGAAAGGCCCACCTCTATCGTTTGACCAATAGTTAACGCGTTTTTACAAAATGTCAGATTTAGACCTTGCCAATCAGACGACTATAATAAGCCTAGCGTGTACCCACGCGACCCACTGAATCTCCTTCGGTCCCAAGGCGTTGGCAGAGATCGACTACGGAATCATAATATTCCGGCACCGTTCTATCTAATCAGAGAGTCGAAAATAGCGGAAAATTTAACGCTTGACTGAAAGAGAGAGTTCTCACCCAAAAAAGGGCCAGCTACTCCAAATGCATACTGTAACCTCCTAAATCGCTATAGTCTAGCCGAGGAAGAAACATCCTTCACCACCACTCGTCCCGAATTGTTCCCATGAGTGTTTCGCAGTAATCGCCTCAAGATCTTACCACTCGGCCCTTTCGGAATCTCATCCACAAACTCAACCTCCTTGACCCACTTGTACCGCACACGCCTCTCCTTGACATGCTGCATGAGCTTATGACCAGCCGCAGCATTCGGCCTGACGTGACTCTTCAGAACGACGAAGGCCTTCGGTTTCTCGCTGCTGTAAGCGTCGGGAATCCCCAAGACAGCACAGTCTGCCACGTATGGATGACCCAGGAGGACTTGCTCCAGGTCAGCGGGAGCAACTTGTTGGCCTTTGACTTTGATCATCTCCTTGATTCGGTCGACGATGTGAATGAACCCTTCGCTGTCAATCTTCCCAATGTCCCCTGTACGTAGGAACCCGTCGGCGCCAAAGGTCTCGGCCGTTTCCTTTGCATTGTTCAGATATCCTATCGCGATTTGAGGGCCTTTGGCGAGGATCTCGCCCGTCTCGTTTGGCCCAAGCTCTTTACCAGTGTCCACATCAACGATTTTCACGACAGTAGAAGCCAATAGCTTTCCTGCATTGTTTCCATACTTGTAGTCGTAAAGCTCAGGTGGATGGGTGCTTAAGCAGCAACAGGACTCCGTCATGCCATAACTCTGCCTGAATCCGGTCCATGGCAACTTGTCGTGAAGCCGTTGGATAACTTCACTCCCTACGGGAGCGGCGCCGCAGGCAATCACCCTTACACTTGTCAAGTCGTACTTGTCGACGATGGGATCATTTATGAGCCTGATGACAATTGCGGGCACCAGAGTTAAGTCAGTTATCCGATATTTGACGATGGCTGCCAGTACGTTCTCCATAGTGAAATGCGGCAGCATTACGCACTCATCGTTGCTAGCGATTGGCCAGTGAAGAAACCTCACGAGACCGCTGACTGTCGCACTGTTAGCTGAATCGGTCACCTATCGGAATACAGTGTGTCTGACTGTGAAATAGCGGCAGGCAAGCAAGAAATCGCTTCTTCTTGGGGCCTGCGACATCCGCGAGTTGAAGGCATTGCGAGATGATGTTCTTGTGAGATAGCATTACCTGGTTCTGTCAGCCGACTCTTCAGCCATGGTAGGACCGACGTCTTACAGCTTTTGGAAGTCCAGTTGTGCCACTGCTGAAATTCAGGTATCCACAGACATCGTTCGACTGGCCTGTCGGGATCGAATAGAATGGGACTTGTCTCCCGAGATCGTAATTTCTCCCAACTTCTGAGAGCTGTTGGATTGACTTGTAGCCTTTGAGGTTCCCATCCATCAACAAGATTCTCTCAGAAGGGATACCAACTTCCTTAGCAGCTGCGCTCGCCATTTTGATAGAGCTCTTCACCGTCATGATATACTTGGTCCCAGCCGTTTTGAGAGCATTCACCATTTCCCCAATCGTGTAAGATGGAGACGCCCCGTTGACTCTGCCGCCTAGGACACGTGTCAGCCTCTGCATTCAATCAATCGGAGCCTGCGACATTTAGAAGAGTCTCATACCGTTCCTTAGAACTGCAAACATTGTTACCGGATACCATATCGTGTTGTGTCCAAAAAGCGAGGCGGTGTCTCCCACCTCCATCCCCAGTTCGCTGACCAGAGCTGACGACGCATAGGTTGCATGCTCTTTAACCCGTCCAAAGTCTAGGCGTTCGCCCGTAGTGGCATCTGTGAAGCCTGCGATTTCGCTAGGCGGGTGTTTGAATAAAGGGGAGTATCTCTTGTCTTCAAAAGCCCATTCCCATACCGTCAAGTCTGTCGGGCCTATTTTGTCCAGGGCCCGTTAGCTATGATACGTTGAGAAGCGAAGGGGATAATTGCAACCGTGTCTCACACTGAATATCTGGGTATTGGGATCGGAAAAGCATTTTGCCTCTTGGCTATGCAATGCAGTAGAATCGATTGATGCTAGGCCACTCAAATTTGCTCAGTTATCGGATTGTTCGTTTTTTATCCTTTCTCAAGGTCGCTTCTCACTTCCTTCTTGCTCAGTTGATATTATTAATACGACTTTCTTAACAACGCACCAAAATAGCCTCGGACCTCGGAATGTGCTATATAATATTTGAGTATGGCGAGACTCATCATAAGGTGAACTTGATAAAGAAGATATTAAATTGTACCAATGCCAGACACATATCACTCTGATTCTTGCGAAGTGTTCGTTACCTAGAAGTTTAACGTCTATATGTCCAGAAATCCGGCTCGAGATTGAGATAAAACTATCGGACAATCTTCCAAGCTTAACCCTCATCAATATTATCTATGTCTGCAGCTGCAGTCGAAATGGCCAGAGATGCCGTTGCTCATGACATCCGCGCCGTCAACGGGAATCTCAGCGCCAACGCATCCGTTGATGATGGCTTTATTCGGAAGGCCATCGATAAGTCTAATCTGAATGCCCTTCGACTTGCTCTGCTCCAAGTCACGGGCGATCCAAGACTAGCCAAGATGAGCACTCGCCGCCGCGCGATCCGTGGGGGCGCCATGTATTCTCACGTTCTATGCGATGAGGACACACCACTCCTAAAGGAGATCGCTTTCAACTATCTATCCAAGCGCAAGTCTGACGATGCTGTTCCGCCGCCCCCCTCCAAAGAAGAGACTAGAAAGCTCTTGGACCTATTTGGGGACGAGCCAATTCAAGACGTCGAGTTCAACTACAACTACGAAGAGTTAGCCTTTGAAGAGTTCCCTAGGAATGCCCAATGGAGCGACAAAAAGCCCTCGGCCGATAAAATCGCGGACTTCAAGATAGTCATCATTGGAGCTGGCATCAGCGGCCTCGCTGCCGCGGTTCAGTTCAAGAACCTCGGTCTCAACTTTGAAGTTCTAGAGCGTCAGCAAGGCATCGGCGGCACATGGCTCTTGAACACTTACCCAGATGCACGGGTTGATACGTCAAGTTATCTCTTCCAGTTCAAGTTTCTCAAAAACTATCCGTGGTCGGAATACTTTGCGAGAGCGGGAGAGACGCGAGGGTACCTCGAGTACGTTGCGGAAAAGTACAATGTCAAGGATCGTTTCCACTTTAACCGAGAAATTATCAACGCGGTCTGGGACGAAGATGCGAGCAAGTGGAACCTCACGATTGAACATTCAAACGGCGAGGTCGAGAACATGACCTGCAACGCTATTGTCAGTGGCAGCGGTCTGTTTGCTACCCCTAACCTGCCAGACTTTCCCGGTCTGAAGGACTTCAAGGGCCCTGTCTTTCATACCGCCAAGTGGGATCATAGCGTGGATTACCGTGACAAGCGAGTCGCTCTGGTCGGTACTGGCTCGACTGGTACCCAACTTGCTTCTAGGGTTGCTTCCGAAGCCAAACAATTCACTGTCTTTCAACGTACGCCCAACTGGATCATGCACATGGACGGCTACGGCGCCAAGATAGACGATGAGGTACGCTTCATCTTCGACACGATGCCGTATTACTGGAACTGGTTCTGTTATTCAGCTCATGTTGCATCTCAACAACTACAGTACATGCAGACCCATGATCCAGAATGGAGAGCCAAGGGTGGTATCGTCAATGAGAGAAATGACCTTGCCCGCAAGAATCTCACAGAGTATATCAAGTCCAAATCTGAAGGAATACCAGGTTTGTTGGAGAAGATCCTGCCTGATTATCCTCCGTTGGTTCGCCGGCTCGTCGTAGACAATGGGTTCTACGATATGCTTCGTCGCGACAACACGACACTCGTCGCCGAGGATATCAGCCGGTTCACAGAAAATGGGATAGTTTCTTCAAGCGGCCAAGAGCACGAGTTTGACGTGGTGATTCTTGGAACTGGCTTCAAAGTGTCGGATTACTTCTGGCCTTGCAAGTATATCGGCCGCGATGGAACTACTCTGGAGGATCTCTGGAGTAAGGACGGTCCTCGCTCATATCTTGGACTCACCATGCCCGGCTTCCCCAACTTCTTCTCCCTCTACGGTCCAAACCACCAACCCCGCTCAGGAGGGTTCTACTCGTGGGGAGAGATCTGGTCGCGATACGTGGCTAGCTCCATTGTCCATCTGCTTGAGAATGGCAAGAAGTCGATCGAGTGCCGAAAAGAAGTCTTCGATGAGTATAACGCGAAGCTTGATGAGAAGGCTAAGGAGCTCATATGGGAGATGGAAGGAAGTGGATATTATGTCAACAGCTTCGGTAGGCAAAGTGTGAATGCTCCATGGTTTACGTACGATTACCACAGCATGGTTTTAGCGCCCAATTTCAATGATTTTGAGGTCAGGTAGAACCCTAGATTAGCGAAAGTAGTGATGGAATTGACACTGCATTAAAATAAGTTAGCTCCAACTACTACTCCAAATAGACCAAGCATTTCATGTGAGCCGCTACTTGTTTCCATGGGAAGATCAATTACCGAGCATCTAGAATAATCCCATTTAAAATCTTCCATATCAATAAGTGCACAGTATTCAAGTGTACACCACGGCATTACTTTAATTATAAGGCAGAAATATCAGGAGAGACTTCAAGTCCCGTCACAGGGCGAGAGAACCTCAACAATAACATATTTATTCCTTCGAACCAATTCTCTAGGTTTCTTAGATTAAAATTTCTCAGTAGATGGACTTCTCCAGTGGGCTCTTGTTTCCCCAGAAATCCTTCCAACTGAACGATTTGTTCTTCTTTTGGAACTGTCCAATCCCGTGCTCTCCCTCCGATCCAGGAACCATCATGTTGGCAAATGTCTTCTTGACCAGACTCGCTTGTTTCTCGCTATCCGGAGACAGCCACGCCATCCTTGTGAGTTCCTTGTTAATGGCTGCGGATCGAGGAGCGCATTTTGCTAGTTGATCCAGATAGTTATCGAGCAGCGTCGTCAGGGATGTCTCATTGCTGCTCATCCCATGAACTGCCCCTATCCGAGTGAGTTCTTCGGGACTCATCTCTCTCCCGGACAGCATGCCTTCTCGGGCCACAGAGACGCCCCATTCTCGCACGAGGTACTTGGAAATCACAGCCGGACTAACCCCGATCTTGATCTCGCTGAGTGTCCAGCGTGCTTTGGGGGATGCAAGCCTTACATCGCATGTGAACGCTAGTCCAACACCACCACCGTAACATGGCCCGTCAACCACGGCGATGGTGGTTTGGGGAACGTGATCTAATGCTTCATACAGTGCAGCAACCTTGGCATAGTAACTGCCATCGTCGGAGCCATTGGCTGTGTCAGTGTTTCCGCTAAGGTCCATGCCTGTACAGAAAAACTTGCCCTCTGACTCAATCACGAGGTGATATACGGATTGATCTTGAGGAAGCTTCTTGAAGAGGGCAGTCAAGCCTTCAAGCATGGAATCAGTCAGAGCGTTCCCATTCTTAGGTCGTGTCAGGGTGACTTTCAAGGCAGTACCCGATCGAGAGACACGATACTCGCCAGTATCTTCCACAGTCTTCCATACCCGTGGCTCTTTAGGAGGTGTAGCCTTTGACTTGGTTGAGCAGTAGATAGCACTGCCTCTCTTGGCAGCCAAAGCGGCACCGGCTCTGCTCCCATATGGAATACCGATCTCCCCAGAGATCCATTGGCCGATATGGCAAAGCTTATCCAAGTCCACACCAGTGCTGACTCCTGAGTTCTCCAGGGTGTAGATGACATCCTCGGTCGAAACATTGCCTCGGGCCCCAGGCGCATATGGGCAACCACCGAGGCCGGCGACGCTACTGTCGAACTTTCTGATACCCATATCATAAGCACGGACAATATTGGCGATTCCTTGACCATAGGTGTCGTGGAAGTGACCAGCAAGTCGACTGGGAGATATCTCCGGTAGTAGCCTGTCAAGAACATCCTGGACATTCTTCGGCGTACCGACACCCAGCGTATCTCCGAGGCCAACTTCGTAGCAACCCATATCTAGTAGCCTTTTTACAACAGGCAGAACAGCGTCTGGGGGCGTAGGGCCTGTGAAAGGGTCTGAAAACATGCAAGATATGACCCTATAGTTATTGTGAGCGGTCAGCTTTTGATCAGCCCAATGTTCACCGAATATGCGTACCCACGAACTCTAATACCGAAGCTCAGCGCCTTTTTGGTGACAGCTTCACATTGTTGGAGTGCTTCTTCAACCGTACAGTTTTGGTTCGCTTTGCTAAACGCCTCAGTCACAGAAGCAAAGACCACGATCTCCTTTGCCCCAGCTCGGCTCGCGTTCTCCAGCCCTTTGAGGTTTGGCGCCAGAACAGGGTAGTTCATTTGATGGGATTGGAAGATGTGCCCAGGGCATGTAAGGATTTCCCTCATGACCTCGGCTCCATCGGCGAGCTGAGGAACCCATTTTGGAGACACAAAGGAAGTGGCCTCGATGTTGGTCAGCCCTGTTTCGGCGAGTCTGCGGATCAGCTCGATTTTGGTCGCCGTAGGGATAGATTCTTTTATGTTTTGCAGGCCGTCCCGTGGTCCAACCTCGACAATCTGGACTTCCGCTCTCTGAGACGAGAAACGCCGGGACCTCTTCAAAGAAGAGATATGAATCGCACTGTAATTGGGTCTAGGACAATTTCTTATCAGTGGGACTGATGTTGCACATTTGGTCAAGATGGCCATCATGTTTGATTGTGGTGAATCTGTGATATTGGAGGAAATCGATACGTTGAGGTCTCGTTGAACCAATTATTCACATATGAAATGATTTTGATTTTGGCTATTCTTCGTCTTAGGTCCAGCAGCTCTATATTGTAAGCTCTTCTGATGATTGGACCGGGGGTACCATGATGAGGACGCTTAACCGAGGTCACTGCCGCGACCAAAAGCCGTCAAAACCCGTGTCAAGTGACAAAGCTACTAAATGATGCATGGAGTATGGGGACGGAAAATAACCCATGATATGCCACGACAGATCTTTGATCACCGTTCTGAGCGTCATTTCTATCAAGTATAACCGGTATATAATGAATGAAGGACACTCTGAGGTTATCCATTTTACATGCTCGTCTCTGAACTTGTTTCTTCGCTAGGCCCAAAAGATCAGATCTTCGAGGCAGCATTACTTTTTCTTGACCCCTCTGCTGGCAGATTTCGGAACTTCTCATAAGCCTTGAGAGCTGTCGGATTCGCCACCGATCCGGCCACGGCAAACTTATTGCCGTTGATCACGTGCTTCACGTTGATCTCGCATTTCTTTCCATTAGCTGTGTAGGGAATATCATCCACCTCCAAGATGTATGCTGGTATATGGCGCGGTGAGTGCCGATCGCGGATAGCGGCTCTTATTTTGGCCTCGAGATGCGGTGTGAGAGGTATTCCAAGCCTCATCTTGATAAATAGCAGTACCCGTTCGTTGTAATCGGCTTCTCGTTTCTGGCCAACACAGATACTGTCCAGGACCTCTGTGAAGGTCTCCATGACTGCATAGATCTCCGCTGATCCGAATCGCACCCCTGAAGGATTCAAGACGCCGTCACTGTATACACATTAGGTTTCAGACCTTACTAGTTGGAGGGTTTGGACAAGACTCACGATCTGCCAAGCATTATGATTCCTCCCGTACCTGGTGACCGCTGAACGAAATCTCCTTGGCACCAAACACTTGGCCCGTAGCGTTCAAAGTAAGAGGCCTTGTATTGCTTGGCACCAGCTTTCCCTAAGAAGGCAAGTGGTTGGCTTGGAAAGGTTTTTGTACAGACCAGTTCTCCTGGTGCACCAGACTGCTCCACTGATACGTGTTCATCTGTTCCAGAATCGTAGATATCTACAGCCATACCAAGAGCTTTGCACTGAATCTCCCCGGCATATACTGGCAGCATAGGCGTGCCACATACAACTGTCAACCCTGTTAGCCAACATGAGACACAACCTCAGGATCTTGTGCTTTCTTACAACATCCCGCGATGTCCGTTCCGCCGCTCATAGAGATTAACTGGGCCGAAGGGGGAAACGCAGTGGCATAGAACCACTCGTACAACTCAGCAGAGAGCACAGATCCTGTTGATAGCATGATGCGTAGCCGACTCAGATCGAATTCTCGTCCTGTTATCGGCGCAAAACACGAAAGATTAGCTTTCATTCCATCGGTATCTGCTACCTGGAAATAACCTTACTTGGTACGATGTTGAGACCTTTGAGTGTGGAGAGATACCGAGGCGATGTGCCGAATACACTAACTCTGATTGGGGATTCATAAGAATTGCAACCTATTTTCTATGGGCGTCTGATACTCACTTGTATGTTTGGGCAAGCTCTAACAGTATAGACGGACGAGGGTGAAAGGGGGAGCCATCGTATAGAAGCATTGAGGCACCACAAGAGAGGTTCATGAGGTTTAAAACCCACATAACCCATGATGTCTGACTGGAGTAAGCAGGTAAGAGCGGTCGTGAAATCATTAGGTAGACGTACAGTCGTGTATTGGAATACGACATCAGTCTTGCGGATGTCGTGTTGAATGACTGAATCAACCTTCGTCTTCAGGGCTACTCCCTGTTATTATGAGCATCAGGCTTGTTTGGTATTGGAATTTTGGTATTCTTACCCCTGTTGAGTGTACGATGCACTTTGGTGGGCCAGTCTATGATATACTATTAGCCGTCAGGTCTTGAATGAGGCTATGGCAACACGCACCGTTCCAGATGAGAAGAGAATGAAAGCCGGATGTGAAAACGGAAGCATTTCGAATAACAATTGGTCCCCTCTGTCAGCCTTGGAAAAGTCTCCGAACGTGCATGAGTTTGGCTCGTGTAATGGGCTTATGCTGATGTTTGGATTTGGAACTAGAACGACCTGTGTCGTGAACGTCTCATTTCGCTCCCGGAGCTCGCGAGACCATTGTCTGATTCGATCAGTCAGGTTGATGGTTTTCCCAGCGTAGACATATCCTTGCTCTGCAAAGATAATCTTCGGACGAATCTGTGAGTATCTGTCAACTATGCCACCAGCTCCCATGTCGCACGAGGTAGAGGACCACAGTGCGCCAATTGAGAGGGCTGCCAAACAAACGACCATGGCATCGACAGAGTTAGATATAACAGCTGCGACGACATCCCCGGCAACAACCCCAGAGTGGATTAATGCACTGCGCAGCTTTCGTACGCGCTCTCTCAAGGAAGCCCAAGTTACTTCCTCGACGTCACTAAGGCTTTCTCGGCTGAAATATATAGCCATGTCTGTATCCTTGCGGTCTCGAAAGATCAACTCGGCAAGATTAAGAGTGGAGGTTGGGAAGAACCTTGGAGGCGGAAACATGAGGTTGTAGCGTGAGTCCTTGATATCGTTAACAAAGACCGAAAGACTTTCTGGGGGTACACACTCTTGGATTGAAACATGGTGCTTCTTTGTCAATACATCCAGTCTCACTGGGTGAAATCTGGAGCCATCTGAACGCCTGAGTCCAGAAATGATCAATGGTCCCGTCTCCCACCGACCATTTGTACAAGTCGTCGTATGTTTGCAATGTCAGGCCGTAGATATCATTCACGTAATTGATGAACTTGACTGCGTTTGTCTCGCTCAGGTTCTGAGGGTTCCAGAGCGCGGTCTTTGCTGGCGGTTCCATTGCTGCAATACAGTAGTTGAAGTCGAGAGTGGAAGATACAGAACAGGCGTTGTGATGGATTGTTCAGGATTCTCGCGATCCTAAATACGTAGAAGATGTACTAGTGATAACGTAGCATCTTCTGAACTCGAAGTGGGGGCTTTCAGCATGTTGTTGCAATTCTTCTTCGATCATGACACCGAGGTAAGAACCATAGATGGATCCCATAACCCGGAGTCTACCGCCCATGTGTTTCAGCGAGAGGTGTTTCAAGGCGCAGAGTAAACCACCGCCGCCATGGTGATGTTCCCAAGCATAGATATCTCACCTTTCGTCAGTCACTCATACAACGCATGCAGTATCGTAGATATGATAGGAATCATACTCATGGCTAGACTAGATAACCCCCTTCTTCTTCAGCTCCGCTGCCTGTTGCATCTCTATTCCCAACTCCTCCAGCAATTCCGACGTGTGCTCTCCTAAGCGAGGCGGTGCTCTCTTCAAATTCGTCTTTGTTCGACTAAACTTGACCGCCGGCCCAATGAGTCGAAGCTCACCAGATCTCACCGCGTCTAGTTTCACATTCGAAATCATATCCCGCGCTATCGCCTGCGGATGTTCAAATGCTCGCTCCATATTATTAATTGGGCCAAAAGGCAGACCCGTCTTTTCAAAGATCGACACCCACTCTTTTGTCGTTCGATTCAGGAAAATCTTACTGAAGATTGGACCCAGTAGATGACGATTTTCCACCCGCTTGGGGTTTGTCACGAAGCGCTCATCTGTGATCAGATTTTCAAGGCCTAGAAGCTTGCAGAGGGCTGCAAATTGGGCGTCGTTGGTAGCGCCACAGACAAGATATGCATCTTTAGTCTGAAACGCATCATATGGGGCGATGCTAGGATGTTGACAACCCCATCGCTGTGCCTCAATACCCAAGTTCAGCCAGGAAAGCCCGACATTCGTCAATAGGCTGAGCTGGGTCTCGAAAAGCGACGTTTCCACTCTCTGGCCAGTTCCATCGCGCTCACGAGCATAGACAGCAGCGAGTATTGCGCCATGGAGATACAGGCCCGTCGCCATATCGACCATGCCGATCCCTGTGCGTACAGGAGGACCGTCCTTTTCCCCCGTGATGTGAAGAAGGCCTGCTTCTGCTGCTGCTATTGGATCGTACCCTCCTCGGCTAGCGTAAGGACCAGTGGTTCCATAGCCTCGGCCATTGTCAGCTGACTTCCACTGACTTGGATTGGATTGGTAACTTACCCGAAATGCTGGCATAGATCAGCCTCGGGTTCTCCTCTTGTAGGCTTTCATATCCTAAGCCAAGGCGGTCCATAGTGCCAGGTTTGAAGTTCTCAATTCTGTAGAGTAGTTAGCGCTGAGTTGTGCAAGGCAATGAGCGAGTCTGGCTTGCCCATTGTCGTGATAGTGGGAAGTAGGGCTTATAGGGTATAATTTACAAGACATCTGCATTTCTTGCGAGTTTTCTGAGAATCTCCTTTCCTTCACGCTGCTTTAGATGAAGGGTGATGGATCGCTTATTTCGGTTTACCGAAGAGAAATAATTCGACATGGGACCAGCTGATTCTTTCCATTTCTCTGGCTCTCCTGGCATCATCCAATGTCTTGTGTCATCCTATCAATATGGTGTCAGGTTGTAGTGGCTAACGAAAGCAGATGCCAGGGTGATTATCTTGACAGCACGTACACCTTTGCCAACAGTTTCAACTTTGATAACATCAGCACCATAATCTGCAAGAATTTGTGTGCAGAATGGAGCCTGAAACAAAGAACTCTAATGTCAGCTGATCTCGGGAACAGAACAAGAGATATCACTCAACGTACTGCCAACACTCGAGAAATATCCAGGACTTTTAGCCCCGTGAGAGCGCCAGGGCTCTGAATATTACCAGAAGTACTTTGCTTGGAAAAAGACCTGACTTTCGGTAGATAGTTTGAGCACTTGCATTGTGCTCCTCGGGTGAATCTTTTTACATAGCCGGAGGGCCGTAAATTGAATCGTTTCATGGTTGTAATGATCATCAAACTTATTTTATATCATTAATGTGAAGGATTAGATGCTGTTCACTTTTACAGCTTGATCTATTTAATATCTAACATGTCAATGGAGATAATTACGTTGTACAAATTGTATACTCTCTCGTCAGACTTGTTGAACAACTTCATACGAATCCCGAAGGCCTCGGTTATCATTTACTTTTAGACAAAGGCCTCTCATGAGCCTCACAAAAAGCTCGACATCGCACAACCTCGGCACTGCCCAACGGCATAAACAATGTTCATGATTTGACAAGAAACTAGATTTTATAATAGCCAGTTTAATTTGGCGGAGACTGAAATCTTGATGCTGTTTATTGAGCACTTGTCCTGATGTGATGTATGAGTCTAGGTTAGCAGCTTGCTTTGTTGTCACTATCAGATAACTTATCGCTTATCACACGTTGAATCTCCTATCGATAAGATATTGCTTTAGCCTGTGCTTACTGTACTTCGACACACCTTCTGAACCAATAATATTTTAAAAGAAAAGTGATACACCAGCAGAAATACCATAGCCTGTATTTTATAGCTATTAATAAATAAATCTCCTAATAGTAGCACCTAGTAGCTCTTAGGAAGTCCAAGGACCTTCTGACCAATGTAGTTCTTAATCATCTCTCCACTAATCGGTGCAATCCTAGAGAGCATAGCCTCTCTGAGATAACGCTCGACATGGTACTCTTTTGCGTAACCCATTCCACCATGAGACAGGATAGCTCTCTCTGCTGCCTTGAATGCGCTTTCTGAGGCTAGATATTTCCCCGCGTTCGCATACTCGCCGTCCTCATACCCTTGATCATACAAGTGCGCGGCCAGGTATATCATCAATCGTGCGCTTTCGAGGTTCATCCAACACTCGGCTAGAGGATGCTGTATTCCCTGATACTTCCCAACTGGATTACCGAAAACTACACGTTCCTTGACGTAGTTGCTGGCACGTCGTAATGCTGCGTAGCCTATTCCCAGCGCCTCGGCACCCACGAGCACTCGCTCTGCATTCATTCCGTGCATGATCATCTTGAACCCATCACCCTCTTTACCGATCATGTCGCTGGCAGGCACTTTCCAGTCCTCAAAGAAGAGAGTGTTGCTGTCAACTGCAGAGCGACCCATCTTGGGGATCTCGGTGACGGTCACGGCAGAGCGGTCCAGGTCGGTGTAGAAGAGCGAGAGGCCATGACTCGGATTCTTGACCTGATCAAGCGGGGTTGTTCTGACGAGGATGAGGATCTTCTCAGCTACCTGGGCAGTAGATATCCATATTTTGGACCCCTTGAGTCGGTAGACATCATCGTCTCTTGTAGCAGACGATTGTAGACGAAGGGTATCCAGCCCTGTGTTTGGCTCCGTGACTCCGAAACAGGCTCGTTCTTTTCCCTGGATGAGAGGTACCAGCCAGCGTTCCTTCTGCTCCTTTGTGCCAAATTTTGCGACGGGTTCCAAGCCAAAAATATTCATGTGGACCGATGACGCTCCGTTCATGCCCGCGCCTGATTCTGAAATGGTCTGGAGCATGACAGCTGCCTCCGAGATGCCTAGACCAGCACCTCCATACTCTTCAGGGAGACAGATACCCAGCCAGCCGTTCGAAGCGAGGTCATTGTAAAGTTCCCACGGAAACTTGTGTTTTGTGTCCCGTTCAAGCCAATACTCATCCGTGTATTTAACACAGATTTTTGAGATGGCCTCACGGACCGATCTTTGAGACTCAGTCCACTCTGGGAGGTTGCTGGGGAGGTACTCTGTGGCACGGGAGTGAATCGATCTCCAGGCTGGGCTTCTCAGGACAGACATCGGTGTCCAAAGGGGCCCTGCCGACTGTCTTGTTAATCGTGATAGAGGTTGCCGCAAGAGGGGGGCAATGGCAAATGCTTTAGCTCGCATGCTGGCCATTGGTATGATATGTCTTTATTACCTTCGAGGTAAACCAAGTATAAGAGTTGCAACTTTGCTGAGCTTTGAACCTGCTGATGGGAAGTATTATAAGTGAGGCTGCTGATATCGGAGCCTCTCGGCAATGAACGGCACTGGAGTGGCGAGTACCATAGTAGGGCTGCTGCCGGCTTGTCCAGTTCCCTCGGGATGGGCCCCCGATACATGCTTTCACAACCTTGGCACCCAAAACGAACAGAGAGAGCAAACGGGGTTATTTATGCCTGATATCCCATTTACTATCATGTCGTAGAAACTGACTACCCACTCGGGCACTTTCACTGATGTGTATTGAACGCGGTGACCTAACAGCTGAGTCACTAAAGGCACGCATGTCAACTATAACTAGGGCTACTAATCAAAGGAAGGATATTATCTTGTCGCCTACTTGGACATCACTCGTTCTAATGGCTGATAATGGAGTCACTGGAGTAAGTTCTTTAGGGACATTTTAAGCTGTTAACAACAGGCGACTGAAAATCATACATCCCCTGATTTCAAAGGGCCGCTATGGCGAAGACGGAGAAGCCATCAATACCATGATTTAAGTAATTAAGTGGTTCACATGCCATGTCAATTAACCCAAGACCTTGCGATAAAGTCCGATACTGTAAGCATAATAACCCTGTAGATACTAGTTAGTGTTTTTAAGCTGAAGTCAGAGATACAAAACTCACGCGTGGGGAGCAATCCTATAGAAATATGGTACGAAGCCGTGGCCAAATGCCGCGATACCTTCTGTCCTTGCAACCTTGACGATGCAGTCAAAGAAACTCGTATAATGTATACGTCCTCCGTGTTGCTTATTCTGCCACTGCATTCTTGTCTTGACAAAGTCGAACGGTAAGCTCAGAATAGCAGCGAAAGTTCCCGCAATCGCCGCAGCAACAAGAGACCGTGTATAGGGTGATAATTCCGTGTGAGTAGCAAGCTGATGCTTGGCTTCGGAGAAGAAGGTTAGTTGACCAAAGTTTGTTGAACATGCTCGTATAACTGTTGGGGTTGCGCCACTCCATAGTCCTCGAATGCCCTCTGCTCGAGTGATTCTTGATAGAGCGTCAAAAACTGAGCGATAGTTGGCGCGCTTCGCTCGGGGCTTCATCCCATCACTCTGCATGCGGATCAATGCGACTTCTGTAGGAGTACCGATGAGAGATCCCAACCCTCCAGCCAGAAGCCCAGCCATGCCTCTCTCCATAAAGTTTATATGCCGATCCTGTGCCGATGCTCGCCTTTTCAGCGCATCTTCAAACGTGTAGAAGAAACCTAGACGGGCTGTGCCATAAACGAGTTGCCGCAAGTAGCCAGCTGATATGCCCTGATACAAGTCGAGTAACCTGCCTTGAGACACAATTCCCCTGGCAACTGAGAACATGCCCGATGGCGAGCTTCCACCTTGTCCAGCGAGCTGCAGCCGCACCTTGATTACGTCGATAGGGTGAATGCATGTTGTAGCAACGAGCCCCGAGGCACCGCCGATAACAAAGGGCTTGAGAGTAGCGGCAAGATGCTCGCTATATGGTAATGATCTATTCGCCAGCTCATCCTCTGACGCAAGGCTCATTGCGTATATCTGTTGTATGAGTAGCGATATGGAGATTTGACCGTCTTTTGAAAGTTCTGTCTGTATCCAAATGTTGGAAATTGGATAGTGGATTGTATAGATATCACTCCTCATGGTGACGCTGGTCATGTAAGTACTGCTGCAGCCGGAAATCAGTCAACATGCACCTCGGCCTGCATAAGAGCTATCATTAATCACATATCCAACCTCGAACCAGTCTACGTTCCGAAAATAAAACGCGCAATACGGTGCGATATTGGCTCAAGTATAGCCAGCGAACGGTGATCCGAAAGAGCCCCGAATGATTATGATTTTCTAATTTTGCCGACACCGAGATGCAGAAGAACATGCTGTTCCTCTACTCATATTCCAAATTATGCTAGTAATTAAAGTACGCGTTAAAGTGTACTATTGATCAGTAACTCACCGTTGGAAGTTGTTGATTTCTAATCGGATTCATAAAGTCATATATTTATCCTTTGTGCGAATTTAGGTAGCAGCATCTTGATGTCTTTGGCTTACAGCCTTATACGTATAAACATCCCCCGTTACCGAGTACACTTATTAATCGATTTTATTTCCTGTCATTCGGTACTGAAAGGAAATATTAATAGATATAGTAGCACAGCATGCAGCTTTCGGGCGCTGGAAGTTCGGTTATCTTCATCACGTCATTAGCCGAGGCAAATAGAATAGGCCAGGGGCCACCGAGGCCATGTGCATGGGATCGACGTAGTAAAAACCTTGAGAAAGTTAGACATACGACTTTCGATCGCCAAAAGATATTTGAGTATTTAAGAAGGAAACAGTGAAACGGCGATTGTAGGTATTTTTTACAATAGACAGCCAAGTCATGTTGATCCAATGGGAGCGAAATTCTGCTTCCGGCAATCATTGTAAAAATTAATATTTCTTCGGGAAACATCAGAATCTGGCCCATATATAGTTTGATACCCAAATATAGTAAAATTGGCCTGGGATACAAACCTGCTCAAGACTCAAAAGGCCGACGAGCGATGAGTGATCTGGATCTTCAATAGCCGGGCTTAGCATCTCAGATTCCAATGTGCACATGAGAATAGTCAACCGCTAAAGGTAGGAAATTGCCGAGGGTCTTGCTGAGGACATCATTCAAGCTGCTGTCCCCAGTCACCTGTATCACCGGTCTGATCATGACACGTGAGCGCCCAGCAGGTCGCCTCAGACAATCCGCTAGACATCAGGGATCTCTGTGACACTGATGAATAAGCCACCTGATTCAACATAATCGTTTTCATCATGCCATCGTCGCCGCGACCCGAGCAAGATGCCGACGGAACAGGAAACAAGCGAAAAAGAGACGATGGACGACCAGACTCTTCCTTGAAGCGGTCTGCTCCTCAGGCCTGTCTATCTTGTCGAGGCCGCAAAGTCCGCTGTGACGTAATCGTACAAGGCCAGCCATGTACCAATTGTCGCCTTGATAACCTGGGTTGCGTACTTGGCAAGCCTCGTAGAGCTGCAACGGGCAGGACAGGGAATACAATATCTGAGCGCTCGAATGCTGGCGAGGAGTTTCCTGTCTCTCTCACGTTTGAAGGTAAGGATGGAATATATGCAGCTGCGACTTGAGTGTCACTTTCGTTCTAACAATGGATTGCAGGCCTGGAAGGTGTTTCACAGGACGATGATGCTAGGCAGGGAGACAGCGACAATGTCCCCGGCGTCGTGCCCATTCAGCTTCCTCTGAATCCGTCTGGTAGTTACACGCAGACCTTGCCACAGTACATACGACCTCTCGCGCCGCACTTGAAACCCATCGATACCGAATATCTTACCGGCAAATGCTGCTTGACGATCCCTGACGATGATCTCCAATGCGAGCTGTTTCGACTCTACATACTATACGTACATCCTTTCATGCCAGTAGTCGACCTACCAGATTTTCTCTCGTCTGTGGCTCGACGTGATGCCAGCTCGCAAGTCAGCCTACTTCTCTTCCAGGCTATCATGTTTGCCGCCGTAGTCTACATCGACTCCGACTACTGTACCGAGAGGGGGTACGAGAATCGCAAGGCAATGCGAAAAGAGTTCTTTGAGAAAGTTCGCCTTCTTTACCACTTTGATGTAGAGCCCGATCGTATCGCTCGTCTACAAGCCCTTCTTCTAATGACATACTGGTACGAGAGGGCTGATGACGAAAAGGACACTTGGCATTGGACAGGAATAGCCCTGTCGCAAATTCATGTCATGGGCATACATCGGAGTCCCGAGCAGCTTAGCATCAGCCCCAAGGCGAAGCGTGGACGTAAGAGAATCTGGTGGTCTTGTTATGTACGAGATCGACTGCTAGCGCTGGGGATTCGGAGACCCGCCCGGATAAGACCTGATACTTTCAACGTTCCCGACTTGACGATGGAGGATTTGGAAATGGAACCCTTCGACGATGCCGTTATGAGTTTCTTTGGGAAGCCGCAGATAACAGACTCTGCAACTCAAAGGGGTCTGATGCTCTGCTTTCTCGAGCTGACAAAGCTCTGTGTGCATATTGGGGATATTCTGTTTAGCCAGTATTCAGTCCTGAACAACGACATCTCAAAGGCAGATGAAAAGATCACTATGATGGTTGTACCCAAGAAATCCGCCCAGCAGATGCAAGACATGGAGAAGTGCGACCTCAAGTTGCGCGACTGGATACAGAATCTGGAATCACCTTGTCGTTATAAGGCGGGCCAGGTTCGCGAAACAGCCCCAGGTCGCTCAGCCTTGCATCTGCACCAGGCTTTACTGTACATGATATACCTCACTTCAGCGGCCATTCTTCACCGCCCCCAGGCTCAACGGTTGGACGAAAGTTCTGGGGATGATATAACCACCAGGAGATCCGCTGACAAGATTGCTGATGCCGCTGGGGGTATCACACAGGTTGTATATGACTTGCATCAAAGAGACCAACTACGTTTCGCGTCTACCTCGGCGATCCCTGCGCTTCTCTCTGCTATACTGATCCACCTCAACGACATTGCCTCCTCGCGGCAAGATGCTCGCTATGCGTCCATCGGCCAGTTCTATCAGTGCTGGCAGGCTATCCAGTCTCTCAGGGATATGTATGCTTCTGCAGATCACGTCATATGGTTTCTTGAAGCTGTCATCCAAAGAACCAATGTCAACATCCCGATGCTGAACCTGGCTCCTTTGAATAACTCAAGACGACGAAAAATTGTGAAAAGGAACCAGAAGGCGAGGAAAAGTGATGAAGCGGCTGAGAAAGGTACTCAAGTCGCTAGAGCCGAGGATCGAATAGCTTTGGATGCCTCAAACTCGCTTATCACACCGGAGACCATAGGAAGCGAACCTGTCGGTACGCAGTCCCTTGGAGAAAGCTCGACGGGAATACGCAAGGATGCCAGCAATATGGAGAGTCAATGCTTCATCGATACCCTGAATGATCCATGGACTGACTTTGACGCCGAGGCAAACCTTTTGCAAGCGTTAGTACACTTTGACGCCGATCCCAACTTCTTTCCCGTTTCCAGCATCGGGCCACAGGAGAGAGAAATATTGCCCTTACAGAGTGCGTATTATTGAGCAGCCGTTAGTTGCTCATGGTCTTTTGAGAAGCATTTAGGATACATAGTAGCACAGGCTTTTCAACAAACAATTAGTATTATACTGAGCAATTCTTAATATAGTGAAACTTCGATTCATTGACCAGTATGGATACATACACCTCCTTGCAACTTCGTTTCTTTAGCTGTGCCTAGTTTTCTATACTCCATTACCCACTGAGACGACTACTTTTACCATAACGCCTCTCTCCCCCCGGATACCCCGGATACCCCGGATTACCCCAGAATCTCGCGATAGTTAGGCTCTAAAGATCTCAGCTTCCCAGCTTACTCCGAGGTCTTGAAGAATGTAAGACTTAAGCTTTTAGCTAGCGGAATATAACACTAGGGAGCCTTCTTGCCCGAGGCCAAGCAATGGTACTGAGGGACTCTGAGCCCCGAGGTCGTTGGCTAGTAGCAGAATATCATGTTAGTTACTAAGGCTTTCGTGGCTGTCTGGATATTGATCGCGAATGTATAAATGCCAAGGCGGAATTTTCTCGTATCCGACCTTTCTAATTCAGTTTATTCTGTTGAATACAATCTCTTGAACAAACCCTCCTAATCAGTATATCGATCTTCATTTTACGTGATAATGGACCGCGAAAAAACAAATGATACCAGCCTTCGCAAAGCTTCCATTATGGAAGATGAAGCAATCGTTCCTAAACTCAACCCACGCATCATATTCATAATAATTTTCCTTGGCTTCGGCTCCGCATCCATGGGCTATGCTTCTTCCATCATTGCCACCACCCTGTCCCAGCCATCGTGGTATGCAACCATGAAACTAGGCGCAACTTCAGACATTACTGCCCTCATAGGGGCCACCAACGGCGGCTACTTCGCCGGCGGAGCCTTTGGGTCCATCTTCAGTGGCTACTTTGCACACAGATACGGGCGCAAGAAGTCTGCTGCACTCGCTGCACTCATCATCCTCATATCCAGTGCTCTTATAACAGCCTCTTATCACATCGCTATGTTCATTACTTTCAGGGTCTTCCAGGGATGGGGATCGTTTCAGATGTTGTCTACAATCCCTATGTGGATGGCTGAGTTGGTTCCTCCTCAGAGGAGAGGTATGTTAGTACAGATTCACCCAGCGATGATCAATACTGGATACACAGTTGCCTCTTATACCGGTGTCGGGTTCTTTTACTACACCGGTGGCGGAAAAGACACTTGGCGTGGACCCCTTGGGCTTGCAGGATTGTTCCCCCTGCTGCTTTTGCTTGGGATTCACTGGATACCAGAATCACCCCGGTATCTGTTATCCAACGATAGGAAGGAGGAGGCATGGGATGTTCTTCGACAGCTTCACTCAGACCCAAGAGATCCTCACCATCTGTTTGCCAAGAGTGAACTGGATCAAATTGAGCGACAAGTTCAGCTCGATAATGCAGAATCCGCCAGGTCTATTTCCGGGAACTACCTCAAAATCTTCCAGCGAGCTTCTTTCAGAAAGCGTTTCTTCATGACCATCTTCTTGACCTTTGCGCAGATGAGCTCCGGTGCTCTCGTTGTGAACAGTAAGTTCTCTTCCAAATAGAAATACTGGAGCCCTGATACTGACATTCCTAACCAGATTATGGTGGCTTGATCTACAAGAGCCTCGGTTTCAGCAATTCTGCGGTTCTCCAAATGCAGGGCGGCTATCAATTATGCGGATGGGTCATGAACACCGCAAATATGTTTTTCATCGACAGATTCCCACGAAATAAGTTGCTGTGCTTGGGATTCGCCACTTGTGGAATTACCGTTGCTATCGAAGCTGCCCTCCAGAAGCATTACCTTGGAACGTCCTACCAGCCAGGACTGATTGCATGCACAGCATTTCTCTTCCTGAACGTCACCTGCTTCGGTCTATTTGTCGAAGGTCCGGGTTTCACTTACATTGCAGAGATATGGCCAACCTTTCTTAGAGGCGAAGGCTATGCTCTTGGTATGTGCAGTCTTTGCGTCACGAGCATTATTTGGCTCCAGTCAGCACCCACCGCCTTCGAGACGATCGGTTGGAAGTTTTACATTATCTTCATCGTCATTGACGCTATTGCTGCGGTTGTTGTATGGTTTTATCCTGATACTCTTGGAAAGCCCCTTGAAGAAATTGCGGGTGCCTTTGGAGATACAGATATGGTCGCTCTGGTTCCTAAGCGAGATAGGTCAAAGTCAGACAGTGGAAACACTTTCGAGTGAGAGACTGGACAGCTCTCCAGTTAGTACATCGAACTTTTATATCATCTTCACTCTTTTAAAAGGCTTATTCGCACAAAGTGAAGTAACTATAGTTAGTAAGAACCCATTTAACTTGAAGTTTTAGATGTTTTATAACTATCTTGTCTCGGTCGGATTAAGCTCTCAGCCACAGGTCTCAGCGGCAAATAACACTTCTAGCTCACAACTTAGACATCATACCAGATGTTTTATAACATATTTAATATAGTTGCCTAAATTAAATGCCTATCCCAATCTAACACTATTCTAAGTCAGAATGCAAATAATGAACACATTAAAGAGTTATTAATAACCATCCAACACTGCATAAATGACACACACTCAATACTGCTAAAGACTGCAGGATAATTCAAAACGACTAACAAAGTTAGGGTGAGGAAGCCACCATTACCGAGGTAGTAGGCTATTCAACGCAGTGAAATGATGGCGGCACCATTTCTGCTCGTGGATTGAATATCATCTCCTCCATTGCCAGCAGCCGAGGTCTTTATACAATATTGAATATGTCCTAGTGTTTCGGGCACCGTGATTCTGACTGCAATCTTGAAAGATTGTGTATCGCGCTTTTGACCGTCTGCGGTCCTCGGAAGAGGCTTTATAGTAAAATAACCGAGGGCACTCTTGGAAGTGGTCATGATTGGAGCTATGCCACAGCACGAGTCTACGAAATCAGAAACCAGTCCTTTAATAAGATAAAATAAATTATTCGTCCTCAACTTGCATATCTTAAATTAGCAAAAGGGACAGCTACTGCCCTTCTAAGCCTTTTGCAACACAGCCTAAGTGTATTTTCCTACAATCAGCTGCAAGCCCATCATGAGCCCATCTGCAGAGTCTAATGGTATCGTTGCGAGTACGGTTGCCGAAGTCAAACAACGCTATAAGAAGGAACACGATAAGCGGATCCGTAGTGATGGCCTCAGTCAGTTTACCGACTTGTACAGTGTTCCGAAATTCCAGAATTTTAAGCAGGATCCCTGGGCAGACCAATCAACATATGACAAGCTACCCCGCGCGGCAGACGGAGACAGTTGCGATTTTACAATCGTCGGTACCGGCATCGGTGCCCTGCTTTTCGCAGCGAGACTGGTGGAGGCTGGGGTCAAGGCCCAGAATCTTCAGTTCATCGACACAGCAGCAGGCTGGGGCGGTACCTGGTACTGGAACCGCTACCCCGGTCTCATGTGCGACGTGGAGAGTTATATCTACATGCCTCTTCTCGAGGAGACTGGTTACATTCCTAAGAATAAGTACTCCACTGGGAAGGAGATTCGCGACCATCTAGAGCGAATAGCCGCGAAATACGGCTTGACCGATCGAGTTTGGTTTCGGACTCGAATGGACGAATGTGTCTGGGATGACGAGAAAAAAGAGTGGGTGATGAAACTTGTCGAACTGGTTCACGGTGGCAAGGAGCACGAAGCTGTCACCGTGACATCTCGGTTCGTCGTTTTGACTACAGGCCTTATGCTGGTTCCGCAGGTTCCACGGATCAACGGCATCGAAAGTTTCGCCGGAGACTGTTTCCACCCTGCTCGATGGGACTACAACAGTACTGGGGGGACCCCAGACGATCCATCAATGGTACGGCTGAGGGACAAGAAAGTCGGACTTATCGGCACAGGGGCTTCAGCTATTCAGATCTTGCCCGAACTGGCCAAATGGTCTAAGGAGGTCTACGTCTTCCAGCGGACGCCATCTGCTGTTGCTGCCAGATATAATCGCCAGACAGACGAAAACTCGTTCAAGAACGAAATCGCTAACAAACGTGGCTGGTGGGAGGCGAGATGTCTGAACTACTGCGCCCACGTGAACAACCACAATCCGAAACCAGCGGTCGATCTCGTCAACGATAGTTGGACAAATATGCCATCTTACAGTGCGATATCAGGCTCGCCAGGCCACGACCCCAAGACACCACAAGAAATGCATGAATACTACGCTTACTTGGAGGAACTCGACCTTAAGAGACAAAGTAAGATACGCGCGCGTATTGACGACCTGGTCAAGGACCCAGATGTCGCGGCCAAGTTGAAGCCATGGTATTCCGGCTGGTGCAAACGACCTTGCTTCCACGACGAATATCTCGATGCATTTAACAATCCCCATGTGCATCTCGTTGACACTGATGGACGTGGCGTCCAGGAGATCACAGAACACGGGGTTGTGGTCAAAGGAGAACATTTCGATATAGATGTGCTCGTGCTAAGTACTGGCTACAAGAGTCCTTTCCTATACAGTCCGCCAGGCCGGGTCGGCATCAAGGTTTTCGGGCGCAACGGCATCGATCTCGACGCCAAATGGAGCTCAGGCGTGACGACATTGCATGGCATGATGAGTCACGATTTCCCAAACATGTTTTGGCCTGGCTTCATCCAGGGCGGCGGCAACCCCAACTACACATTCATCGCCGACCAAGCCGCCAAGCAGTTCGCCTACATCGTGGCCACTGGCGCCAAGGAGGCTCAGAACACAGTCTCCCGCGACAGTCGCTATGAGTACAATTTTACCATCGAGGCGACCGCCGTTGCTGAGGAGGAATGGTCGCAGAAGATTGTGAGCCAGGCCCACATGTTCGGGGCTTCGGCGGGCTGCACGCCCAGTTATATCAACGCCGAGGGGGAGTTTGAGAATGTGAAAGATCCCAAGAAGCTTGCTCGAATGGCGCGTATGTCGATCTGGGGTAAAGGACAGGAGGACTACAATAACATTCTAAGAGATTGGCGAGAAAGCGGAAGTCACCAAGGTGTCGACATCAAGCCAGTATAGAGTTAGAACTAACAGTGCTTAATTCATGTTTCATGTTCTATATCCCAATATCGGTTCTGGAGAGAGTTGTTTTTTCCTGCGGTCAGCGTGCCATGGCTTCATCAATGTGGCCTTTGACCCTGCATAGCTTCCAGTACACAGTTATAGCCGAGGCCTTATATACACCAAACTCTGGCTTGATGTTCTTTTTCTAGTATGTCTGTATTTTTCTATCTAATTGACTCTCCAACTATGTTGGATATGCCTTGGTCCGAGGAATCTATCATCGCCTGTTAGAGCCAAATTACCTCGGGATATGTGCTAAAAAATACTTTAACTCTTTAATACTCTGTTTACTTACAAAGCATATTCTTTGGCTATCGTTGTCTATTATAACCCTGCCACTCTACACTGCATTTCGAGCAATATTAGCATAATTAGATAAAATTCCTTTCCCAACCTCTGATAAAATGGCTCTAGCGGGAAAGGTCATAGCAATCACTGGAGGTGCACAAGGTATCGGTTTAGCCACCGCAAGGCTGGTTGCAAGCAGAGGCGCTTGTGTTAGTATCCTCGACAACAATCCAACGACACTCGAGCGTGTGGAGAAGGAGTTCATTGCAAACAAGTGGCCGATTCACACATTTACGGCAGATATCCGACGAGCTGACGAGGTTGATGCTTGGATCGAGAGTGCTGTGGAGAAATTCGGCCGTCTCGATGGCGCCGCCAACGCTGCTGGAACAGTAGGGAAGTTTCATGGGCAGAAGCCAATAGCACTTTTAGATGACGACGATTGGAACCTCGTTATGGGTATCAACGTCAACGGTACGAGACCTTTCGGCTACTGCCAATCCTCCACTACACGATTGGGCTGACAGATGAATACAATAGGAATGATGCACTCCCTACGTGCCCAGCTACGACATATGCAGTCTGGCGGAAGCATAGTGAATATCGCTTCAAACCTAGGTTCGAAAGGCGCTCCAGGTTGTGCGCCGTATGCAACATCTAAGCACGCCGTTATCGGATTGACAATGAGTGCCGCCCATGATTACGGATCTCAGGGTATAAAGATCAACGTCGTGTCGCCTGGTGGGACTCATGGGCCGTTGATGAGGAGCGTGGTTGGTGACACGCCTCCTCCGCCTCCCTCGGTCCTGGGAAAGTATGGACAGCCTGAAGAGGTCGCTTTACAGATAGCGTGGCTTCTGGGACCTGAGAGCACTCATAGCTCGGGAAGTATTTTCCGCGTTGATGGCGGGGAGTTTTGTTAGGATTGTCGTTACAGCAGAATAGGATGATAATATTGTTAGCAAGCTTTATCCGCGGAGTAAACAGCTTCAAATACTTAGCTAGCAATCTTGACCTATCCCATTAAACTAAGCTATATTATACGATGCAATAGTAAGCTGCCAATCGTTAGAACTCACTCAAACTATTAATTCACATGATATCGAATCTTTTCTGTTAGCCTGAATGATCAGGAGAGGTGTCGTCGCAGATGAAGCATCATATAGGCGTCTTGACTTGAATCTCCTATTCCTACACTGACGATGGTCATAGGTATTTGATCCAGCTGGTACTTGCTACAATGCTCTTACCTGCATGATCCAGAACTGGCAGAGTTTACGAAGGGTACCTTCAAAAGTCTCGCTGGCTTTCTCGAAAAGTGTATTGAGTTTCTGGAACGACTTAACTACTACACTGACTATGGTATGGATTCAAGGCTCCCCAAGTCAGCACCTCCAGGTCTTTGTAGACATTTGTCACCATACCCTCGAGCTGCGCTCAAATCGGAGAAATTTCACCGATTTGGTGACGCAGATGTTTCTCAATGAAGATTGCTATAGGTGTTTGGTGTATGTAGCACTAGGTCCGACTTAGAGGAGGTCAATGATATTCATGTTCCATCCCTTGCTCTCTACTGCACAGCAAGAGGCCGGTGCAAGACCGGAGAATGTCTTTCGATAAGACTCTTTCAACCTCACCATCGCGACCCCTTTTCGCACAAAGAGCCCCCTCCCAGTCCTTGCCGGCTCCAGCATGAGACAGTAGACGAGGTAACTGAAATCATCGAAGGTTTCGCTTCTATTAACAACTGGCAAGATGAAAAAATGCGTGGTTCCCGAAGGAGAGTCATCAAAATAGACGCCATCCGCACACAGGCTAGTTCCATCAATGAGAATGTGCTCGTGTCCCTCTTCAAAGTCACTTATCCAACAGCCGGTTCCCTTCTCAACCACTGCTGTATACAGTGCCCCGCGTAAACGCAGCTGGCTAGATTGCAGCTTCCCGTTGCTAAGACATGAGGTCTTGATGGTGACGACGTCGACAAGCCTGCTACCATCTACAGGGATCCTGCAGCAGACTGGGACTTTTAGCGCGGCCCAGCTCCAAGAAGGGGCTAACCATTCATGCGGCCGACGATGGTAGAACGGGGCTTTTGAAGCATCAGGATCGCCCCAATTAACATGCCAGCACAGTGATGCAGGCATTTGAGACTCCCAGTGGCCAGCGTGGCAGCGGTCGTCAATCGCGTCCTTCAGTCTGTTGATGAGTCCATGAACTGCGATCAACTTGTCTCCTTCCTTTGTGAGGTGGCATTTTGAGTATTGCTCAACTAGCTGGTCCCATGCAACGTAAACTTTTTGATAGCAGTCCGTGGAACCTGTGCCTGTGGCCTCCGAAAGCACAATATTCTTTAGGTACATGATGTCGACTTCGGTTCGCAGTAGGAGCGTCGACGTCTGCCGAATGAGATTCCCTGAAAGACTCGAAAGTCCTTCACACGACTTTTCTTCGAGGCATTCCCAGTATATCCTTTCCTGGGTAAAGTGAACGATACGCCGCGAGAGCAGCCGCTCCTGCATCACCCAGGCTCTCGCATTAAGTGGGTTTGCCATAGCCGATCCCCATAGGTGTTGATCTACCAGATAATATTTCCCAGGTTGGATGCCCCTACTGCTAGCATTGTCCTTGGCAGATCTCAGAGTCACTATAATGGCTTGTCTAATGTGACTCTTGGGGTTGCTGGTATCACGGTCGAAGAAGAGACCACCGCTACTGTCCCTTGCACTAGAAGCAGCAATGTTGATATGCGCATGCTGGTAGATGCTTCCCATGTTAGATGACTCAGTTTCCTAGTCCTGAGCCGAGTCCTGCAAAATGCAGAGACTATCGATCCACAAGTACCGCAACCCAAGAGAGCGAACTACTTCAACGGCGTGTTGAAATGTGGTCGGCAGCTCTCCAGTTTCGATTCCATGGTGAAGTTTTGGAATAGTGCCCTGAGTAAGCTGAACGAACTTAAGATCACCCCAGCAATGACTAAGGGTGGCGTAGGGTATGTTTGATATGTCCTTTGTGTTGATGACTCTCACAGAAGGTGTGTGGGTAGTCCCCACGTCTTTCAATCGACTAGGAAGTGGCGTGCTCTTGAGTCGCGAAGCTTGACACGTATTGTGATTCTTTTGGCAAGACTGTAGGTTCTTTTCTATGAAGGTTCCACCAGTCTCAGATAACCTGGCTCGACTTCCCAGTCCAATGGGAGTGATAAGGTTGGAGAGATCTTTACATGTTAGTATAGATGCAGTGAAAACAAGGGTTATGTGCCTACCTGTTTCTGGGTAAAGGATAAAGGTGTGGAAATTATGGCTACCAGCCCAGAAAAGAATTGTTCCTCCGTTGTGATCAATGTCCGCCGTAAAGGTCACCGGTGACGTACAATCGAGGGTCTGTGGCCAACTAAGCTCCTTGCAAATAGCACAGGAAGTTCTTCTTGAACACTCCAGGAGAGATTGCATGGAATTGTGGTGTTGGTACTCTGCGCCGTCGCTCATTTGGCTATCAGGGGTTTTTATCCAGTTTCCATAGAGTAGATCATCGCATTCCTGACAGAATTCAGGTGATACAGCAGAGGTAGTACTTTGTGCCATATTCAAAATAGGCAATCGGCGCAACGTAACGAATCTTTCAGATGTATCCATAGACGGAAAGCAGTGCTCAGTAATAATAAACACAGGTCTATGATAGATAGCTAGGTAGGCCGGGCTCGAGAGTTGGAACTAGGCGGACAGAGAGTGGGGCCGCAACATGACCATGGCATTCGCCTCTTCATTCTGGATTATGCCAAGCTACAGAATAAGAGGATTCCATGAACCAGTCAAAGTGTGAATTCAAATTCATTAAAAGAATGCCTGGTATTAGCCTGCGCAAGTGCCTTGCAAGGTTGACAGCGGGCAGCGATTGTACCATGACGTGATGGGGCGGTGGCTGAGCCTTGGCAGCTGAATCAAGCCTTACACTGTGTTGTGCCCCAACGTTGGGGAAGTTTTAGACGTAGCCCCAGAGGCTGTCCTGTGCAAGTCCAACAAGGCACACTGCAAGGCACACCTGCGCTAATCACATTTGTTTTTAAACTGGCGACCTAGTGGATCTATAATTAATAGGTAGTTAAAGCTTATGACATCTTAAGGAGACATGAGTCGCAGTACTAAACCTCTACGTATTAAAGGCCGAAAGAACCACCTAAGACTACTGGTTTTTCTTTCCTTTTATACTAATTTCGTTTTAGTCTACGGGGCTCTTGGATTACCATCAGATAAGAGTAAGAAGTAATTAGTTAAATAGAATGTTTATAAGTCAAGGGATTTTTATCTGGCTTGCTTATTAGCTATATTAGCTTTAATTAAAGCTATGTTTTTTATAATTATACTTTAATTTATAATTTAAGTTAAGTTATATTAATAAATGAATTCTAGATAAAGAACAAGTATAAATCACTATAAACTATAAGTAAATATAAGTAATAAGTTTATTTTAGCTATTATAAAATACTCTTTAAAGAATACTTCCACGGAACTTGGCCTACTAAGGGCTCAGATGCCGAAATATAGTTCAAGACAAGCCCTTTACTAATTTTCGGAGAAACAGAATTAGTAGTAAGAAGTCGCTGTATGTACGGAATCGAATAGATATATCTTCCCAAAATATATTCCATTCTGGTCGCCCAAGTCGATAATCGCGTCGCATAAGCGGAACGCAAATAATCCGCCCTCAACGGCTCATCCCTCTCAACCTGATACTCATTGAACATGGTTTGAAGGGTTGCTGCGTCTGGCTTACCCTTGGCACATATCAATGCCTGTAGCTTGTTGCACAGTGATACCACGTCCTGGACGCCATTGTTAAATCCTAGGCCTGAATTGGGGGTGAACTTGTGCCATGCATCCCCAACAAGCACAATGCGACCGTTCCAACTGACTTTCTTGACAATCCCCTCTTCCAGATTAGTCATACCAGCAATGACATCAGGGTCTTCGAGTACATTTTTGACAGTCAGCTTTTCATTGATTGGCCAGTCTGCGAATGTGTCCCTAAAGGATCGAAGAGCCTTTTCGTCATAATGGCACCGTTTGTTTGACGGCTGATCGAGCTTCTCGTATAAGAATAGCCAGCCTTTGTCATGGCCTGTCAGATACATCAAACTGCGGTCATGACCCTGAGTTTCGTAACTGTCCCCAGGTTCCGAAGGCCGACGGAAGGAGGCCCAAAGGCACTTGTAGGCAGATGTGAAAGGGGTTTCAGAGTCCCAGATGGAAGCAAGTGACGGGTCACTCTGGAGCGCGCAGCGGCGCATAATCGAACGCGCCTTGGAATGGGCACCATCAGCGCCGATGATCATAGACCCCGAGTAGGAATTTCCATCAGCGCAAATAACGTCAATTCCCGTTGATGTTGCGACAGCATCGACAACCTTCTTGCCCAAAAGATAACGAGTTTTTACATCTTCAGGCAAATTATCATAAAGTATTTTGACCAGGTGGGCTCGATGAAATGCTACGAGAGAACTGCCGTGACTATTGTATACATAAGTAAGTTTACAAGAACAGAGAAATCTGTTTTGCAGTGTTTGCTACAAATGATTACTTACTTTTCTCGCAAGATGCTTAGAGCATAGGAACGCCTGAATCTGTGCTTCTGTGCATCAAACCCCTGTGAGTGGTGCAAAAGTGGATACCCGATTTCCTCAAGATGTTTCCATAGACCGAGCTGGTGAAAAACCCTCAAGTTGTGCGGGCTGACAATAAGACTAGCACCAACATCCTCAAAGATTTCGCTCCGCTGCTCTAGAACGATAAAGTCTATGCCTGCTTGGTGAAGGGCGTGCGCCGCGAGTATACCGACAGGTCCGCCGCCAACGACAATCACTTTAAAAGGGCTGGACAACATGGTGGTGCAACAGATATATCAAGAGAAGAAACGTCCCTTCTTATATTGAACTCCTTGAACTCATGGTGGCATGTAAAGCTACTGGGGAAGATATTTGTAGCTGAACATAGAACATGTTATCCAGTGGAATCTGGTACGAAGGGCGGTATCGCGTCATCTGCCTAGTAGAAGACGAATTTACAAGGGTTGAGCTAAGCTTGTGTGAAGAACTCCACTTGTTGGAATTATCGGATAGATTCGGATGTGGAAGTAGCATGTCGCGTAAACCAGTAGTGTTTTCGGCTTCTGGCTCACAAGTCTGGATGTGTCTCTTGATCATTTAACCGTGCAGCTGAGATACTAGCTGGGGTAAGGAAACAGTTACGTTTACAAACATAATATTGGAGTATCCACGGCAAATTACTATCTACCATGAGGCCATCGTCACACTTCACGCTTTAAGAACAATAAAAGGAAATTAGGCACGCCTGCTTTATTGATATGCGTAAATCGAGTTGCCTGTAGTTCATTCCTACGTAGATTTCTAGAATTAGGACTATAACACTGATTTAATGCCGAGTTGTTCCTCGATTACTGAGACAGCATCATCTAATGCTCGATCTGCCTGTTCACGGCCGATTAGAGTATGCCAACAATGGAGTGGGCTTTGGGCTTACATCGTGATAATACATCCAGTTGCGCTCAGGCTTTGAGACATTCTCGATCCGACCAACGATCTCTTCTTCCACGGATGCAGCCTTATGAAAGGCCTTCTCGTGGGAAGAAGCGATGTCGTCTATGGTCTGGTAAAGAGCACAATAATAGGGTGACCTCACGCTGTCAAAAAGGTCTAATGCATCTTTCAAACCTTTGGCTGAAGAAGCAGCCCAGCTTAGCGCCCCTGCCAGTGTGCGTGCGTCTTCGAGAGCAAAAGCGGCGCCAGCACCAAAAGCACCAGACAAGGGATGCGACGCGTCTCCGATGAGAGCGACAGAATTGTGATTGACGATTGAGTGCAGTCTTGTCCCGCCAAAGTAGTCAAACCGTTTGATTTGGGTGACGAGCGAGAGCAGTTTCTGAACTGGCTCGCAACACTCTTGGAATCCTTCGATGAACTTGGCCACACTAACTTCTTTGCCCCAGCTCGATCGGTCGCCGTCGTCAGCCTCCCTGATTCTGCAGGTGATTTCCCAATCTTCATCATCTAGCGGAGCTGTATAGATCCACTTGCCCTCAGATCCATACCAGAATACCGAAGCTCTCGGCATGCCGTTTATCTGCTCGACGTCCGAGACTTTGACTACTGCTCTATAAGCGGTCATGCCTGTGTAGTGGACGGAATGATCCGGATAGGCAAATTTTCTGATGACCTTATGGTAGTAGTGAGTTTTATGTTGCTGCTGTAGCCAATCCATCATTTTCCATACTTACAGATCGAATACCATCGGCACCAACTAGGAGGTCAACATCGTCAGTGAAGCCGTCGTCGAATATTAGGCGAAGCTTGCCACAAGGCAATAGCTCGACATTGACCAATTTCATGCCCGGCCGAATACGAGATGAATCTGTCTCCTTGAGTAACGCTCTCTGCAATTTACCTCTGTGAATTCGGCAGGGAGCCTGATGAGGAGCAACATGTGCTGGTGGATAGGTCTGCTTCACAACCACGCCAGATATTCCGTCCCTAGAATAGAAGTTAATCAGGGTATATCATTCGAAGAAGAATTTGTCCTACCTGTACTGGTAATCATGACCATCCGAGGGCCTGAAGAAATCGTTCGGCCGAAGGTGTTTGGAAGCTCCGAGCTTCTCCAATAGGACCCAGGTGCTGCGTTGTAAGGTAATGCCAGTTCCAATCTCACTAATGGCTGGTTTCTGCTCGTAAAGATGCCAGTCAATAAAGGGTAGCCTGGCAAACTCAATGGCAGCTGCAAGACCAGCAGGGCCACCTCCAACAATAGCGACCTTGATGCCCTCCCCTAAATGTTTCGAAGTCGACATGTCTGGTCGGTTTATGACTCAGTCGATCAAGTGACGATAGGGTTGGGCTTGTTGGAGAGGCAGGAGCAGAAAGCTATCTTGAGGCTTTACAGTCCATGCTAACTCCATGTTGCTGTGGCAGCTTCGGAGCTATTATGAAGTTACTCCGTAGCCGCAAGTTTTCAAGCGGGTCCTATAACCTTGCTTCGCGTCCTGCCACATGGAAGAATCACCTGCAATTCCAGTCGAAATATCTGGATTTGGAAAAGGCTGAAAAACTCATTTTGTAGATGGTGTGAGCGTTTTTTTTTAATGCTAGGCTTCATACTAGGATGATGTAAAGTATGTGGAGTTTTAGTATTATCTAGGCCAATCTCTACATGTCCAGGGGGGATTCCGTCATTCACTAGCCCCAAGATCTGTTTGACTATCGTCTATCTAGACCCAGATTGAAGACGTCGGGGCCTTAACATAAGAACTCCGAGCTAATTGATATTTTCTTTGAAAGACCTAGACTCCTTCTTACGCAATAGCAACATGGTATGAGGAAAACACCACCAATTTAGCCTACCTGAATTGCCGATGCTTCAATGACAAAGTAAATTTGGCGACAATGATATTTTCCTCAACCCAATTACAAAATAGACAATCCTGCCGCTCTTAATCGTGGACTTACATCAATACATCAATAGCGTAGACCGTCTTCAGCTTCCGCCTCACTTTTATCATTTTTAAGGTCTTGCTATGTCTCCACCTCTGAAAGAAAACCTAGTTGATACTAGCATTCGAAGCAACGATGATGCTGTAGACCTTCCTAACCCAAACGGCGAAGACATTCTCGAATCTGACCTCGAGGATGAGGTGCTGGCCCTGAAAACTCGCCTCGTCAACGATGTCGGTCCTTCTCTCCTACCTCCAGGCCTTGCACTTACATTAAACAGGCAAATGACGAGCTCGGATGGACGCCTTTCCACTGGAAGCTCTTCTTCCTCAACGGTTTTGGCTATGCTGTGGACTCGCTGTTGACCATGGTACAAGGTGTCACTGGACCCCAAGCATTTCTGGAGCTCGCTACTGCGTCATCGTACGTCAATGCAGGAGTTGTAGCACAGAATGTTGGTCTCGTCGTGGGTGCGCTATTCTGGGGTTTTGGCGCAGATATGCTCGGAAGACGGTTGGCATTCAACCTGACACTTTGGATCACTTCTCTGGCCATGATCGTGGGCGGGGCTGCTCCTAATCTTTCATTTTTGTGCGCTTTCCTGGCATTGTCAACTTTCGGGTCCGGTGGGAATCTAATCCTTGACCCCACGGTCCTGCTTGAATTTCTCCCTGGCGACAAACAATGGGTAGTCACTGCACTGGCTGGGTGGTGGGGGCTCGGTCAATCGATTACTGGATTTATTGCCTGGGGCTTTATGAGTAAGTCGACACCTACCACTAGTACAATCGAGGTACGCGCTGACTTTTTGGGATAGCCCAAAGCCGCTGGAATTGTTCCACCGGCGACGACTGTGGATGGAATAACAACGCTGGCTGGCGGTACGTTATGTTCACATGTGGCGCACTTGTTTTTGTTCTTTCGGTCCTCCGTGTCACGGTGATACGACTCGTCGAGACTCCTAAGTACCTTCTGGCAAATGGGCGAGATGCGGATTTGGTAAAATATTACCAAGATCAGGCCCGCAAATACAACAGACCCTGCACGCTCACCCTGGAGAAGCTTCAAGCTTGTGGGGAAATACGCTTAAAAAACGCCGGTAAAAAGACATTTATTCTTAGTGATGTCAAGAACCATGTTCAAGGTCTTTTCGTCTCCCGCAAGACAACTTTGAGCACGCTCCTGATATGGGCCTCGTGGGCGATCATGGGATTGGCTTATCCACTATTCTATGTATTCCTCCCGTAGGTGAACCATATTCTCCTTCACGTGGAACAACGCTGACTTAGTAACAGAGCCTACCTCTCAACCAGAGTACCCGGGAAGGTTGTCTCACAGTTCGAGACGTATCGGAATCTGACGTTGACAACGATTTCTGGAATTCCGGGGCCGCTCATTGCTGGCTACCTCGTTGAAACAAAACTGGGACGCAAGTATACCATGTTCATCGGCGCGCTATCGGGTATGGCTCTCTTTTTTGGCATCACCGGGATCAAGACCGATGAGCAGAATGTGGGAATATCTTGTGCTATCTGTAAGCCCCTAGTCTCTTCTTGCTAGATACAGATCACTAAGACCGAGGTCGCGCTCCAGCTTGTTGTATCAACATCTATTACAGTACCTTCTATGCCTACACCGCCGAGGTCCTTCCATCGGCACACCGTGCTACTGGAAGTGGCATCGCGGTGTCCTTCAATCGGATCATGGGTATCGTGTCAGCCTTTGTGGCTTCATCTGGCAACACCGCTACAGCTGTGCCGCTTTACGTATGCGCAGCCCTGTTCGGTGGCTTAGCTTTGATTGCGGCTTTGTTTCCCTTCGAACCGAATGGCCGACGCAGTTCTTAATTCATACTGCTGCGCGAGGGATGGAGGATGGAGTGAGAATGAAACACAAGTGACTGATCGATGTATCTCATAGGCATTGACAGTCCAGGTATTTACCCACAGGAATTTGACTCTTAAAGCCATGCCCTTCTCCCAGAGACAGATATGGGTCTCGATAAAAAATCCTTCCATTACCCGTCAATCCACCAGCGCCCCAGATTGGGAAGTCCTCGTAAATGAAATCGGTGGCACAACAAGGGGACCCCCGAATATCGGCAGCATTCATGGACGTAGTGATCGATGTCCAGGGATACCAAAGAAGCGTAGCGGCAGGCCAGGGAATGTCAAGTTAAGAGTCGTAATAGGACATGTAGCGTAGCAAGGCGACGACCAAGTTTCTTCCAGCCGAGTCACCGCCCAAAACAATTTACTCGGGGGGATCTGAAGCTTTCAACTAAGATGCAGGTAGTTTAACAAGGCATCTCCAAGCGCGGCAGAAAACCGTCCCTCGACAGTAGTCGCAAGTCGATACTGGGGCGTCAAGACATGAGTCAAGCCGGCCAAGTGAAGGTAGTTCCGGGCAATAAATCCTGTGTCGCCGTCACGTCCGTTTCCCACGACGTAGGCTCCGCCGTGGGAATGTAGCCCAACAAATAGTTTCTTTGTGTTTGCTAACGCAGTATTCTGTAGGCGCTCAGGAGTCCATGTAGCCCCGATTGTCTGAGGCTTCACATGCACGTCTCTGGTCGGCTCCAGATACAACGATGCCGGAGCTGGAAGTAGGAGAAAGAATCTGTCGCCCTCGGTCTTGAGCTTGAGGGAAATTGGCGTACGAAACTTGAACACAGTTACGGAATGTGAAACGGAAAAAGGTACGATCTAAATGCCACGCCTCCAAGAGGCCATTGCTGAAATAAGCGGGTGCCTAACTAAACCAGGGCTACTTATTCTTCACGCAAAATCAGCAGAACGGGTACCCAAGTTTCTCAATATTCTCTGGGCGTATGTTCTCATGTGTGTAGTATGGGGGAATGGAGCCATTACCGTATCATATGCGACAGTTCTCTGGTACCCCCATCCGCCCTCTCCTACATGTGTCGAAGGGATCGAGGTGTTATTCGGGGACTTCTTTCTGTACGTGGCTAGGCTAGACCAGTCTATGAGAGTGGCTACTGCTTAGTGGCCCCAGATGATACAGTATTATGGCTGAAACGGAATGAAACCATTGTAGTCACATAGGATCTAAGTAGCGTAAATCTTAGTCAATTAGTCGCATTAGCCTAGGTGGCCATGAATATCTAGACTGGGTAATATGCTATCTGGGCGAATGGCGCAAGTATGTAAATCATTAATCCGTGCTGATCCAACGCTTCGGAATGGGTTAAGCCAATAGCTACCGCGAAAATAGATTCAAAGTTAGTGGTAGCCTCATCACTAACGCGTCCAATTGACGAAACTTTTATGGTATTTATACCAACAAATCAACATAAATGGCGCCCGCTCATGAACTGAACTCGTTTACGAGCGCTCGAATCTCTTTCCAATTTTTTTATCTATACCAGCGATTATACAAAAAAGAAACAGAACAAGCTTGTGGCTTGTTGATCAAGTCGTGGCGTTGGTCACGGCAAGTCTGGTGATCTCTCTCGTTACGAGCCGACGAGTTTTCTCCGAAGTTGCTCTACAACCACTCATTCCAGCCACGGCACTTGCCTTTATTTCCTATGGCCCCGCTGGTCTGTCGTCACAGATTCGTCGCTTAGTCGTCGAGCCTCAAATCTTGATGCATGCGCTTCGTGGACTCCTGATTGTTGGGCAATAATGCACGAATCTGGTTCACGCCCAGCCCAGATTGAGCATAATACAAATAGGTAGGTGACGCGTCATGCTCGAGTCGGCTTAGCCAAAAGGGAAAGACGAACTAAGATAGAGTATAAGCTAGACTTTGGGCTAAAATGAACCAGGGTCTCGTATTGTGAGCCAATCGGTATCTGCGGAGGCTGAAAAAGACCCATGCACTCGGGCTTCCGGGACTTTCGTGTGAGGTGACATGAAGTACTGCAACATGAAACACCTTGTAGCTATTAGTTCTCACTAATTATTCAATGCTCCAATTCTCTACCTATTAAGACGATAGCTGGTGGGCAAGTTGCCTGGATCGTGCTGCTGAAGAATCGGGCTCCGAGACATCCCGCAGTCAGCGAGCGGCCTTCGGTTCCATAAGTCGATTTCAGAGTAGCCAATCAACAGTTAATCGGTACGGTATGGTTATGTTCGGGAACTGTGAAGAGACCGCCTTGCTCGCGTCACTACGTCAATTAAAATCATTGAGAAAGTATCAATATTCTATAGAATATGTGTTAGTCAGATCAACATATAAAATACATACTGCTGCCTTGTTCACAAAGGTATTAACTTAACCATCCTTCGCAATCAGAAACACGCAGCAAATCAGTTCAAGTTAACACCGAACCTCACTTTACTTCTACCACCAAGACATACATCCACAATGGTGAATTATTATCGATATGATCCATCTCTACCTGCAAACATTATTTTTATTATTGTCTTTGCCATTTCGTCGGTTACCCATCTCCTCCAGATCTTGAAGACAAGGACATGGTTCTTTATACCATTTCTGATTGGCTCGCTCTGTACGTCTGCGTTAGATCAAGCAATCTCATTAACCAACTGATAAATTGTAGTTGAAACCATTGGCTTCATTGGCCGTGCCATTAACGCTGACGAGGCACCGGATTACACTTTTGGCCCTTACGTCATGCAGAGCCTGCTCCTCCTCCTAGGCCCTACTTGCTACGCTGCGTCGATTTATATGATCCTGGGCCGCTTAATCCAGTTATTGAACGGACAGAAGTATTCCCTGATCAGACCTAATTGGTTAACCAAGATCTTTCTTCTTGGAGATGCAATGTCTATTGCGCTACAAGGAATCGGTGCGTTTGGACCATTTCAAATCATGTTTCCCCACGAAGGCAGTTGGCTAATCTTGTAAAGGTGGTGGGAAGCTTGTCAATGCCGATACTGAAGAAGAGAGGACAACAGGACAGAATATCATCATCGCAGGCTTGACGGTCCAGATTTTATTCTTCGGTCTATTCATCATTGTGACCGGCCTATTCCACTTCCGATTTCTCAAAGACTCCTCAGCTCAAACATCTGGCTTTCAAACCAACTGGCAAAAGTCGTTGGTGATGATTTATGTAGCGAGTATCCTGATCCTTATTCGCTCTCTCTTCCGCATGATCGAGTATATCGAGGGGCACGATGGGGAGCTGCAATCTAAGGAAGTCTACGTTCTCGTGTTGGATGGTTTCCCGATGGTCGTTGCAAGCATTATGTTCAATGTGCTCCACCCGTCGAAGTTCTTAAACATAAGAATCAAGAGCCTCGCGGATTCTGAGACCGAGACTCCTCTAGGCGTATGGCAAGATAGATCTGTCGAAAGTGATATGGAAAGAAGGCCAGGGGCGACAAGCAACAGATAGATTGCTAGGAAAATGGCCTTGCGAGTTCAGATACTCTGAGAAGCAAGTGTATTATGCTTCCGAACCCCTGTCACTGCAGAACCCCCTGCCGCCGGGTTATGATGTATAAATAGAGTTTAGAACAGGGTGGGGGGGATGGGGGAGCTTGGACGCTCCGCCACAGTAAAGGATTGTATTTAATCAAAGCACCATCAGTAATTGACTTACCAACCTTCTATTTTGTTTTTTCATTGCAGCAGAAATCCAAAAACAATGATACATGTTTTAGTGCTTCCATTTGTTATTATCATTTTCCCGACGGTTCTTCTATACTCAACTCGACCAACTGATATAGCAATGGCCGATCTCGACCCTGCATCTGGAGCATTCACAAAGTCAGGTCCGTTGCGTCGGACACATCGCAAGTCAAGGACGGGCTGTAAAGCATGCAAGAGAAGTCGCATCAAGGTAAGTATTCTTCAAAACACTATCCACGCAGTGAACTGATCCATTACAGTGTGACGAGACGCGCCCGGTCTGTAAAAACTGCCATAGACGAGACGCGTTTTGCGAGTATTTTGGCACGTCTCGATCAAGTGGCAGACCCTCAAACAACGTGGAGATTATTCCTAAACAGAGTCAATTAACCATTGAGACTACTCCCGTTGCACATGCTTGGCCAACAAGTCAGGCAAGCCGCAGTTCATCGCTAAGTGAGATATTCACGGAGCGAACTTCATTGCTGTCAGAGCGTCTGTTTGAACTCCAATTATTGCATCACTTCGTTGACATGACCGATAAAGCAACGAAGACTCAGGCTACCTGGTCATTCTGGATCCTAGAGCAAGCCACCCAGTCAATCAGCGTCATGGATGCAATTCTTGGTACCTCTGCATCTCACCTTCAGCACGTCGGCAAGTTCAAGACAAAGCTTTTGTTGATCTCGCACAGGTACATGGCTCGTGCCATAGAAGTTCACAAGAAGGATCTAAAGGAAGGGCTAAATAAGTCTAATATTTCCAGAGTCATTGCAACATGTGCACTCATCTGCATGCATGCCAACCTAAGAGCATACTCTCTGGAGAGCCATAGCAGCCAACGGCAGCCTCACGACTGGTTTACATCGTCACGTAGGGCTTTGAACCTTTTTCAAAGAGTTTCCACGATGATTGAGAATCCCTCTATTGGGCAAGAGTTCTCAACTCTCTCCTCCATCATTCCCCACGACATTCACCCAAACCCTTTTAGCTTTTTACTATATTGGAACCCTCTATCAGCGTTACCAAACGAAGAAGAGATTGATATTTGCGTGCCGGCAGTAGCCAGTCTCTCCTACATCTATAACAAACTAGATACAGAAAAGCCTCTGCGATTTCCCGTTGCTGTTTCGGAGAGCTTTGTAAATCTCGTCGCGGCAAAGAATCCTCGGGCTTTGGCCATATGTGGTTATTTCTTTATGGTAGTAAAGCTGGGGCGACAAATTTGGTGGATTGATGGTGCACCGGAACGAGAGTTTGATCTGGTTATGAGGTGTTTGCCAAGAGACTGGTGGTTACTTATGGACTGGGCCATTCGCGTTTTTGAGTGGAAGGATTGGGCTTTAGTATAATAAACTCGTAAAATGCAATTGAATCCCTGGCTATGCTGTATCTCTATGTGATTCTCTTATGTTGAATAGGGTCTTTCGTATCTATAAGCTTTACTAGGCTAGACAGCCTTTGCCTCTCCTACTTCGTTCTTATCCAACTTCATTACCTCCCAAAAGTTCCTATACCGTTCCACAGCACTGCACCCACCTTCCTTCCCAACTCCTTCCAGCCATTCCTCATCAATTCCAGAGAACAAGTGCAGTCTGCCTCGGCCCCAGCCTTCAATAGTATCTCGACGAGATCCCAATATCCTTTGACCGCAGCCGCATTCAGTGCGCTCCGCCACTTTCCACCGAGAAGGTTGACATCTGCGCCCTTCTCAAGCAGCAACTTGACACATTCTGTCTTGCCTATGTACGCTGCTGCCTGTAAAGCCGTGCCAAATAATCCGCCTGTCCGGTTGACATTGATGTTAGCGCAGTTGTCGAGTAGGTAGATGAGGCCGTCGGTGTTCAGGTGGAAGGAGAAACTTGTAGGCGCTAGACATGCCGACTGCAGTGGAAAGCCATAGAGACCGGCTCCGAGATTGATATTAGCGCCATATTCGAGGAGAAACGCGATCCTATCCTCAATGTCGCCTTCCATGCAATCTTTAGAGCAGTCCCATGCTGCCTATGGCAATGATTTACATCAACACCGTTATCGAGCAGTAGCTTCATCGTTTCGTGGGCTTCATAGTCCCAGCCAGATATTGCCGCTGCCGCATGCCAGGCACTCCCGGAAATCCCGTCTTGAATATGTACATCGGCACCATCGTCTATCAATAGGCACGCCAGGTTGTAGCGCCGCTTCAGGTATAGGTGTTCATTTACGCATGCCGCCTGGAGCGCGGTTCCGTACCGTCCTCCCCCGATGTTGACCTCAGCACCGTGAGAGAGTAGCAAGCGGACTGATTCCATTTTGCCTCGTACTCAAGCGCTTTGGAGTGCGGTGTCATACATCCCTCCCTGCATGTTGACTTCTGCTCCTCTCCTGAGCAGTATTTCTTCTAAACTCTCAGTGTCGGATTCTCGGCTCTCCGAGTAAGTCGCGGCTTGTAGTGGGCTTCCGAATTTGCCACCGGCTGCATTAACATCGACGCCACTATCAAGCAGCTTTTGCACAATAAATACAGTGTCATAGTATCCGTAGCCGGAACGTACGGAAGTGGCCGCTTGTAAGACACTGCAATACTCCCCGCCGTGCATACGCACATCAGCACCTCTACTGAGCAGCAGTTTAACCGATTCCGGGCTCGGCCTCGCACAGGCCGCGTGTTATACTGTTCCATAGCAGCCTCCTTGCCGGTTTAATTCCGCGCCTTTGTTGAGAAGAATATCAATCACACCAGAGTCATGCTGGACCTGATCACATGCCTTTTGAATTCCGTTATCGGATTCCCCTTCCTGAAAATTTGGGTCAGCCCCAAGGTTCGGCAGGACCAGGGCTGCTTCTTTACTCCGAAAATGATCAATGGGTCCTCCAGCCAGTTTTCCGGGGCTGATACACGCCGCTTGGAGTGGGGTACCATCATGCCCATCGTTCAACTCAATGTCAGCGTTGTGCTTCTTGACAAAGTCGGAGACCTCACACGTCCCCTCGCGTAGCCATGCCTTAATTGCCTTATTGGGAACGCTTCCATGCCGAGTGCATTTTGTGTTGATATCTATACCCTTGTCGAGAAGAAGTTTCAGAACTTGGGTGTACTCTATGACATCGGTTTTATCCCTTACCCGCTATAAGGTACGACGTAGGAAATCCTGCCTCTCGCAAATTAGCCCCGCGATCCAAGAGCATTCGTATTGCTTTCATGTTGACGCCCTTTTCAGCGGCCTCCAGAGCTGACCCAAATCTGTCATCATACGCATCAATATCAGCCCCAATGTCTAGCAAGAGCTTCATGACTGCTAGGTGGACTCGACGCGCCGCGGCCTGTAGAGCGCCACCGTCTCCCTTATTACTACCGGTAGGTTAATTGAGAATAAAGCGGACAATCTCAATATGTCCCTCTTCCGCTGTCTCTTGGTCTGGCTAACTTGAGATCTTGGATCTCACTTCAGCAAGTACAGCATACTACATGTATTGGTACAACGATTTTGATTTAGCAACAAGCCACTAGAGAAAAGAGGAGATAATTTCTTTGTATAATCTGCACTGCAAGAGACGAATCTCTCGAAGTATAGCTCAGTTATCGGATTATTCAGCAATATGTTGAACTTCCAAGCATTTTCGTCACCTTCCAATCATGGGTTAAAGTGGGATGATCACCAAGCGACCTGCCTATAAGGGCATGTTCCTGTAATGCCGAGCCTGATTACCCCTCTCTGAGAATCCTTGAAGCGCGGGCTGGGAAGATCCGGAGCGGTGAATAGCGAGGGAGACATGGTTCAATTAAGCTTAAATTTTACCCTTCAAGCTAATAAAAAGACACGATTAATTCTATCCTTCGACGGAATATTCCATAGCTAGGCTTTTTCGTTATAATGTGACATTTACCCTTAATTGAAAAAGTATCGTCCAGTCTCAAGATGCGGGGAAACGCCAAGTGCCCAGCGTTCCTTGCATGCCACCCAGGAACAAATGCTGACCCGCGTCATGTTTATCTCTGACCTTGTTGCGATTTTCCACTAATTAACCAATGCCCTTCGATCTGACCTCTTGGCTCTTTTGCAATTCCCCTCATGAGCTTCCCAACGTGGAGTAGGCAATACCACCCAGCGACTTGGCAACCAAAGATGCAGACGAATCGCTTGCCAAAACGTCGCATTGACCGTTCATTGCCAATTGTTGTTTACAGGAGATGTAGATATCACGAGGCTTGGTGGTATTGAGATCCGGGGCAACCGGAGTCTGCATAGGATCTGCAGGCGTATATAAAGGTCGTGGTTTGTCCACATTGCCTGTGCTTTGACCTCGCAAGGCCTGCTTCGCCAATCCTCTCTCCTCAGCTCTCGCGCGGATCTTATTCCTCTCACCCTGCACCGTCCAATTAGACATCATGCGTTACACAGTCCCTCTCATGGCGGCGCTGGCTGCCTCGGCTACAGCTACTGCGCCAATTGGAGCCGGGAAGCGCGCGCAGAAGCTCTATACACTGGAGACTGCAGCTGGTGAGACCGTCGAGGTTACGGAGGATGAGAAGTTTCAGATGATTGATGTACGTTCCCATGTAACATGCTCGAATGTATGAAGACTTCATTGCTGACTGTTTGCAGGATCACATCCACTTCTTTGACATTACAGAGTGGAAGGACCACAGCGCCGCTCCCTCAGGTGCTCGTCTTGCTAGCACAACAAGCAAATTCCCCGAGAAGCTCGCTCATCAAACCAACGTCAAGAACATCGTCAAGAAAGTCAATGTCAAAAACATTGAGAAGCAGCTCAAGAAGTTCTCCTCATTCCACAACCGCTACTTCAACTCTGCCTTTGGAGTTGAAGCCGCTGAGTGGCTACACAAAGAGATCCAGAAGGCCATCAAGAAGAGCAAGCATCCTTATGCCTCGGTCCGACTGGTCCAGCACCAAGCTTGGTCGCAGCCTTCGATCATTGTCTCGATTCCTGGACAGGTGCGTCTCAAGACTGTTGTCACGGGTTCTCATCTTGACTCGGTTATCTCCAATGATCGTGGAGCTGGTCGTGCTCCTGGTGCTGATGACAACGGCTCTGCATCTATCATGCTTCTGAACCTTCTCTCCGCCTTCCTGGAGGATCCCCGAATTGCCAAGGGCGACCATCTCAACACTGTTGAGTTCCACTGGTACTCAGCTGAAGAGACTGGCCTTCTTGGTTCTCAGGATATCTTCAACACCTATGCTCGACTGGGTATCCAAGTTGAGGCTATGCTTAACCAGGATATGGTTGGCTACAAGGGCCGTGACGGAGTAGAGCGCTTCGGTCTTATCACCGACAACACAAGCCCTACACAAAATGACTTCCTCAAGCTCCTCATTGAAGAATATGCCGACATCCCCTACGAGGAGTCCACCTGCGGTTATGCTTGCTCTGACCACGCCTCAGCTAACCGCAACGGCTTCCCCTCATCATTCCTCTTCGAGACACCTTTCGGAAACCATAACCCTTACATCCACACTCCCAACGACACTATTGCGCATATTGATTTTGATCATGTCATTGAACATGCCAAGGTTACTGCTGGCTTTGTTTATGAGCTTGCCCACCGCAACTTCACTGTCTAAGCTGGTTGTAAGGGAAAAGAGGAGATAGATTATGATTCAGTAATTCAGAATAAAAACCTCAGGTTGTGTTGAATGTTAGTTCTTTATACCCTGGCAATAATAACAGTCTTGAGAATTGCTTCTTTACAATATGTTACAGTTTGTCCCTCATGGTGAATCAACCAAATGGAGTCACTATGCCCTGCTTAATTCATGATGAATAATGTCGCGTGGGTCTAGGGTCTCTTTCCGTTTCCACACGGAATCCCACCGTTACTTGACCAATAATAGAAGGGGCTAGTCAAGGCGATAAGATGGATTGCATTACCCAACCAGTAAGAAGTTCTGCAGTTGATGTGGGCTTGTACCACTCTGCTTACTGGAATATCGTGCGGCTGGATTCCCCGCACGAGCTTCAACACAATTCTTCAATCTCTCTTTCACGGCACAATAATGGATCCGTTATCGCTTGCTGCTAGCATCGCTGGCCTGGTGAGTCTCGCGGGGGCTGTTATATCATCCGGTTACAAGTTGAACTCCAAGTTAAATGAGGATACGAGCGACACCAAGACGCTCGTTGTTGAGACAGCCAACTTCTCGGGCATCTTGCTCGGTGTAAAGGCGCACTTAGAGGCCTTTCAGTCTCTGGATGTTGATCTGAAGGCTGTTCACAGTACTATTGAAGACAGCAAGCTTACGATAAAGCTTATTGATGAGTTGATAGCCAAGGTCTCCAAGTCAAATCGTGTTGAGATGTTGATCAAGGCTGGTGGGCGGGAGGAGCAGGCAGTCAAGCTGCTTCGACGTATTGAGCAGTACAAGATGTTCTTTGTTCTGTGCTTTCAGCTTGAGCAAAGGTAAAGACCTTCCTTGTCTGCTCAAGAATGAAGAAATACTGATATGGAACAAGCTCTCACTCCGAAACCCTCCAGATCCAGATGGAAGGTATTGTGGCCCAGTTACAGTCACTAGGCGAAACTCAGAAGGGTGTTGAGAAGGCAGTTGGCCGATTGGTAGATGCTGGTCAGAGTAAGTACTTATCTCCTCCCTGCGAAAGTAGCCTAAAATAATCCTGTGCAGTTCAGCAACAAGAAAAGATCATCAAGTGGCTTGGTACACCAACAGAAGATGAACACGATGATCTGTGCAAGCAACGCGATGCATCCTCAGCAGAGTGGATTTTGAAAAGGCGGGAATACAACAGCTGGCTGTCTAGTCCGGGCTCGGCATTGCTATGTCTCAACGGAACACGTAAGTGCCTTGACTCTCTTGATGCCTATGCTAAGCATTATCTCAGAGGGCTCGGGAAAGTCGGTTGTCGTGTGAGTCTCTCAAAACAATATCATCTAGAAGATATGGCGCCTGACCGTTTTAAGCTCCAAGGTTATCGAATCGCTTCAAGAGTCTTCGCTTGAGCCTGGGAGTAACGCCGTCGTTTACCACTACTGTCGCTTCACCAACCCATCCAGCCTCTCGCCTACAAATCTAGTCGGGTCGCTCATAGGCCAGCTTCTCAAACAATCCTCCAACCTAAGCGTCCTCTTAGAAGTTGTGAACAATATCTACGAAAAATATCGCAAACGATCAGCTCACCCAAGTCTCCAAGACCTGCAATCTCTATTCTCTGATCTCTCTAACTACTTCGAGAGAGTTATTCTTGTCATCGATGGCTTAGACGAAATGGGTGGATACTGGGAGATCTTGGACTTTTTAGAGATTCTACCAGAAGCAGATACCGCGTTCAAGGTTTTGATAGCGAGTCGAGCTGGAATGGGTCTCGACGATGCTTTCTCGTCCTGTTTCAAGATCACAATCACGTCAACAGACGTTGCATCCGACATTGAGAGCTTGGTCCGCAAGAAGCTCAATAAGCGCCGATTCCGCGGATCTGAAGTTGAGGCTGTCATCAAAGAGCTGATCGTTCGCGCTGATGGAATGTAAGTACCCACCAAATCTCACAGCCAACCGCTGACGGTCCGCCTCAACAGGTTCATCTGGGTCATATGTCAAATCGACCATCTTTCCCGCGTCCGAACAGCTCTTAGTCCAAAGCTTGTGCAGGCCCTACCCCGCAACCTCGAGAAGACCTTTGAACAAGCCTTTCAAACACTCGAAGATGAAGAAGAGAAGAAACTTGCGAAGCGTATCTTACAGTTTGTCATGTTTGCTAACAAACCACTCGATCTGTCAGAATTGGTTGAAGGAATCGCCATTACATCGGATACAAAGACACTCGACGATGTGCAAGCCAACTCGTTGCGTGAGAAGAGTTACGTCTTCGAGCTCTGTGGCAGCCTGGTTCGAGAATCTCAGGCCACATCCAAGATTGATCTGGCACACTACTCGGTGTATCAGTTTCTGCAGTCTACCAAGATCGAGGGCAACAGAGAGAACGAACTGTATCTCGACAAGTCCAATGGCAACCTCGAGCTTCTCACGGCTTGTATTCGATATCTAACCATCGAGAACGTCTCGGCTGGCGGAATTGCCGAAGAGGTAGAAGCTGCACTAGAGGATGACGATCTGTACATTAGCCCGGAAGTGTTTACAAACACGCCATTTCTCCAGCATGCCGTTAGTAACTGGCCAGCTTATGCTTCGAAACTCTCAGAGGCTGAGCTAAAAGATATCTGGACGTCTGTTCTACTCCCCTTCTTCGAGCCTGGTTCGAACTACTTTAAGTTCTGGGTACGCAAGGCACGCTATCTTCATGGATACTATAAGTATCCTCCAGGAATCACACCACTTCACGTTGCAGCTGTTCATGGACTGTCTGATCTGGCAAGAATACTTCTAGAAGATACCCATCTCAGCAAAGCTGCCTGGCAGATATCGAAAGCCAAAGTGGGAAGCAGGACGCCGCTGCATATGGCTATCGAGAACGGTCAAAACTCGGTGATCGATGTGTTTCTGGAACTTGATCTTCTCGATTCAACAGACGAAAGAGATAGAACCCCTCTACATCTGGCGATTGAGTGCGCGAACGAGGAAGCCGTTACTAGACTCATCTCAGCTGGTGCAAATGTGAATCGCTGCGAAGCTGATGGACGGACACCACTCTTCATCGCCATCGAGAATAACTGGGACGGTCTGGCAACACAACTCGCAGAGATGGCAAACCCATATAGAATCATGCCAGATGGGCGCGGGTCACTCCACCTTGCAGCACAAACTGGAAGCATGACGTGGTTGAAATGTCTAATGCCTGCATGTCCCCCAAGAGCCATAAACAAACCTGATATTCGTGGTTGGACTCCTCTACTCTATGCTGTTGATAGGGGCCATTTGGATGTCGTCAAACTTCTGTTGTCAAATCCAAACTGTACAGAGGTCGGTGATCAAAACGGATGGACGCCTCTGCATGCTGCTATCAAGCAGCAGAATCTAGACTGCGCTACAGAGCTTCTGATCTCTAATGTTCCGAAATTGCCTTTCTCGGAATACAGGGAAGAGCCTGAAGGAAGGGGGGGTGAACCTGACCCTGAGATGACGGGGAAGTATGGAGAGGGATACAGGCCCAGGCAGTCCGATGCGGCAACTAGAGGAAGCCCAAGTGACAGATGGAGCGCCTGGGAACAGCAATCATCATCTGGATCCCGCCAAGCAGCGACAGTCTCGTCTCCATTGCTTCTCGCAGTTTCGAGCAACTACAAGGCTGGGGTTGAATTACTCCTTCGTCACGCCGAAACATACGGTCGAAAAGAAATAGGCTTGTTAGAGGAAGATGGCGAGTGCCTCAAAGCGTCGATGGTACAAGGCGAAACAGCCATCTTCAAGAAGCTTGTCCCAGTCTCAACGGCAAAGAGTATACTAGCTGTTCTGCCTGATTGTGTCGCGAAGGGCGACGTATTCTTGGAGATCTTGAAACAAAGACTGGATAGTGCCTTCGCACACCAGCAGCTTCTCACAGAAGCTTTGTCTGACGGCAGGCTGACTCAGGAGGTGGCGCATATGATACTGGATACCTGGCCTGTCCAAGCCACTTCACTTCCGGACAACATACTTAAGCTCGCTGTACAAATTGGAAACAACCAGGACCTACGCTTGTTGAAGCGCCTGATAGATGGAGGGGCCAATACCTCTTATGTTGACAATGGCGACCAGACACTTTTGCATACGGCAATCGATCATCTCAAGTGGATTGCTACTACCTTCATGATTGAGAATCTGCCATTTAGCAAGGATATACTGTCTAGTGCTCTCCACGGTCTCATTGACGTTGCTCCAACACAAGGGAAAGACATCAGTCCTGAGATTCTCGCAATCCTGAATCTGCTTGTCGAAAAGGGCGCTGATGTCAATAGCCTAGATGGATCCAAACTCAGTGTTTGCCACGCAGCAGCTGGTAGAGACGACACTGCGTTCTTGAAATGGGCGTTAGAGAACAACGCTGTACTGGCTGCCCCGACATCAAGAGATGATACTCCAATCACTGTGGCTGTGAGGTATCGGAAATATGAGAACTTGCAGTGCCTTCTCGACAATATTCTTCAGACTGCGCCAGAGACCCTGGTTGAGTTTCTGGCCACGCCGTGTACAAGCTTTGGGACGCCCCTCAGACAGGCTATTGAGCTCTCCGACATCACGAGCTTGACCAAGCTTGTGGAAGCTGACAAGGCCGCCGAGTTGTTGGTTAAGACGGATATGGATGAATATCAAAGCAGGCGGCTGACGGCTTTCACCGATGCACTTTGCACTGCTATTCGAAAGCAATTGGACGAGGCTGCGGTGCTATTGATCAAACACATGAGTAACATCTCATCGACAGGTTCATCAGGGGCGACACCCCTTCATGTGGCTGTGCAGCAGGAAGATGAAAAGATGGTAAAGGTCCTTCTCGAGAACGGGGCACAGTTGAACGTACCGCACCGCGACACGGGAGAAACGCCATTCGCAGTTGCAACAGTTCTTAACCTGACGAGAATAAGGGCTATTCTAAGCGAGCGTCAAGTGGAATTTCAGCCTCAAGATATCATCGCAGCAGCCAAAGCAGGAGATGAAGCCCTGGTTGCAAAGGTCTTGGCTGCATATCCCGATGACTTGTACAATCAGAGACAGGCATTATTCACAGCACGAAAGCTACGACAGAAGAAGATTGAGAAGACCCTCTACGAAGTTCTGCCAACACAGGCTGCATCTTCTCTGGTAGACGATATAACCAGGAATGCATACGGCGATACAGTTCTCCACCAAGCAGTTCGTGCAATGAACCCCGAGAAACTCAAGTCTTTGTGCAGTGGGGGCGACAGAGAGCTGTTGGATGCTTATGATCTTGGTGGTGACTCTGCTTTGATGCTTGCTATTCGGATGTGTCACTGGAGCGGTGCTGAGGTATTGGCCAAAGAAGGGGCGGATATAGATGAGGCTCTTGAGAAGGCGCATGCCGCGAAGTGTGAACTTTGGATCGATAAGCTTAATGAGCTTAAAAGCCGTTATGGAAGGGTCAGACAACGTGTATTCTCCACTGGGCATGGTAGAGCTTAAATATTAAAGAGTGTTGAAGTTGTCCTACTTGCAATTAAGACTTGTGGCTGATGACTTGCTTCGGCATTGACAACTTGGTATATACCCTTCAATTAGTGACGCTAATGGCAAATCAATACGTATAAGATCCCTTTAGCTTTACGTAAATAAATTCGACTTGGAAGAATGTGCCCTCATCCGCAAAATGCCAGAATTCTTACTCCTAACATCCGTGTTGCTAAATAAATATAGTTCTAGGACAAAACAGGTAATTGCGCAGCATATTAATATTAACACCGTTCGGTGATTCGCGGCCACTCAGGGTCGCTGGCCTGTGCGGCAAACTGTGATGAGCATGGATTCCAGCACCTTTACGGAGCTTTGTAGCTAAAGCATTCCGAAAATCGACTGAAGCATGTTATTTGACTCCGTACTTGGGTGGGGACTGAAAAATTATGACAGGGTGGCTAACTAGTAGAGCCACATTAAACTGAGTGCCGCCTGATTGCGAACCAGGCTGTGTTGAAAATTGAGAGGGGTATCTCAATCGAGCCAACCACGTATGGATAAATAGCAGCCTCTTGCCTCTTGGAGGCCTTTGCTTGCCTCTTTTGGGTTTCATATTTATACCACGCAGATAACTCGTCACATTGCGTATCCTTCTCACATCCCCAACTACAAATCACTTGACCCAGATCAACCCAACACATATTTCCCCGCTTTTGGCATACTCATGCTTGAGCCCTTTTTGTCGTGAAGATGAGTCTTTGCAAAGCTTGTAAAACAGCCTTGCCCAACATTCCAGCGTCAGGGGATAACGAAGGCTTTATCGCAGCAATATCCAAAGTACTGTCAGAACATGGAAATTGGAGCAGAATGTCAGATTCGCGTCTTGGAGAGAATTGGTATCGGTTTGGTTTCTTCCCTCTACACGCATCGTGGAACTCCCTGGTCTTATCATTGAGCCATGGCTGCCCTATTTGTTGGACTCTTTGGCGAAACATTCGATCATCTCCAGTTGCATCGCCGAATAATGAAGCAATAGCGGGATTTTCGGCACTGGTCTTTTCAATTCGAAATTACCCCGCCTCGCGCGATTATGAGGTTGAGATATGGCTGATGGGCGGTAAGCTAGAGACAAAGTTTTTGAGATTCTCTATACGGAAGATAACAGAAAGGCATTACCTGGGTAAGTTAGTCAATGGAGCTTCAAGCATTTCTATTATATATACTCACAAATGCTCAATTAGAGGTCGAAAGAGAGTTTCCGCTTGTTTTGCAGCATACCCCTAAGTCGGCTGCTGTCGTCGCAAACCGCTGGATCAAAACTTGCGAGGCAAAGCACTCCCAGTGTTTAACGCAACCTACCCCACCAGAACATGCAAGAATGCCGACTCGACTGTTGGATCTGGGTGACGTCAATTCAAGGGTTTGGCGTATCCAGCAGGATCCAGGACATGTTCCGTATGCTGCGCTCTCTCATCGATGGTCATCTGATACACCTGAACTCTGTAGCAGCAATTACAAGAAGTATTGTAACTTTCAGCCGGATACCGCCCTGCCACAAAGCTACCGAGATATCATCTCTATTTGCCGCGCTATACCTATCCAATATATCTGGATTGATTCTCTCTGCATCATACAGGATGATGGCGGGTCTGAATTCCGTAATGAGGCTCCATTGATGATGGATATTTATCAATATGCCTTCCTTACACTGTCAATTTGCTGGGACTTCCCTGGTCTTTCCATATTCCGTCGTTGTCAGCTTCGGAGTATACCTCGACCGCGGGCTCCTGAGTGCTATGGAAAGCATGATTGTGTATCAAACTCAAAAGAATGGGTATTTGCCGAGGAGACTGTGTGTAACGACATGCTACTTCATGTGAGCGGAGCACCCATAAACCAGCGGGCGTGGGTCTTACAGGAACGGTGCCTTTCGAGGCGGATATTGTACCTCGGGAACGATCAATTGTACTGGGAATGTGACGGATGCACCGGCAGTGAGGTCTCTCCTGACTCTATCTCCAAGGAAGGAGGACGCCAATCGATTCAAGATCTTACTGGGCCTCACAAGGACATGGCCTGGAGTAAGACACTTTCGAAGTATACCAGTAGCGACTTGACATTTGAAAATGACAGGCTTATTGCCATCGCAGGCCTTGCTAGGTTAGTCGCAAGTAAGACTGGCGGTACGTATTTTGCTGGTATTTGGCTGGACTCTTGGATGCAAGACCTTCTATGGGAGCCACCAGCAAAAAAAGCTCAAAAGTCAAAACTGAAGCTAGGAGGGCTCACTATGGTGCTACCTTCGTGGTCCTGGTTGGGATTTTCCGGATTGGTTGCGACAGGTATCGTTTTATGCGGAAGGGGACCAAAGATCTCAACTAGGAATCCCAACTCATTCGAGTCAGATGAGTACCAGCCTCTGGCTTTATTAAGCCAAACTGTGCTTATTCCACCCACAAGCGACCCTTTCTCTTTCTTTGAACGAGCAATTTTGAAGATCCGATGCCTGCGTTTGCCAGTAATATTCGCTGGCAACGCAAACAGGAAACATCAAGAATTGATTTTTCGTCGAGATTACGATGTTGAATTATCTTCAGGAGGACTAGATTGTTTCCGGCTTCAAGCATGCGATCCATTTGATGATACTACTATCACATTTAGCTTCTCCCTTAGTAAGCCGGTTGACATTTCTTTACAATATTTCCTCCTCCCCATATACCTACGCCAAGTTCGGACGTTCCCGTCAGGCTCACCGCGTGTTTCTGGACTTTTGTTGCAGAGAAGTCTGAGCGAGGGCCGCGAAGAGTATACTAGGGTCGGAACTTGGCATGAGACTTGCGATTATGCATCTCCGCTCAGCCCCATAATCAGCAACACAATTATCAAATTAGGCATCGGGAAGAACTCATCCCTTAATCATGGAAGCTTGACGGAAAACGAGCGCGTCTTTGACTTGAAACTTGGTCAGTATGCAGCGGCTCATGGTGATTCGAAAGTGCTGATAGGGGAGGTTTTCAAAAATGCGGTTGATCATCAGTCAAATATTGAGGAACGTGACGAGAAGATTGACATTCCTGCCTCTGAGGATACTGAACAGGAAGGGAATGTAAGTCAGGAAGAAGAGCTCTTGATACGCAATGAAGAAGTCGAGTGTTCATTGCTACCGCATTTCACTACAGCGGAATGGGGTACTATCTCCTTAGTATAGATCTTAGAAGTATTAATTTGATTATTTGGAAGGCCAGTTGAAAATCCCCTTGTTTTACATATCAAGAGGAAAAGACGTGAAGGGTGCAACAGACAACTCACGATACTACTCGCAGGTATCTCAAATCCTCTCACAATGCAGTATTGTTTTATATTCTGGAGATTAAATTTGTGGACAGTAAGCGGCCGATAAGTAGTTGCGGAGCAGACACCCTATCGCCAAAGGACGTGAGACTACTCAAGGTTATTCCTCACAAATCATCAATGTCTCTACCATCTCGGGAGCTATAAAGCGTTCGAGCATGGGACAATCAGCTTACGCCACCTCCAGGGCTGCTCTTACCCACCTCAGTCGCATAATAGCTACTCTCACAAGGACGTCAAAGTGCGAGTCAATGTTATCGCACCAGGGTTGTTCCCCAGTGAGATAGCTACTGGAGAGCCTGATGAGGGCAACAAGAGCAATATCGATAAGAAGATGGCTAACCCGGCTGGGCGACCTGGTCATGATACTGATATGGCTGCGACAATCCTCTTCCTTGCTGGCAAGGGTGGCTTGTTTTATAGTGGCCAAATCGTTTATCTCGATGGAGGCAAGTTTCTCTGGATCGGAATATCTTTCGCCTTGTACTGACGTGTTGCTTAGGTTCAACCCTGATCAACCCAGCGATCGCAAACTGAAACTGCTTTTCCTGAAAGAGTTTAGTGGCATAGGTATTGTAACACGTCACATGGTAGTTGACAATTAAGGAATCCTTGCATCATAAGTTGATAGTACGTTGTTTAGTTATTAACTAAGTCTGAGTATAACCTCTAAGAACATGAAGTCCTGTCAAATAAATTCCTTCAAACCTGCTCGTTCTCTTCAGCGATAGCTCGAGACTTCTCAGCAGTAAGGTCGGCACCCTCGGCATTGCGTCGGAACTCCTCCTCCTGCAGTGTCAACTCCTCGGACAGTTGAGCATGGGCCTTCCACACGGGCTTGATCTCGAAGAGGCGATCCATGGTGTCAAGAGGCAGACCCTTGGTCTCAGGAATGAAGAAGAAGACGAAGATGGAAGAGAGGATCATGAGCGACGCGAAGAAGAAGTAGACGCCATAGCCCATCTTGAGGAACATCTGGGGAGTAAAGCGAGAAACGATGAAGTTCCAGAACCAGTTGTTGGCAGCAGCGGAAGCTTGACCAAGTGATCTGAAGCATGTTAGCAATGTATTTAGGTAGAGAGATGACTGAAGAAACGTACCTGGAGTTCTCGTTGAAGATCTCAGAGTTGAGCACCCAGGGGATGGGGTTCCATGTGGGGGAGTAGAAGGCAGTCCAGAGGTAGAAGAAGAAGACGGCAGCAATTCCACCGCTCGTCATTTTGGGGGCCTCAGTTCCGTCGGCAGCGGCAGCAGCAACCTTGGAAGCGGGGTCTGCAATCTTGATATAGGCTCCGATGAACCACATGCAGAGGGAACCACCAACTGAACCGATGATCAACAACTTTCTGCGTCCAACAGTCTCAATCAGGAACAGGATGAAGATAATGGTAATAACGGTTTTGACAACACCGAAGATACCGGTGGTCAAGAAGGAGGTGTTGGTGCCCTGGATACCGATGCTCTTGAACACAGTAGGGCTGTAATAGTTGATAGCGTTGATGCCGGAACCGTTCTGCCAGAGGAACATCATGCCACCGAGGAAGAAACGCCATTGGATCTTGCGGCTCTTGAGCGCAGTGAAGGGCTTCCAGAAACCGGGGCCGACTTCCTTGTTGTAGCGCTCGAGTTCCTGGTCGATGTAGCTGACCTCCTCAACGAGATAAAGGTCACTGGCGGGCAGCTGTCGCAACCAGCACAGGTTCTTCATGGCTTCCTCACGGCGACCCCTGGAGAAGAGCCAACGGGGCGACTCCGGGATCCAGAAGGAACCGAAGAGAAGCATGCCTGCGGGGATGAGCTGGACAGCAAAGGGAATGATCCACTGCTTGTGGCTGGGAGCCATGGTCTCAGCAAGTCCGTAGTTGATCCAGAAGCCGACAAGGCCGCCAATCTGCCAGCCAAGCTCGTAGATACCAACGAGACGACCGCGAATAGCAGGAGGGGACAGCTCAGAGCAGTAGATGGGAACCATGTTCGAACAAGCACCAACACCAACACCAGCGAGAACACGACCGCCAATGATGAGACCCAAGCCACGCTCAGCATTAGCGCCCAGCATCATACCGGCGCCCAGCATGAAAACAAAGCTGAATGCAATGAGCGAGTATCGTCGACCGATGAAATACGAGGTGATGTATGCGAATAAACTGCCGAAGAAAGCACCGGCTTGATAGACGGAGACGATGTTGGACTTGAGAAGCGCGAGGTCATTAGGTTCGTACGAGGCAAAGTCGAATTCCTCTGTGAAGCTCGGCAGCGCGATCGTCGTGCCGATGAAGGCGGAGTCATAGCCGATCATGCATGATGCGAAAGACGCGATGGCAGCGCAGGTGTAAACGCGCCAGTTGTAGACTGCCTTGGGAGTCGGCCTGTCCTCATTGACGGCGAAGATGTTGTTGATTGAGAGACCCATGATGAAGATTGTCAGCCAGCACAAGCGGGAGGAGTATGTGTCTGTGGAGGAGATGAAGATCTGGGGATTAGAACTAAGTATGGGGAAGAGAAAACCCTTTAATATATGCGTCCGGTCCAATGGCCACGAGCCAATTACAACACCGCGTGCGCTTGAAAGTTTATCCCGTCCCTGGTCGTAGTCTGGCACTGGCGCGTCTTAGCGCGTGCACTGAGATGTGCGGAGAAGGGCTCGTGGTAGGACTAGAAAGGTCGAGATTCAGAAAACCCCGCATGCGCTGGGGTAGCGCCAAGGGACATTTTTCGCTCTAACCGGAACTCGGGATCGTGAGTAGCGTGGCTGGCTAAGTGTTTACCCCCTGCGGTGTCGCACAGTTGCGCTTAATTGCCGTATTCAGTCCTTGGATGGTTTGGAGTCGTCGTTTGCCTACATCTGGAAGTTCTGGGGTTCGATACCAGATTCTGGGGACCCCGCATGGAATTAAACTAGTGGGGTAAGTAATCATCCCCACGCGTCTGCTGATTTAATAGATTCGTCGTAAGCTCGGGGGTAAGTGTTGATCCCTCGATGCCATTCTTCTCCTTGGAAAAGTGCCAACAGCCAAGTGCCAAGTGTTCACCAATCTAATGTGATGCCGATATACTCAGAAGTCGGAACAGTTCTTTTTGTTACCTCGGATGAAAAGATGTTCAATAGGATTGATCCGAAGCTGTATGCGACTGCAATGGTGATGATGGACCCGGGCAACTGGAACGAGGCCCATGTCCGCCACGCGACTTCACCCAGGAACGAAAGGAACAGGTGACAGGTATGGATCTCAAAACGAATACCCCATATTGAAGCTCGAATGTGGAGAAAAGGGAAAGGATCTGACGAGGTCAGGGGGCTTCGGTAGCCGACCGTGTTCCTCAGCGGGTGCATTGCAGCGTCGGTCATGCTTGTTTGCCGGTATTGATCGCAGTGACCTAGACCACGGTGTCTAGGCCCATTCCCCAGAGTTTATCCCCAACGCTAAGCTTCCCCATCCGCTTTGGACTTGTGATCAGCTCCGGTGGAATTGGGGGAAATTACCCCTGATCGATTGGCTCATGAGCTTGGGCATAGACTAACCACCATAACGGGCTCAGGGAGCTAAACGGGCTGAGGGGATAAAGAAATACGAGAACTCTAATTACGAGACCCTCGGCGAGTATACGATATTCAAGATGCTCAGCTTTTCCAGCTTATATGGTGCCTCCAGTTACAAACATCCAACCAAACTGAATGATCGCATCACCTAATGCTTCAATACGGTGTATTTGTAATGGCGCGCCATCTAGCTAGCTCGAGGGAGGACTCGTTAAATTACCTGTATCTTATCATTGAATCCTGCAAGATTTGTCGCATTATTGGCGGATGGCTCAGAGATACCAAAAGAGGCTGCATGACGTCAACGCGAACTGATACAGGGTAGGGCCCATCCCAGACTGACTGAAATCCATAAGGGTCTGAGGTTTCTACAAGAGGGTCGATAATACAATAAAATAGGCATTTTACACGGTTGAGATGAGGATCGAGAAGAAAAATGTAAAGTATATATATATGATATGCTATGTGTAATAGAAAATATAGCGAACTTGCGCCAATATTTCTTTTTAGAGCTTGCTATAATATGAAGTTTGTATGGTACAGGTTAGCTTCGTTAAGTCTTGCAAGCTAAAGTCACACCGAAGGACAATGCTTCACGGCTACACTAGCCTATCAAATTAACCGGTATATCTGAGTGAAAACAGGCCCCGCTCGATAGAGCTGACCAAAATGTTGCCGCTCTGGAAGTAAGGGTAAACAGACCAAGCACCATAGAACTGGGCCTCGCCACCAACAGCATCGTCCTCAGGGTGGACGTCAAAGAAACCAATCTCCTCAAACAGAGCGCCAGTGTCATCCTGAGCAATGGAAGACACATTCACCATTCGAAGGCCAGATCCATAGTTTGCCTGGTATGACACCCCGCCAACGACGTATTGGTTGTGATCAATAGAGCGAACAGGGCTCTTGTATACACCACGGAAGACAGGGTACTCAAGATCCTGGATATCAACAATGTATGTCGTGGTGTGCTGGTCAGCTGCAGGACCAGTCTTTTCTTGCTCATCCAGCTCGTCGTCGAGGAGGAGATACTTGTGATCCTCCGTCAACCAACCCTGGTGAGTATACGTTGCGCCATTGTATGTAGTGCGCGACAGCTGGCGCGGCATAGTACGGCGAGAAATGTCAACGATGGTGAGCGCATCCTCATTGTAGTTGAAGCAGATCTCACGGCCCTGGAAAGCCTTCTGGGGACCACGGTAGATAACGCACTGCGCGTCGTGAACGTAACCATCCGAGGCAACGCAGCCAGCATCCTGAGGACGCTTTGGGTTAGAGACGTCGATCATCCAGAGGCCAGCGCGACACTTGAGATCGTAGGCTGTACCGACGGCGGCGATGAGCGCGGTCTCCTCGTTGGCGACGATGTTGTGGCTGTTGCCGAAAGCGCTGAAGTGCGCTGCCAAGTCGCTCCTGATGCTGAAGGTGGGGGGATTCTTCTTATCGGTGTTGAGAAGCTTGGTGAGGTCGAAGATCTGGAGACCGTGGCCAGCTGCCTCTGAGCCGATGTAGGCGTAGTTGCCAATGACCTTGATGTCGCGCCATGACGAAGCGACGGTCTGGGTCGGGAGGCGTCCGACGTAGGTTAGGCTGCCGTCGGGGTGAACCTCTGCAAAGGCTGTGCCGTCTGATTGTCCGAGAAGGGCGAACTCGCGACCACTGGAGGCATGTGTCCAACCTAGGGCCGGTTAGCAAAACGAAGCATTACATAAGACCAGCTAGAAAACATACCCCAGACATCATTGCCGACGCGGGTTCGGCTGCCCATATCCTGGTGACGCAAGAAGCCCAAGAGGTCAATCTTGTTACAAGAGTAACCTCCCGCCTTGCCATCAGAACAAGGCGTGCCAGAGCTGAGTACCTTGTAACGATCTTTGTCAAAGACACCAGCAGCCGCCTCGCTCTCGTGGAGAGCCATCTTGCGCTGCTTGAGCTCCCCCATGCCAATGGCATGAGGGGCACTCTTGGCACGGAGGTAGTCTTCATTGTACTTGGCCGTGTTGATCCTCTGCGTCTGTGCGACGGCAGAGCCCGCGAGGGTGGCTAGGAGGAGGGATGTGATGCTGGCCTTCATGGTGGCGGGTTGGAGAGGTTTCAATAGGTGATGAGCGAGAAACTGCAGAGCAAATATCACAAGGCAGGGAAGGAGTCTTTATACTTGATGTGAGGTATGTTGCTTGATCTAACAATGATTGGGAAACTGTCGTCGATCATGCCCCGGACTGGAAGCTAGTTCTTTTGTTCTTGGAAGCTGGTCCTTTTGTGCTTGGCAGCTTATTCTATCGAAGAAGAATGCGATAAGGTTCATGACTTGGTCCGGGCCAAGTCAACGCTATGGACACCGATACGACCCTGAATATTCGCAGTGACGATTAGCATAAACATGCAGCATCGCTGACCACTGAGATGGCAGAGGACCCCCGGAACGATGTACATCGTATCTATTTAGAGTTAGCGACTATGGCAAAGGTTCCCCAGAAACATCGGACCAAGAATAAAGATGAACAGGCACATAGATAGGCTACGCATAGATAATCTTCAAGGCCACCAGTCATATCTTGTGTTTTTCCAAGCGACACGAGGCCAAGACGCCGCCAAGCCTTGGTGCCGATGAACTACCAGATTCATCTTAAGCTTAATAAAAATATCTCACGGGTATATCACACGACCCACTCCGACCTTTGGGAGATGCCTATTTGGGACAAAGGCCCGCTTCTGGCCATGTGACCTGGAACTTTTACCAAGACGAAAGGGTAGTCTTGGCTCCAACCTTTATCCTAGAGACTATCCTCTTGTCGCATAGAAGAGTAGCGTGCTTTGTTCCCGCTTGGCGTTCCTGAGGTGCTCTGCGATGAGTGACCAGACGGATACATAGCCTCATGCTCTGGTTCCTTTGACGTCATTGCCGTGCAGCCAGCGCAATTCATCATTTCGGGATCGTTCTTTGAGAGAATTGCATCAATGAGGAATTGGTATAATCTCCAGAGAGCTGATAGTATGACTATTGTGTTGATGATGACAGACACAATGAGCGTTGGCCTGCTTTTGAGACGAGGGATCTGACAGAGAAATGTAGTCGAGATGACAGAAGGTTCAATTCCTAAATTCTTTCTGGACCTGTCGTTGGAGGTAAATGCATGATGAGCCAATCCTTCTGTGGTGTTGACTCTAAGATTATCACCCCAAATGGGCGTGCGATTCCGGATAGCTTCATACCCTTTGGTGGAATGTGCCAAGAGTTCGACATTGTTCAGAGTATTCGGCCCAGAGTCTTTCTGTCCGAGATCAGCGAGGATCGTGAAATAGAACGCTTTCGCCAGGTTATCTGCTGAGATCCAAATACCAGGCAACGGCATCAACTGGTCACTATCATCTGCTTTGGAGAGCTGCTCAATCAAGTGGGTGTTGTTCATCTTCTCTCGGCTGCAGTAATAACGTTGGGAGAAACGCCATTATTACTAAAAGGGACGAAGAAACAGCTGACTTGGAAAAAGTCCAGTGCTTTGATATCCTGCACCGATGGCACGACTGTCTTTCTTTTCGTGAAGGAAATATGACCCTTGTAGATCGGAGGGACATCTGTGTCTCCCCGGAAGAACTTCTCGTTGGAAATGTGCATGTCATTGGTCAAAGCGATTGAGTACCAAGCGAGAAGTGATTCTCCCCACCATAAGCTAGCCTTGGCTGTCTCATTCCGACCTGGGAATGCTGTGCCTACATCGTTATCGATGCCGTTGACGTCGTAGGTAGTAGTCATATTCACGGTTGTCGTGCCGCCAGGCGTGTCTACCTCACAGGACAGCGAAGCTCGTAGCTTAGCACCCCATTGCTGAAGCGCGATCTGAGACGCACTCCGATCGATGCCCTCAAACTCAATCGTGATACCATTCACTGCACATGATTGGAAAGGGTTGTTGAGATAGGGTAACGATCCTAGCAGTGCATCTGGTTCTTTTGGATCGTTACCGCGCCAGATCTTGGTGACGGTGTATTTGAGGGCGGTGTTGTTTGTGTAGAACTCAGTGCCGATCGGGATGGTCGTGGTAGAGCAGAGAGACTTTGTGTTCGCGGTGAGGAACGAAGGCCAGTCTGAGAAAGGGTTGCGATTTTCGCTAGTGATGTTGGGATTGGACGTGGCCTTTGAGATAGTCTCGTAGCCTTGTGTCGCGACGCTCAGAAACGCGATAAGCGCTGTCGCAATCAATTCACCGACTAGGACAACGGGAGTAAACCATACGTAAGGGTATGGTCTGCTGAGGTTGTATGAGAAATATGAGGCATACATGGTCAGTTCTGGCGAGTGATGGGTAACTTGATCAAGTAGTCTGACCACGGCTGTTCTTGTATTTATTAGCTAGTGCGTAAGACCAGTTTATATGCAGCCATCTTCTCGAGCTGGCATATCAGCATCGGTGAGATTTCACTGGGGGCCAAAAAGAAGCGCTATGGTGTCCCGCAGAGATACCTTCAAACACGGCACAACTAGATACCGACGGGAACATTGAATAAAGAGTTATGCTTAATAATTACTATGAGAGAAGTTGCGAAGATCGTGGGGCTAGTGACTGTGCATGAGGCGAAGTACGTGGAAGGAATATCGCCGCTTACAGCCCCGGACATAAATAGACTTAGCGCGTAACGATTAACAGCTCGTCTGACCTCTATGCACACAGCCTCAAAATTATTCATTGAATTCCATATACAGTTTCTTGACACAGTATTACTGCATTTCAATGTCCTCCATAACCCAGCGAAACTAATTGTTGTGGCATGGGAAGACGTACGCAATGACCACTGAGAAAACGACTAATGCTCAGAACCACTAGAATTGAAGAACCAAGTCGGCTATCAGTATTACAACAACTGCATAAGTAAAAAAAGTACCCTTAGAGCTGAGACAACATTCCGTGTTTAGAGGCCTGTGTCCATTTCATTCATCCCTGGCTTCCCGAAGGCTACTCGAAAGCCGTCAACCCAGTCACTCCAGAATCTCATCCCATCTCTCAGTAAAAGTTGCCAAGCTGAGCTTAGTTCGATACGCCAACGGGAGTCATACAAACAAGAGCTTGACCAAGCTACAGGACGAAATGAGTTAGCATCGACTCTTTCCTGCCAAAGAACAAGACTTACCACCGGAAGGACACAGCATCGTGCTCGTTTACCACTAGCGGCGCAGATGGCTTGGAAATCAGCGGCATCGGTAGGAGATTCAGTGGCTATGAATCTTGTTAGCTGCAATTTGCCTTTTGAGATCAGAGATATACTAACGTGAGTCGCATTCAGCGTCTGCAACCCCAAGAACATCAAGGGAGCAACACTCGGGGTTTCCGTAGAGACTGTCTGGGCAAGGATCAAAATTGGCGGCCGCTGCGCTGGTGGAGGAACTGGGAGCAGACTCTGTGGAGGAACCGGGGGCTGAGGTAGCCGCTGACGAAGCAGGGCTGGAGGTGGTGGGGTTGGCAGGAGAACTCGCCTCTGCATTGCTACTTGAAGGGGCAGAAGAGGAGGAAGAAGCAGCAGAGGCGGCACGGCTGCTCGTGTCTGCATCAGAACTGGAGGGCGTAGCTGAACTACTTGCTGGTGCACTAGCTGAAGTGCTCGAAGCAGTATCATCGGTAGTCGCCTGGCTGGGGCTAGATATTTCAGGAGCAGAGGATGATGGTACAGTACCGCCAGTGCTACTAGATGGAGCAGCGCTATCGCTGGGCCCCTGAGTAGCAGGGCTGCTAGGTCCAGTGGAGCCAGGACCTCCAGAGCTGGCGTCTCCGGGTGATGTAGATGACGGGCCATTGGTTGCAGGTGGGACTTCGATAATAACGGTCGCTGGGCCAGAGCTTGCGGTGGGAGAGATAGTAGTGGTGGAGGGCTCACCATTGCCATCGTCTCCAGTTACAGTGCGGGTGACAAAAGAGGCGGGAGTGGAAGATGAGCCGGGGCCAGCAGGAGAACTGGAAGGGGGGACCTCCACGATGACAGTTCCTGAACCAGTTGACCCAGATGGGGAAACAGTCGACGTGATGGGATCGTCTGTTGGGTTAAGGGTACTGCCAGTGGTGGTAATAGTGACAAATGGGATGGAGGAGGCAGATGAAGCCACGGAGCTGGGCACTACAACAACAACAGTGCCAGGATCAGTAGGGTTACTAGGAGGGATAGTGCTTGTGCGAGGGTCATCCGTGGGAGAAAGATCTCCTGGAGTAGTGACGGTGACATAAGATGTGGAAGGAGAACGTGTCTTGGTGTTGGGGACCTCAATGATGACACTGCCGGTTGCTCCTGGCTTATCAGGGGTGATAGTGGTAGTGTTAGGGCCGGTAAGAGAAGGAAAGTCCCCGGTGGTAGTGACCGTGACATACGGGATAGAAGATGGGACCCCATCACCTCCAGGAGGAGATGTTGGGACCTGGATAATCACAACACCCGGCTGGCCTGGCTCAGTCGGGGGGTAGGTTCTCGTGACAGGATGGTTGCCAATATCATCAGGACTCGCAGGAACAGTGAAGGTAAGGTAGCCTGTATCTGGAGGAGAGCCGTTGTCGTTGCCATTAGTAGCACTGCTTGGAAATGGTTAGTGGAGTCTAGTATAAATGCCAAGGACATGGCGAACTAACCTGGTAAGCGTAGTCAAGCTTGTCGAGACATCAGTCAGGACAGTGCTCAGAGACGTGGGAGCATTGGTGACATGCACAACATGGCCATCATCGAGGACAATGTCAGTATTGGCAGGGAAGTAAGAGTCTATGAGGATAGGCTGCTGGAACTGATATTCAATGGGCTGAAGATTGATGATGGTTGAGCAAAGAGATTCGGCAGAGGCTTGGGCAAATGCAAGGTCCATCACTGCTGAAGCGACCATGATACTCTTGGACTTCATGGTGAATAACGAGTGTTGATGGATATGAATAAGCGAGTGATATTAAGGAAACGAGTGCAATGAGAAACGGGGGGGAAGATGTCGTTGAGTTTCAAGTGATTCCCACTAGATTCAGGCTGAGGAAGAGCTGTATATACACGTCCAAACCGTGAACTCAGTTGTTGATTCTTGAGCAATAACAACAACACACGGCATTGAGGTAATTTCTGATGTTTGAGTTCACAAATGCCGACACGACCTCCATGACCCGACATCCCACCGTAAAAACGAAGCCTTTCAGCTCCCATCGCAAAACTTTGTCTCTTGAATACCAACTATTGACACTATCTCCTGCCTGTCTCACATTCTCTCCGCTAAGCGAGGCCCCATCGGAGATATTAGCCGCCGATCACCTTCCCGAAACAGCTTTGACGTGGGAATTCTTATGCAAGGCAGAGATGTCAGTATTGCCTCGTTCGGATGGATCAACAGGCATTGAGTTTTTACTTCAGCTGCGTTGTGCATGTTTAGTCTCAAAGTTGGAAGTGTTGCGATGTCGACAGGTATGAAAGTGTGAAAGTAATCTTAGAAGAGTTTGGGTCGTGAGAAGTTGGCGATATATAATACTTGAAAGAAGGGATGTTTCCGCAATGGTAGACAAACAATTCCTTTGATAATTTTCACTCGTTCACACATTCTGTCACTCACTTCGTCACTCGCTTCAAAATGCAAACCTTCAAGTCCCTCATCCCCTTCCTCCTGACTGCCGGCCTTGCAGTCAACGCAGAGACAACCTCCTGCGTTACCTCAACCAAGACCTTTCCCACCATCACTTCCATCATCGTCGAGCCGACCAGTACTTGGTCCGGCAACGGCACAGGTGTTGGTCCTCATACCGTGTATACTACTGAGTATCACGAGTTCTGCTCCACGGGTCTGCGTCTGCACACGTACACCATCACTGAGGCGTGCCACAAGGAAAAGTGTCAGCCTCGCACTACTGGTGTTCCGCCTGGGTTTACCTCAACTGTTACTGTTTGTAACTCTTGTGGTGAGAAGCCTGTCACTGCGACATTGACTGTTCCGTGCTCTGAGGCTACTCCTACCAAGGGCACTGGCAAGCCGCAGTCTGAGCACTGCGAGACATGCCACGATCAGGGTAAACCATCTGGAAAGCCTCCGGTTCAGCCACAGACTGTTCCGTCTATCCCTGCTGTGAAGCCAGTCCCTACGGGCCCTCAGCCAGAGGAATGCACCACGTGCAGTCCTGAGCCTCCATCTGCTGCTCCTCCTCACCCTCCCAGACCAACCAACCCTGGCCAAGACAAGCCAGAGCATCCCAACTCTCCTGCATGCACCACTTGCAGCGGAACTGGACAGCAGTCCCAACCCCCTGCCTCCCTAACAACTTCTATCGTACCAGGCCCCTCTGGAGAGAAACCGGCCACTAGCCCTACCGGCCCTGCTCCTGGAGAACCATCTACTATCACCGCTGGCGCAGCCAAGTCCTCCTACGTTGAGTTGGGGCTTTTGGGTATCGTCGGATTTGCATTCATTCTGTTGGGAGGTCTCCTGTAGATTGTGTGCAAGGGCGAGGTATTTAGTGTAGTGTCTTGAGTTAAGCCGTGATAGTTGTTAGGTATCCGGAAACATACCGCCAGGGCTTGGATATTTAATTCCGAGTTTGGACACTTAATAGGATTACATTCTTGTTCATAGTTTCGAATTAGCTTGGCAATTAAATCGTTGCATTAAGATTGATCTGTCAGCACTGCTTGGTATGTGAATTCGACCTGACGTTACTATGAAATGCATACTGTTAATAATAGTGATGATGATGATGATGATAATTATGGTATTGTTATGCTGTCAATTCTAAGCCCATCTCGCATCAGACTTCCATTGATCAATTCAGCTCTGCCGGTAAGTTTCTGTATGCACTAAGTGAAGCACGACAGCGAATGACTTCCTGAATACAGCAGTGATCATCAACTAGTATTTCCTTGCTTTCGCTAACTGACCCATGCGTAGCTGTCAAATCGAATCAAGTAGAGATCAACAATTATTCTCTGACGTCCGAGACATTCGTCAAGGGAGAAGCTGTCAGCCGAGTTGCCGGTAACATCGTGCCGTGGAGAATTCTCCGTGACTCCAGTATTTATGTAGTAATTCTCCACATTTAGGGATAAGATCGGCGGCTGGTTCCTGAGTTTTGTCTGAGACATCGTCACGGTAGTTGCATGAGTCATGGTTTTAGTCTGGGTTGAGTAAGTAAAAGCTGATTCATGACGAGTCCCTCGCAGCTTCGGCAATTAGTTGTTCGAGATAGCGAGTTCCGAGACTCAATTACAGGGATACTCCTTACAGTAGCCTTTCTCGTTTCTATCAACCATGAGATCGATTCCTTGCATTTCTATACCCTGTCTCAGCGTTGACGACGGTGCTCTTGGTGGGAAGCATTTCAATCAGTCACTGTAGTACGTGGCCAACATACTGTAGTTTAGAATTGAATTTATGGAGGATCCTGGTATTCTGTTGGACTGATGGAACTACTGCGTCGCTCTTAAAATACCACACAAATTCCATCAGCCGGACCACTATAGGTTACTAAACTAAACTTGTTTATTATTCTCTCGAAATTCAATACTCTGGGGTAGGCCACTCTTTAGACCCTCTCGGGACATGATGATCTGCAAATAAATCAAGGTAGCGTCGTGGGTTTGACAACCCGGTTGGCCTTATCGAGGACACGGTCCAGTTTCGTGCATCAAAAGAGGACTATGCAGAGCTGAGGAGCATTCCAAACTTCAACCCCCCTCGTAAAAAGCGCCGGAAACAGAAGCCATCTTGATTTGCTCAGAGTTGTTGAGGAACGGGAGGTTGGAAGATGATATCCAGAATACCTCAGAGAAATGACTTGTCTTACAGCATTGGAGAACCTTTCTCTATAAAGACTGCAGCTTGCGCCAGTCTTCCAGATATTTCACTATCATCACTCAACATCCAAACAATTCATCACACCCACTCTTCAACTTTTCCAATCCAACCTTTCAACACCGCAACCATGCAGTTCTACACCATCGTCTCTCTCTTCCTCGCCGGCACCGCCTTCGCTGCGCCCGCTACTTCCTCCAACGGCTACGAGGCTTGCCCTAGCGGTGGCCTCTTTGGCAACCCTCAGTGCTGCAGTCTCAACCTCGTCGGCGTCCTCTCTGGTGACTGCCGCGCTCGTGAGTTAACCCTTGAATATTCAACATCGATAGTTACTGATGGGGATAATAGCTACCAAGACCCCCAACAGCGCCAAGGAATTTCAGGAGATTTGCGCCGAGTCTGGTCAGAAGGCTCGCTGCTGTGGCCTCTCCGAGATTGTGAGTTCCCTCTATTTGCTTTCCAAAATAACATATTGGCTGACCGTGATGTAGCTTGAGCTCGGTGCTTTCTGCCAGAAGCCCGTCGGCGTTGCTGCTTAAGCACCTTGTGTGCTTCTCACCGGTCTACTGGAGCGAGCTTATCCCAAGTTGTCGGCGCGTGTAATAATACTCGGGGAGGATACTGGAAACTGCAAGTAACTATGGACTCTACTAGAGGTCGGTCGCACGATTAGGTAGCAAATCAATAAACCCAGTTATCTTTGCCACATATACATGTCCACCTAAATCAAGCTGCACGCTGCACGCTTCGTGATGCGAAAACGCTTAACGATTTCGGGCAGAACTAATGAGACATGCTATCGATTACTCAGCCAGAAAGAAGTGGCGGACTTGCAGTCCGGCCAAAACCGGGGCCATGTCTAGCACCCGAATGCCCTCGAGTGGGAGTCCGCCGGTAGTCATCGATATGAGAACGAATTGGGGCTGATAAGCTAGCGGCGCCGGGACCGGGACCGGCTGGCAACTGCCGATTCAGGGAAGTGGGGAAGTGCCGCGGGTGCTCTACATCGACCCGCCGTATCCGACGATCGGCAATTCATTTCAGGGCGTAGCATGCTGATAGACCTCGCATGAAGTGTAGGCTCGATGAATACTCAAAATATGACAAATGTTTCACTGACTAACAACCGGCTTAGTTAGAGGACAAGAGTATCATGGGGCTATTGCATCTCCGTTGCCGTACCCGGTCATCCACAGGCTGTGATAGACAGCTGTCACCGTACATCGTGACAGGGCCGGTCGCATCCTTTATCTTCGAGAAAGCGTCTCCAGTTAGTTTGTAGGGAAATTATATAAGTCCGTTCGGTATTCATGATAATCTTGTACCTAAACTCATCGATTCAGTATTCGAGTATTCACTATTTGCCATCGCACTATGACACGAAGTTTCCCTTTCAAGGTCTCGGTCCTTTTCAACTGTTTTATACATCATGACAGAAAACTAACAAGTGCTTTATAGCTGGACGATCCGTCCCTCCTTCACGAGGAATCACTATTGAATGGCCAATGGGTTCAAGCCCAGTCCGGAAAAAGGTTCGATGTTGAAGGTAAGCTAAGCCTTAGACCAACAGCAAAGAATGAACGCAAGCTCATATAATATTCTGTAGATCCTGGCTCTGGTCAGATCTGGGCCACCAGTCCCACTAACGAAGTCTGTGACGTTGACAAATATGTTGAGTCGTCAGAGGCTGCCTTTCAGAGTTATCGCCACATCAACCCTCGCCAACGAGCAAAGATGCTTCTGAAGTGGCATGAGCTCATCACCAATGCACGAGAAGACATCGCCAAGATCGTCGTCTTCGAGACCGGAAAACCTATGGCAGAAGCCCTTGGTGAGGTCGATTATGCCCTTGGCTTCGTCTGGTGGTTCGCCGGCGAGGCTGAGCGTGTCAGAGGGTCTATTGCTCAACCCTCTATATCTGACCGTCGAACATTTGTCATTAAGCAGCCGATCGGTGTGTGCGTTGCTCTTGTCCCCTGGAACTTCCCTGTTGCCATGATTATCCGCAAGGTCTCGGCCGCTTTGGCCGCAGGATGTTCCATGATCGTCAAACCATCGCCCGAAACACCATTTAGTGTCATGGCTCTGGCAGACCTAGCCCTTCGCGCAGGTCTGCCTCCAGGAGTGCTCAACGTCATCTCAACTGATAACGCCAACACCCCGTCGGTCAGCGAGACACTCTGCAAGCATCCACTCGTCCGCAAGGTCACCTTTACCGGTAGTACCTCTGTAGGCAGTATCGTCGCGGGGCACTGTAGTCATGGACTGAAGAAGGTCACTATGGAGCTGGGCGGAAACTGTCCTTTCATCATTTTTGATGATGGCAATCTTGAGCAAGCAGTCGCAGCTCTTATGATACTTAAATGGCGAACCGCAGGCCAAGCATGCACCCACGCCAATCGAGTCTATGTCCAAAGCGGCGTTTATGAAAAGTTTGCGCAGATGATGGTTGAGGCTACCAGCAAGCTCCGCGTGGGACACGGAGCTGATTCTGATTCTACTATGGGACCGCTGACTACTCCTCGAGGTGTTGATAAGGTCAAGAAACATGTCGAAGATGCTGTCAACAAAGGAGGAAAGATTCTCTGTGGCGGAAAGCAGCCAGAGAATCTTAATGGGTACTTTTTCGAACCAACTATCATCTCGGGCATGACCTCGGATATGCTCACAACTCAAGAAGAGATCTTCGGACCCATACTGGGTTTGTACAAGTTTGAAACCGAAGAGGAGGTTGTGCAGAAGGCCAATGATACGTCGATGGGCTTGGCATCCTACTTCTTCACCAGAGATGTCTCCCGAACCTGGAGGCTTTTGGAAAGTTTAGAAGCTGGAATGATCGGGATGAATACTGGTAGGTTTATTTCTGTCACTGAGTTGTCCACAAAGACTAACGACTTATAGGTAATGCCTCATGTGCTGAATCTCCATTTGGTGGAATCAAGATGTCGGGCTATGGCAAGGAAGCAGGCAAGGATGTGGCTATTGAGGAGTACCTCATCCAGAAGACAGGCACTTTGACTGTTGAAGATGGACCCAAGTTGTAGCCAATTGATGTGCAATTTGGGGAGCCTCGTTGGGGTTTCAAAAAGTTGACGTTAGCCTTATTGAGATTTGAGTTATCTGGCATAAATTGAAGCATTCTAAGGAAAGCCCAACGCCCATGGTTCGTAAGAGTAAGCTTACACTGGTAGAAGCAGTCTGCGAACTTGCGTATCTTGTATTAGTCAACAGCAAGGCGCATAAAGTATTCGGGGATGTGATCTTATATCAAGGTAGCAAGACTTGTATAAGAAGCGTATGGACATCACGTTTTGTTGTGTTCATTTGGGACATAAAGGAAGTAATAGTTCAAACGCCGCTTCATCCACTACAGTGTCTGTGGAAGACACCGTATGGCCGCTCTGCTACTCATTATTCATGCAATAGCTTAAGTAGGTCATTCTTAGAGAGAACTTGTTAGGTAAACAACTTTTTTGAATTCTCGGTGCTGATTCAATCTCTCAGCAACAAATCTCAACTGCAGAACAACATATCTAGTTAAAAGTGTTATGCATGACACCATATATATGACCAGTTGATAAATAAATTCCATTCTGGGGATTGAAATGTCGTAAACCAAACCCCGATAGCAATAAGGACTTGCC